GTGGCCATGGTAAGGTGGTCGTGCCAGAAAACAGCCTCTCTCCTTCACAGCTCCTTCTAAAAAATTTTATTTTGTGATTTTTTTCGGACACATGCTAGTGCAGGACAACAAATTCTGTTCAAATAGTGCCAGTTTGTCAGGTTTGGTGCTGCAAATGGGTGTTTCTTCTGTTATTCGAATATTTCCACATGCTCTTAAGGGAATGCAGAGCTGGACTGTGGTAGATGAATGAGAGTTGTAGGATCTGGTTCCTCCACTTTTTTGAGTTTTTCTCTTGTCTTTGCATTAGAGAAGGTGGCATTGAATTATTAAACTTGAAGAAATGCAAGGGAAAACAGATATTGAAGTCTCAAAGAAACAGTAGGTTCGTGAATTTAATTTATAATACTTAGAGTACATGCAAAGTGAGTGTCATAGTGGGGTTTTGTGCCTGATGTATTTATGGTGCCTCAAAGGAAAGAAACACCCTATTTCAGGGTGGGTTTTTTGCTACATAGGACACCCGACCCATTCTTCTCAATCCATGTTCAAAAGAGATTCCCAGGAACAGTGTGGGAGCTATTACAATGAAAAAGGTACAGCCTCCATCATTTCATTAGCAACAGATATTGTTTGAGTCGAATGAGGGAAGGGAAGTTTAACAAGTTTACAAACACCACTCAGAAAAAGGTAGCTGCTCTCAAGAAAATTTAAATTATTTTTAAATGTTGGAGCCTTTGAAAAACTATGGTAGTTTTTAGTAGACAAGATGCACCTGTAATTTTATTTAAATAAAGTTGATTTATTCATGTAAGATGTCTGTCATGTTTTCAGGGGAAAAAATATAACCATTTATGGCACAGGATGGGGTGGGATATATAGGTTACTCTCATAACCCACTCAGACATTTGAACAAGTTTCACCTGAATTCAAGAAAGGTCAGTACTGCCTTGTCATTAGAAACCGTGATATTTGTTCTGTATTCTATAGATGAATACTTTTTTCCTTGTAACTAAACATAGCTTGAACTAAGAGCAAATATGACAGCAAGGAATTTAAATCCTACGGGTTAATCACCCTTAAAACTGAGGCACTAGAAAACTTCAGTGTATCTGGTACCTTAATGCCCTCCTGCTACATGTTTGAGTTCTTCTGAACTACAACAGTTGGAGTGGGAGTTACTGGTACAAACATTAGTGGAAGAAAACAGAAGAGTTTTTTATCCAAAAAGCCCTTTAGCATATACAGTAGTTGAAGCAAGCCTGACTCCCAAGGACTGTGCAACAACAGCACATCTGTTAAAAGGGAGAAAGACAACTGGAAAACTGCTGGAAAATTTGTCCTTGTAATCTATTCTAGGTACAATATGTGCCTGCTCAAAATATGTGGGAGTAAAAAGCCTAATATTTGTCAAATAAGTCATACCTTGTCCTCAGATGACTTTTTGGAACAGTAATTTCTATCTCTTTGCTAGGTATTTGTTACAGTTCATGGATTTCTATATTTGATACACTTCTTAGAATGAAAATAATTTTAAAATGTAGTTGAAAAACATCATTACAAATACTACAGCATTAGTACTTTGCAATTCAGTTTGGAAAGAAAGCTCTCACATATAGACCACTGCCATTTACTGACAAAATACTCTGCCAGAGATGGCACCTAAGAGGTCAATGCCACAGTAAGGGCATGAAATTGGAGCAGAAATGGTTACTTCTACATGCTGTAGTTGCCAGCCTTGAGTCCCTGAGGGGAACAAAGAAGAAATAGAAAACAGACTGCAGTTCTATACAACTGAATAGCAATTAAGCACAAGAAATCACTCCCAGCGCTCTAAGAGTATGGGAGGGGCAGTTGTGTTCATAGTATACAGCATTCCAGTCTGCCTCCAGCGTTATTTGCCAGTGGCAAGGTTCTCAGGCACATGCTGGATTTTTATGGCTCCTGTGCATCAATCCCAGAAAGAGCAATGCCAATTTCCCGCTCTCAACAGGAATGACAGCAGGAGTGAAAGCTTGCATTGCTTTGCTGGAATTTTACCGGTTTGTGACTCTGACTCAGCCAGATGCAGTTGACACATTAAAAAAAAGTCAGAGATGGTGTTTACTGCTGGCACAGCACTTTGTGCATGCCTGAAAACAACAAAAAAAAGGCAATAAGAAACATCTGGTTTTAATTAAGGCTTAAAAGAAATGGAGGAAAGCAGAAGAAGCATATCCAGTCACTCAAGAGTGGTTTTATCTCCCTGCAGCTGCATCGCATATACACATTTGCAAGTATTAAGGTTTCCCTTCAGTTTGATTATTCTATCATATAAACATGGTTTAATATTTTCATACATAAAAATGTACTATCTTTCAAAATGTTTTTATTGATTCATGTCGGTTTTGCCATCTGGTTTCTTATGCCATTTTCCCTCCTAATTTTTATATAAAACAGTAATGCAAAGTTAGAAGTTCACAATCTTTTTTACTCACAATCCTACTTTAACTTCCCAGTTAAATTGTCTTCCATTTGCAGACCTGGGCTTGCAAACGAAGGTTTTGGACTTACAATATTTCATATATCTAAACACAACATGCTGGTCAAAGACATCCGTGATAACAGCTATGAAAAGGAAAGAAGAAGGGATGTTGTTTCCATTGAACAGAAACAGCAATGTAAATAACCATGAGAATTAATTCCTATTTCTTTCCTATTTTGTCATTTAAAAATATCTGCAATCATCTAGCAGCATGTCTATTAGCAAACGACTCAGACCTGCGATTCAGAAGCTGGATATGCTTTTAATATGTTGCAAACCTCAGACTTAGTTTAGATAAGCTTATGGATGTAACCTAACTTAGTGTCACCGAACTATTCTGTGACTCAGTTCCCCCATCTGCAAGATGCAAATTACACTTTGGTTCTGCTTTGTCTGTACTAGTTCTGCTCAGGGATGAGCATCTTCCCATGTGTCTCTTAGATTCAGTTTTACATTCTTGTCCCTTTCAACTACAGAAAAACAAACATTTAACTGTTTATTGCGAGAGGCAGTAAAACAATTAACACGTGAAAGGGTCCTAAGCATTCTTTGTGAGCAGGACAAGGAGGAGATGTTCTCTTCAGCTGAGCATTGCTGTTTTGCACAGTTTGACAGCAGTGAGATAGCTGGGCCATACAACCATCACTTTGCTGAGTTAAAAGGCTCAAAGGGCCCCTCGGTGGCTGGGAAAAGGCTCAAATGGCCCCTTGATGGCCAGGAGACAGCTGTATCCTCCCACCCTCAGACTTCCACTCATCAACTGGGTGTCACGGTTCCTGTGCCCTCCTTGTGCCTCTGTGCTGATCCCAGCACTGAAGATATCTTCCCTTCTCTGTTTTCCATGCTAATGAGAATAACATAGAGAAAGGAAAGATCTAGGGCAAGAGGCACCCTCGTAACACAAGGGCTACCACAGAGAGGCAGGCAGACCCACAGCTGGACAGAGTTGTGCCCAGAGGATCAGCAGGTAGCCTTGTCCCACCTGGAGGTTTGTCCCAGTAGTTGCACAGCCTGTCTTTAACTAAAACCTCTGTGAGCAGACATTTGGCTGTCTGAAGAAGCTTATTAACAATTTTGGAGCTCCCATTTGTAAAAGTAATCTAATTATTTCAGCATTTCCTCAGTCTTTCCTATGTCCTTAGATGCATTCTTCAGTATGGAATGTCTTGATCACTAAACATTAGATGTGTTTTTCTATTTTCTGTATCAGTTTCTTTGAATATGAGCATGAGTATTATTATTAATACCTTGCAGATTGCCACCAAGAAATTTAATGCATAACTTATCTTACTTATCTTTACTCTTGATAAGAAGAAAAAACATCATAATAATCTGTAATGTGTTAAAGAAACAGTAGTATGTAGTAGTATTAATAGCAGTATTTGGAGTATCTAGTGTCTAGATCACTGGGCCACATCCCAAGAGACTGAGCCTTTTTTTTTGACTGGATTTCCATACATCTTTGGCATGTCACATCAGCTTTTTGAGCCTTGTTTTTTAAACTGAGATGGAATTGCTTCAGTAATTAAAAAAAGCCAAACAAACCTCCTTTCCTCACTAATGAAAAACACCATGTAAAAACAAGGTACTGTCCCTACTCACACATGGGGAATTAATCCACTGATTGCTGATGACAAAAAAGACAGTGTTTATTCCAACTCATTCTTAAAATAACTCTATTTTCTTCTTCACTTGGACTGTGATATCATCTCTTAGCTTTGAATTTGTCAGCAGGATACACACTAGTATGCAGAAAAAGATGCTGATTTTGGCAGCTCTGGTGGTATAACTTTTCTTGCCCCTTCACATTTTATTTTGCCTTTTACCCATTTTCTTTTGCTTCCCCGCTCTCTTCTGGATGAATCAGAAGACACAGATTTTATTCCCAGGTGTGCCGTGCAGATTTTTTTCCCAGTTGTGCCACTGCCTGCTGAGAGACCATATATAGTGCTGGAAGTGCACAGAGGGGATGCAACAAGGCTCTGCACTGCCTGTTCAAATTATGTAGAATGGAAGTGCCGTATACTGTCCTGAAAGTGTGTGTCAAGTGCCTGACCTGGGGCAGTCCTAACACAGAGAGCATTTGCACCTCCTTTCAGCACCAAGAGGAACATTTTTGCAGAGGAGAGACCTTCCCACAGCATCCTCCCTGGATCCCGCATGGCCACCTTGCTGCAGAGCCTGGTGGTTATGGCTGGGCTAGCAAATGAACTGAGGCCAAAAGGGACTAATCCCTGTGTGCTAGCTCCAGAAACAGAGAAACAGTGCCTGGCTCGATTTCATCCTCTGCCACACAACACCCCTCCCCACAGTATATGCAGGCCTGGTCTAAGTCAGTTCCCGGGAGGTAATACACACACATGCCAAAACTTTTTTCCTAGGTAGAATGGAAAAGGTCAAAGTTTTATCAGTAGACAAGCAGTTCATGGTTTATCCATCACAAGATTATGAATGTATAGTACCTTTTCATAGCATAGCACACAGTCTGCTCCACAACATGCCTTCCATCCACTGGGACAGAATGTTTGTTGGAATTACCTGTTGTGTAGTGACTGTGATCCTTTGGGCATTGTGTATTTGGGAGCTCCTCAGGTTTAAAGCAGATAAGAAACATAATTCTACCCCATTTGAACTCTTTCCTTAAATATTTAAACATAATTGCTGACAAACATTATTATCTATGTTGCATGCTTCTCAGGTGTAAACATTTTTCTTCTTACACTGATATTTAATGAGGTACCCCAAATTCTGTATGCTGTTGTAAAACAGAACAGGATGACAAGCAATCTCAGGAGTGTTTTCCTTGTAACATCTGTACACTGATCATGAATCCTCTGATATAACTTTGAGAAATGTCTTGAAATTTTCTCACTCTTCTGGTAGAAATTTGATTTATTTTTAAAAAGACAAAAATAAACTTCTATCTAGCCTAGTAATTGCATTTTAAAGTGGAAATATTTCACTTTGCATATGCTTATATGTTTGCATGCATATAAGCAAGACATGTTGTACAGCACCTGTTCATGTTTTCATTGTGACTTGCATTACAGAAAAGTTTATTAAAAGAATATCAGAGATTTGCATATTCTATATCTGAAAATCAGGTCAATGCACCTTTGTAAAACACTTCCATGTGCAAACTTGGAGCAAAAAGCTGGTCAGTGTTTCCTCTTAGCAAAATACTCACTCTATTTCTGCGACATAAAATTTTGCATGGACCTGTATTCAAATTCATAGAAAGAATCCAATACTCCTGGCTGCTTGTCCAGCAGAGAGTCAGATATGATTTGAGACCAAGAAACCTAAAGAAAAGTTTATATGAAGATATATTAGGTTATATTTACTTCGAGAGATTTATCAGATGTTTGTAGGGATTGAACATACCCAAGCCCAAGAAGGGACACAAAAGTAAACAGCGATTATTTAACATACGTCATTAATAATCTACCTTTGCTAATATAAGTATATGCTCAGAGCTTTGTTTGACTTGATGGAGCTAAACACAGATGAGATGGGAGTTAACTCTCAGTGTAGCATGGGGATACCTCTGCTTATGCTTAACATCTACACAACTGCAAGCAAACGAGCTGGTAGGAAATGGATTTCAACTGCAGCTAATTCAGGGCTGGAGAACACTTCCTTGCCTCTCCGATGCATTGCTTGCTGTGCCTAGTGATAGTGTTTCTTTATTCAGACTTTAACCACAAGTATTAGCATCAACAATGAACTCATGGTGACATAGTATTATGCAAGAATTGTTTAGTTTCAGTTTAGAAATATATATGGTCAAAAATCAATGGGATTCTTGAGATGAATAACGTCCACAAAATTTAAAAGACAAAGGCAAAGAAGATGTTCTCTGAATCTTAAAATAAAGCCAGGAGAACCCTGTGATTTTAAGCTAATGCCACAATTACTGTAGCCCGATGAGTTTTACTGTGTGTGTAGTAGATGTGACTGCATTAGTCATCTCAGGAATTTATGTTCAGGAAGGACACAGATTTCTCTCTGAAAAAAAAAAGGCTACATGAGACCTTGAATAGTAGGCTAAGAAAAGTTACCAGGAAGCACTAAATTGTGGCACAGCTTCAACTAGGATTAACAGATCCTCCAAGTGTCACCTTGTTACAGAGAGCCTCTTTTGGGGAAGGCAAAGATAAGGCTGATGCCTTTTGCTGTCGCCTGTCCTTTGCTGCATGGGCCTCATGGCAGCTGTGTCTGCACCTCCAGGGGTAAACACAGGGCTTTTTACCCCACATCTACCTGCTTTTCTGTTCTGCTTCTTTCACAGAAGTGTCAGCCCTGTCTTCCTTTTCACCTTTCCCTTTCCTTACACTCCTTTGAAGCCCATGACTAACAGTGCCAAAGCCAGACCCCTGCCCCCAGCCCAGCCGTGGAAGCACTGCCACCACTGCTCCCACCTGAGGCTGCCCCAGCCATCTGCTGCTGCTCCTCAGCAGGCAGCCCAGGGCTCAGGTGTTTTCAGGGCAGCCTTCCCGGTTTTGGGATCCTCTGTGCCAGATTACCCAGCTGTCTCCCTGGCTGTTTTGGGTAGGTGCTCACCGAGCAAGACAGAGGCTTGGAGCTGTGCTGCAGCTTCCCCTGTATCCTGTGGGTTCCCGGGCTCCCAATCCAAAGCAGTGTCAGTCCTATGCCATATGGCCCCATGTGCCATGTGCCTGTGCCTGGCAAGTGAGACAGTGCTGCTGAGCAGTGGGGCAACACTGCCCAACCAGGCACCAGCTCCCACAGAGACAGATGTTCTCCACAGCTGCTTAGCTGAGTGACCCAGATCTCAATTGCTGGAGGAGTTTTCTGTAAGATTTCCAGTGGAGAGCCAATGTGTTTTTAAAAGCTGATGGCTAATACGGACATTACCTAGCGACATTTAGATGTTATTCCACTATCATAACACACATCTGGCTGCAATGTAGCTGAGACAGTCTGAAACACAATTGCTACATAGCAACAACATGAGCAAAAGCTGAACAATGTGTGCCAAGGACAGAATTACCACCACCACGTGGCACAGCCCCTATAGTTTGCAATAATCTTCCAGTTCTACGAATGCCATTAAAGAGTAGGAAGTTAGGCAATCTTTTTACTTCAGTGAGAACATTACAAATATACAATGGCACATGTTCCTGGCAGCGCTATTTACTTTTGAGTTTTCTGGCTTTACTCAGCTTGTCAGGATCTCCAAACACAGGCATTAAAATGTCAGATCAAATGGCAGTCCTCAACTCCAGTTTTCTGCATTATTTCCAAAGCATACACTGCAGCCAGGGCACAGGTGGGCAATATCCACTGTGAACATTATTGGAAGGGACTCCAACTCCATTCTTCATTTAAAGACCAGGTGAGATTGACTGTGAGGTCTCTGGAGATACCCCAGATGCTGAATCCATCTTTCAGAGCCTGAGGTCCACCAATCCCTTCCCTACTGAAATTTCTGCTGCAGAATATCCCCTAACCATTCAAGATTTCCAGTCTCTTTTAAAAAACCTTAACATTTTCAGAGCTTGATGAACACAACAAATACCACAATATATTCAGAAATTTGTAAGATTTGCCATTTCCCTGATATTGCTTAGACTGTGCTTTTTTGTTTCCTGAAGCTGCAGCAGCGTGGCAATGACTACTTTGAACAAAACTTACTATTTCTGCCAAAAGACAGAATAAAAATCATCATACATTCTGGTGGGTGGATAGAGGCTATGGCTGAGACTGGGGCATGGCTGGAGCTTTGATGCAAAAGAACTTGAGAAACCTGAAGATCACTCCAGCAGAAAGCTCACAGTGTTCAACAAGAATAAGTGCTGATCTCTGTGCATTGGACTGTGCATTGGTACAGACCAGGAATTTGCTGGCTGAGGAGCAGGCCTGCTGGAAGCTACCTGGGAGTGATGATGGATGCCAAGTTCAGTACGAGCCAAGAGCACGTGGTTCATTGCCAAGGCAGAAGAGCAGCTATGTTATGTGGAGGTAGACAGGTTGACAGACAGTATTATTCTCCCCTTCCTGGCACTGGTGAGGCATCACTGGGAAATGAGTGTTTCATTTTGCCACCTGTAACACAGATTAACCAGACGTAGGGAAGCTGGAGAGGGTCCAACAGGACGTGCTGAGGACAGTGAGGGGCCTCAGACATGTGGCACGCAGGGAGCACTTGAGAGAGCTGGGCTTGTTCACTGTGCTGAAGAGAAGGCTGAGGGCAGAGCTAAAAGCAATCTTCAGCTGAACAGGAGTTGCCAAGACCAATCCTTCTCAGTAACACCCGAAGGAAAGCAAGAGGCAACAGTCATAAACTACAGTTTGGGATGGCTGAGATTGAGTATGAAGAGAAATGTTTTGGTTTAAAAAGGTAGCGTGTCACTGCAACATGTCACTGCAACACTGCAACATGAGGATGTGAAGCCTCTGTTTGGCCTAGATGTCCTCCAGAAGTTTCTTCCACCCCACATTTTTGACACCTTGTCCTGCTAACCACCTTCTGGCAAGCAAGGGTCAGATATGGTGCTATAAGGCAGACCTCATCTTTGCAGTGTCATGCATCCTTATTGTTCATAATAATTTCTGTAGAAGGAAAGTATCATTGTATTACAGGGAAACTGAGACCCTACAGAAAATAATATAGAAAGTTATTTGAGTTAGCAAAAAAGCCTGTGCCAGAATATGGAGAACACTCCAGGTGTCTTAAGCCCCCCTCAGGACCCTGGCCATAAATATGCTTCTTTGAGTCAGTCCTGCTAATGGGACACAGTCAGCTGAAATATGGTCTGAATCAGCAAAAATTAGTGAAACCAAGATGTTGCAAGTTGTAAGATGAAGCAAAAATTTTCTGCCTGTGTGCTGCAATATTTTCTCCAAGTGTTTGTAGTTTTAAATTTGTGCTCCGTTACAGCAGTATGGTATGACTTGAGATTGTAATAGGCTGCTGTACTGGGGCAGGCCGTGGGTCTGACTGAGCACATCATCCTGCCTTTAAATGTAGCCAGTACTGTGTGCTTAGACAAGGTGTAGGGCTTGGGGTGGTCATTCTGTCCCATTCCAGCAGCCAGCAGGACAGTAACTTCCTGAACCAGAAGCTTAACTGTCCCATCATGGTTCAGAGTCACCAGACAACTGTTCCCCATCAATTGTCCAAGCCCCATTTGAAGCAAACGTGTATCTTTGCCACCTGCTGTGTTCTGTGGAAGTAGGTTACCAAATTTGCTTTCTGCCTGGGTATCAAGACACTGAAAGTGAAACTTTATAATATTTTATAAATTTTTGAGGACCAAAGCAGTGAAAATAGGAGAGATGGCAAAGAGGATGGGCTTTTAAGATTTCACTGACTTCATAAATATCACTTGTGGTAGCTTAGCAGCTTGGGTTTAGACAGGATTTACCCAACTGCTTTTATTTAATTTAGGGCAAAAGATTCAATGAGCTTCTATTGTCTCAACACTCCCTAATTTTTGAAAACTGATCCTTGTGCTAGAAATATTTCATCTGGATATATGTTATTTTTTCTCTCTGTGCAGTTAATTTTTGTGACGACAGTACCAGTGCAGTGAACATTTCTGAAAGCAATATAAAACCCCTTACTTTTGAACTGATCATAGTGGGTAATTTACTTATTTTATTCTTTCCAAAGAAAAATGTGAACCCGATGCTGTGAATGGTAAGCATTTCTTTCCTTTTGCTTCTAGTTCCTAAAAGTGAATGTAAAGGCTGTGAAAAATGTTGGATTATTAGACAAGATGCAAAGTCTGTGTTTCAAGCCAGAATTGCATAGCTTAGGCAGCAGGAACATGAGCTTTTCCACATAGCTTTCTATCCCAAATGCAGAGAATTTAAGGTACACAGGCTGAGTCAGATCCATGCCTGTCTGGGGCTGGGCTGAGGGTCAGTTAGTATCGGCTCCTGATAGAGCAGATAGAGTCTTTTGATAGAAAAACAACGTGTTTGTATCCTACTATTTAGCATTAGGATTCAGGATGCTTTACATCAACTGTGGTTCCATGAACTGTCTCAGCTTTCTCAGACCTTGTAGAGGAGTAAGTGTTGCATGGCTGTTCCATGTGCCCTTTGCATTTCTTTCATAACATATAAATTATGCTTTTCAAGACATGGTAAAATCTCTTTCTGATATTTCAGTGCTGATGCTGATGTCTCCCACTTAAAAGGTGTTTCTGCAGCTCTAGCATAACTAAACCTGTCTGATTTCAACATAAAGAATGTCAGCCACTCTGACATGATTGTGTATATGAATGTAAAACACATATTCTAAAGAGAACAACAACTAGTTAAATAATTGATGGTCACTTGTAACATTGAGAGACAAATTTTCACAAGCAAGCAGAAAATAACACTGGATAGGGTGTCACACCCACAGTACAGTTTTAATTCCCAACGAGGTCATGTGCATGTGCGAGTGCTTCTGTACTAAATGTGTTTCTTCCCGCTTTTACAAAATTACAGATAATGCTTCAATAGCAATCCAGATGTGCTCCAGAGAAGGGAAAAATCCTACTTTAAAGCCTCACCAAAATCTGAATTGTAATGAAAATCTGGACTCCTTAGTATCACAGGTAATATTAAATTACTATTTAAAGAGTGTCTGAGATTCTTCATCATCCCAGGGGACAAAAAAGAGGGGGGATAGGAAATTGAGGCAAGAAATATATATGTTATGTTTCTTAAGACTTAGCAGAAAGCAAAATAATTGACCAAAGCCTTTTTCAGTGGCATTCTTGGCATGCAAATGGCCTGAATTTCCAATGGTGATTATTTTATTTTGCTTGGGTTTGTCTGAACACAGCATCCCATTCCATATTTTTTAACTGGCCTGCAATTTCCTCAGTTAGGTTCCCAATTCATAGCAATTGCCTCCGAATGGAGGCGATGCTGACTCAGGATGCCAAGTCTGTAAGAACGTGCAAGGGATTTGGAGGAGACTGGCATGAGAGTGATACTGACACCAACACGTTCAGATGGATTAAGAGTGAAGCCTTTCCATTCAGCTCTATGATCAGCTGAACATGGATAGAACATTTCTGTCCTTCAAGAATTCAAATTTAAACTCTCTTGTATGAATGCCTTACATAAAATCCATAAATCCATAAGCCCCTAAGCCTTGTTCAAAGATTTAGCTCTGCTACATCTGCAAAACACGGAGAGCTGAACATGACTAAGCATATTACAGTGACTGCTTCTCTTCTTCTGCTTCTGTGTTTCATTTCCTTATCACTAGTCCCAGTTGGAAAAAAAAAATACCCCCTTCCCCCTCAGTTACAATCCCTTTAAGTAAAAGAAGTCCCTTTCTTTGTGTATTTTTGCTTGACTACTGTACCTTCAACCCAATGCTTCACCTGCTTTGATCCTTTGCTGGGAGACCCTCAAGCTCAATATTACATTTCTTGCAGTACATAGCCTTCACTAAATGGTTCAAACTAATACATAATATTAGCAGTAGCTATTTCTAATGCCAGTAAGTTACAACATAAGGTTATTCTTCTGCCACCAGTAATATGGGGTTTTACTGGGAGCCATAATGTCGGGCTGCCATCTAGTGAGCTGAGGGCCGCGTGGGGAGCTAGGGAATGGGAGGTGTTCATGCCAGTGACCCAGAGGCAAGGTTTGAAAGGATTGATTCCTTTTAAACAGAAATATTTACTTTGAGTCAAAGGTCATGCTAAAAGTCAGAACAGTGAAAACAGGCGTTCATGATGCACTGTTTGTTTGTGATGCATATTGCAGATGTTTTCAAGTCAAACAATATAATCTGCAGTAACTATAAGTGCAAATTTCCTTCCTACCCATGCAACACATTTACCTTTATTTTCAACCATTCCAAGCTTTACAAACGCATCAAAACTACATGATTGAATTAATCTTGATAGCTTCCCAACATAAACAATTTGAGAAGAATTCAGTTACTGAAGCTATTCAATTAAACTATTTACTGACAGGATTAGGAAACAGATTATTTGGCCTGATGATTAGCAGATTTTCTGTCTCTTTAAATCTTATTGTTATCTACCTTCATATATCATATAGCTAATGCCTCATCTTTTCTGTGTTTAGACTCTTGAGATGCTCTAGACATTTACGCTCTACCCACTAAGTGCTAACTAAAACTGGACCTAGCCAGTACTTATAGCAATTCTTATTAGTACCTCCAGCACCAGAATATTTTATTTGGGTTTTTTTCTACATTTATTCCAAGGTGACACTATATATAACATACTGAATTTAGAATAACGTCCTCAGTGCAGGTTACAAACACTGCGTTGAGAGGCATGATTGCTCCAGATGACATTTCTCAAGTTCTTCTGATGGCTTTTCAAAAAAATCCTATTCTGGTTATTTAAGGAATAGTGAAAGGTGTACAGAAGTTCACAGACTCAGAATCTCAATGATCTCAAGACAAAGGAGAGGTCCTGCTGCTGTCTGCAGTTACCTCATGGCAAGTTGTGGAGAACAATGGGGCCAGGTTGTTCTTCAAGGTGTGCAGTTTTAGGATGAGTGGCCACAGAGACAAGTGGCAATATGGGAAATTCCAATTAGGTAAGAGAAAATTTTTCCCCTTGACACTGGTCAAACAAACATTTTCTAAGGGAGGTTGTTGGTATTCAAAGTGAGCCTCTGAGCAGATTCATCTCATCCACCCCTGCTGGGCTAGGGGACCTCCAGGGGTCCCTTCCAACACAAGCTACTCTTTGAATTCATTAAATCATTCTCTAGGGAGAATTTGTAAACACTACATACTTGAAATGAACATAAACATTTTAGACCACCAATTACTTGTATGGTTTTATTTTGTGGGAGAATGTTGTAAAAGTGGTGACTCTTGTTCCTTTTCCCATTCTCTTTCTGTTGAATGGCATTTTCCTCACAGGAAATGCAGGCCCCAGCAAGGTTTCAGCTATTGCCAGTAACACTCACATCCTCACCTCCATGCCAGACCAACTGACCACACAAAACTTCACTGCTGCTGCAAATGTCGCAGTGCAGATTATGGAAAAGCTAAATGCTTCAGAAGACTTTCAGGTGAAACTTCTTAGGACTAATATAAGACTTGTGTGGCTTTGTGGCTTACTATCTGGGATATCAATTCTGTACTCCCACCAGCAGAAAAGATACCGTCCTTCCTCTCAACCACACCTAACACGACAAACAAATGCATTAATTTTGCTATTTAACAGAGTTATTTAAGTGGTCTTGAGCGCATACTTGTGGAATCACTGCTGGGTCAGTTCTCAGGGTTGAGTGTAAATTTGTTTCCTATCAGTTTAGATTTGCATATCTTTGAAATTAGAATATGAGCGTCATTTGATGTTTAAGCTAATAATTTAATCCTAACAATCTAAATTAATAAAAGCATGGCATTTATGAACCCATTGGCACAAAGCTTGTGTTCTCTTAAATGGCTTCCCATACTTTTTTACTCTACTATGTGTACTTTCAAGCAATGCTTGTTAAGTTTCTTACCTTGCCTGCCGTGTAGTACATGGGGTGATTTATTTCAATTGCTTTTGAATATTGCCTTTTTTTCTGCTTGTCTCTGGTATCTGTGGCAGTAATGGTTACAGTGAGTCAACTCTTGGATGCCAGTGAAAGAGAATTCATCCACAATAATCTTGTCAATGTTACATCAAGGTAACTTTAGCTCTTGCCATTTCCTTTAGATGCAGTAGACTGCATTTTCCCTTCTGTTTCAGGATGAAAGTGGTTTATGAACAAGACAAAATATTTTTAGCATTCAACTCCAATATGCAATTTCCAATTTACACCAATATAAACACTGCTGGATTCTTCTGTTTTGGAGAAAGCATGGGGATAGGAAATGAGGAGCACTTCCCACTGGAGAACCAAATCAGGGAGGAAGCTCGGAAACTGAACATGGAGCTGTACATTAACAAAAAATGGTAGCTTTTATCCCACTCATTTTTTTGATGCAGCCTCACAAAAACAGTGGAGGAATTTTCTTTGACTGGCAACATCTCACAGCCCAATGTTGCAGTCCAGTTTGCTCCACTGAAATTAAGCTCCTCTATGATTCCCTTTTTGGCACAGAGAAGTAAGTCCTTTGTTGGATTTACCTGGACACAGCAGTTTGAAACATAAATCCTAATGCATATACTGCTGATTGTTGCAGATACAGCACTGGGAAAGTGCCAGTCAACAAAACTAGAAATACAGGAAAATGTTCCTGGACTTCTTTGTGACCTCAGTAATGAAGTTCAGATACTGTCCAACATTTTAAGTAACAGTAAATTCTTTCTCCTTTTGAAAATGGTACCTGGGAAATTTTTGAATGAATATTCACTAAAAATCTCCTTTGGGGAAAAATCCCTCAGCCAATATAAGTAATTACAAGTTGGTTTTTATGCTTACTGATGCCATATGGTGGTACAAGAAATGCACATGTCAAATGAGCTGGATAATTTTATTTATAGATGAATGCATATGTACGCATAATGGCCTGAATGCTTTCAGTGTTTGGGACTTCTTCATTTGTTTTGTTTTCTAAAATTGAGAGTGTAATGAATCTTTGACCATACCTCTACAAACATCAAGAACTAATACACACTTACTTTGCCTGAAATCAGAAGACATCAACCATTTCAACTAAAATTACTACTACTGTCAGGTGTCAGCCAGGACATACACATCCTGGTACCTGCAAATTGGATTAGCCATTAATGGCACAGGCACTTGGGATATTTTCAGATGTCCACTACTTACTATTTGCAGGGCTCAGAGGATAAATTGGTGCTGACCAAGAAAGAAAAAACAAAAGTTATAGTTCCTCTGCTTCATTTGCTTCAGAAGCTGGGGGTGTGGGGCAGCTGAGCTTCAAACGTGCATTTCTATGACATCACAAGAGTTTCAGACTGGGCATCTGAAACCAGCAGACTTGTCCTCAGTCTCTCAGTGTAGTGTCAGCAACACTGAGACATCACAGCACAAGAGTATAATGAAGGCAAAGTTAATGGAGCACTTAGACATCACAATGCTGAATATCATTTGAATACAAGCCTGCAGGGAAATTAATAATTCAGTCCTCTCAGCAGGGTTAGAAAAGACTTGAAGAGATAAATCAGGTAGCCTCACACTCCCAGCATCGACAATAAAAAAATCACTGAATAGCTCATTACCTGGTCATTGTACATTCTGTTCACTGTTTCAGACAACAATCCTGTGGAAAAACATTGTGATCATGTAATTAAAGCCTTTATCATAATACCATAACACTTCCCTCAAGACAGCTAAATTGAAAGCACAGCTTGTCTTAAAACCTCCCCAACATATTCCTTCAATATTAAGTGCATCTTTTTGTAGATATAAAGCTACATTAGACTCACTTGATGATCAGATCAGAGAGAGATCAAATCAGTCTCTCTTGATCTTAATTCAAGTATAAAATCAATAAAAAAATCCATTATATAATCCGGGATTTTTGCCCCCTCACTTAAGCAACAATTAAGACTAGTAATTTAGATCATTTAGATGAACTCCAATTTGCTAGAAGTGTGCAAAAGAAACAGAGTCCAAAAGTTGGATCTGAAGGCAAAAGTCCAGCCAGCCTCTAACTTCCTCTAACTTATCCTCTAACTTCCCACTAACTGTAAATGTCCCTGGTGTGACTATTTCTCATTTAGTATTATTAAAAGCCTTGCCATTTGAAGTGTGTGTATATATTGGGATTTAGGATATTATTTTCCTAACTTAGCAGTATTTTTCTCCAGAAATGATATTAAGAGAAGGGTTTTCATTATTTTCACACTCCACCTCAGCAAAAATTGAAGATGTCTCTTGAGGTTCATGGGAAAGCAGCTCTTCTGTGCTACTCATACAAATTTTAATTAAATATATAAACAAAAATTTCCCGTAAATTCTGAATGTGTGAAACAGCATAGTGTGGGCTTCTTTGAAAGCACCAGCTTCTCTGATATCTGTTATCTGTACCTGCTTTTCTCTTTGCCTTGCGAAGGTTCATCACACAACAGAAGTGTTGGATTTGTCCTGTATCAAAACTACAAACTCATCCAGTCAAGGATTTATCAGAGTTGCAATAGTTTGTCTAAACAAATCATCTCTGGCGACATTGATGGCGAAATAGTGAACAGTGTTGGAATAGCCTTTGGTCCCAAGGTAAACCTCTGTACAAAATGCCATGTTCATTTTGAACCAGCCCTACTACGTGTCTTCAGGACTTATGGAAAGATACTCCAGCAGAGGTTTGGGTGTTTTTGTTTTTTTTTTTTTGGCACAGTGCCCTGTGGCAATAAGCAATTGACAGAGTTTGTGGGATGTATAGGTGACATAAATGAAGGGTGTTTAGAAAATGTGGCATAGAAAACATTTTTCAACTTCTGTGTTTAACAGCTGATATTACCAACTCAGTACTGCTAATCTAGGATGTTTGTAAGCAAAACACTATTCCATAAAAAGTTACAGGTATACCAGAGTAGATTTGCCCTAGGGTACATTAGTCTTATATCAAGAATGAAAAAAACCAGGTCCCTGAAGGACAGTTTTTTCCTCCAGGAGACTACCAAAACTTTGGAAAACAAGAAAATTCAACAAAACTGGCATGGCCCAATATACATACCAATGTGGAGGGTGTTTATCTTTCATAATGTCTTTTAACTCCGGCTTCCAGTTAAAACCATTGTGTGATTTGGTTTGACTTTGTCCAACATGGATTGTTTCCAGATGTTACTGCTTTCTTGCAGGAAATGCTCTATGTGACTGTCCATTTGCCAAAAAACCCAGTTGTTTAATGCTCAGTCAATGGGAATCTGAATCCGAGTTACCTTAATAATTCACAGAAATGGGTGACTTCACTGGCAATTTTGGCTGAGAAAGGCACATAAAGTAAGCTCAAAATGCAAAATTATGCTGTTATTGATATCTTTCATAAGGTTTACTGGAAACACATGCATCTCTTAGTAGCTGTCAGCTCCCCTTTTAAAATCAAATCATTGTCAGTACACGGTCTTTGCTAGTGCCTATCTCTTCATGTTTCTGTAGCCACTTTTTCTCCTTGCAATCCCAGTCCATAGTACAACATATCTGAACTGCAGCTGCGTGATCATGCCTGTGTCTTTTGGGACTACTCTGTCAATGACTGGAGCACTGCCGGCTGTGCAAAAGGAAGAGACCAGTTCTTGAGATGCAGGTATAATCACACGACTAATTTTGCTGTCCAGATGGTAGTACATTGTAGTCTTTTTAATGGGAAGAGTATCTTTTGTTTTTTTTTTCATCTGTTTGGTTGTTTTTAACTATAAGACCAGCACGCTGATATATAGGGGGATAGACACGCTGGGCTAGAAGGCACAGGAATTTAAGATGCCCCCATGTACTTGCTTCTGACCTGTGGCAGATCTGCAAATTGTGACATGCAAGCTGTGCCCAAGCTGCTGGAGAGCCAAGTGTATTGGCAAGTCCTGGCTCCGCATCCCTATTGCTGCAGCTGATTGTTAAGTAAGGATATATGTTTAAAGTCTAAGGTGGCCCCAGACAAACAGTAGAGTAGCCTGGAATCTGAGCTAGCTGTGGCACTGCCTTGTGCTGGGTAAATAACTCAAAGGATTTAGCATTACCTACTTCCTTTGCTTATATGCTTATAAAAAGCAATTGCTCTGTAAATAGTAAGCCTACTATCATTAAGTTTTATACACTGCTCTCTTGTACTAACAAGACTATTTAGGAATGACTGTCTGTCTCTGACATTTGTTATCCTTTCAGTATTTATTTCAGCTTTTCTAAACAAAACACACCCTGGATAAAATCAGATGTCTGTGGTCACTAACTTCAGCAGGGCCAGGATTTCAGAGTTTCTTTTTACTCTGTCTTCATAAAATAGCATTTCCATAGTTGTACTATTTACTTGCTTCTATATTTCCCTTTATCTTATGCATGTCCTTATGGCACAAAGTGACTGCATTCTAGAGAAGATTGCCATCTGTTTATGCAAATGCAAGAGTATGTTCCACTGAATACATTTACATTTACTTGCTGCTTTATTGTCAATATACAAAGACTGGTTTCAGTTAATAATTATTTGTAACATCTTACCTTAGACCGAGACACCAAAATTCAGAATGTTCACCAGTATGAAAAGTTAAAGCTGTTTCTTCCAGTTTGTGTCACCTTGCATTTTTCTATGAATAATTTAATCTGCTATTTTGCTAAATATTTGATTTACACTGTTAAAACTCTTTTTGGCTTTCTTCAAAAGCTTCTCTTGTTTCGAAGTCCAGAATAATTTTTTGTGATCTGAAAATTTTGGCAGTGGCTAGCAACAGACATAACTTTACTAAACCATTTTTGGTTTTATGTGCAACTAGAAACACAAACTTCAGAAAGAAATGTATCTCTTCTCATCTGACATAACTGATACAATTTGTTTTCTAGGCCTTTCAGATCAAATATAAATACACAAAGCCTTTGGAGTATATTTCTTATATTGGTCTTGATTTGTCCATGGCTGGCCTGATTACTACCATTTCGTTTCAAATATTCACTAGGTAAGAGGGAAGATGTAAAACTGCAAGTATTTTACACTAAGTTACAATACATTGCTCTGTATATAGTTAGTGGATACACTTTGAGCTTTTCAGTTCACTATCTCACTCAATACTGTGCTTTAAAAACGTGTAACAGCATTCCACCACCAGCTTGACCTCCCTTGTACCCTTGTATTACAATTTCTAAACAATTATCTTTCTTCTAGCCAGTAACTGCTTGTGCTACTGTTTAATTGTGAGTGACGTAATACAAATACGATTGCGACAAATTTCCTTAATGGATGTGCCTGTGATTAATGGTGTCACGTGATTCCCCTTTGAACAAGGAGCAAAGTCATGCCAACAGAGCTTTAGTTATTAGAGATGAATGCATGTTTCTCATCCTACTTGTACTAATGTAGATTTAAGCAATTCCATCAAGGTCAATGTTTTTAAGACTGTAGGAGCTTCCAGACTCTGCCTCTTAAATGCACTTGTTTATAATAATATATATTTATATACATTATATACAGTTATTTAATTATAATCTTAATTATATATAATTATATAATATATAATTACAATTATACACACACTATATAATTATATATATATAATGCCCAGGGAGGTGGTGGAGTCACTGTCCCTGGAGGTGTTCAAGTAAGATTGGATGTGGCACTTAGTGTCATGGTCTAGTTGACGTGGTGATGTTGGGTCACAGGTTGGACTCGATGATGTCAGAGGTCTTTTCCAACCTAATTGATTCTGTGATAGGAAGTTTGGAAGTGGAGGTTTATTACTCTCTTTGCACTTTGGAGAATGTTTGGGAAATATGTGTTTTATGCTACTTCACTTCTTAACACTGAAGAAAAGGATTCCAAAAAGAGCAGAGTGGAAAAATGAAAATGCATCCCAAACTGCTTTTAGACAAGGCCCAGTCCTCAAAGTTGCTGGGTATTCTCTGTTCTAGTTGAAATCAGACAAGGCTGATGGATTTGGTAAGTTGGCTGAAAGTAATGATGATACTGTTTTGAAAAAAAGTTATTGTTTTGGTTTCTGTCTATGTTAAAGGCTGTACTTTAACATAGCATATTTATGCTTTTAGTATAAATAGAAATGAGGAAATATTTTACAATTTTTCTTATTTTGCTCTACTTTTTTCTCCTAAATATATTCCTACCAATAGGAAAACTCGAAAGTCATCTGTAACATGGATGTTAGCGAGTCTCTGCTTTTAATGCTCATTTTTAACATCATCTTCACCTCTGGAATTGAAAACCATAATGCCAGGAATTACAGCAGTGATACTACCAGCTACCACCAGCAATACCTTCCTTATGATAACACCACTAACACCTTACTCACTTCTGACACGGTAGATCCTCCCACAGACTCCTGGTGTACAGCTGTGGCTGTCCTACTGTGCTATTTTTTCTTGGCAACATTTACGTTGACAGCACTCAATTCTGCACAATTGTACTTATTGTTGCTTAGAGCCACGAAGCCGCTGCCTGGACATTTCCTTGTAACCATGTCAGTTATTGGATGGGGTAAGATTTAAAGTTGTATATATTGCAACTTTTACGGTACAGAGTGCAGTCAGGGAAAGTTGTAAAGATAGGGGATCAGCAGAGGGCAACCAGAATCAGTGTCTCTCTCTGGTTTAGTGCCATGTGATTTAATAATCTCCTGTTACTGCTCACACTACTGGTATAAACTGAATTTTTTTCATTGTCCTGATACAGCACTGAAACCAATAGCTTGGTCACTGGCACAGCAGCACAGGTCTGCTGTTGCAGGAGAAATTTTCACAGTAATCAAGGCATTAAACAATCTATTTCTGCTAACTAAGTAAAAAAATGTTTCAAATACAGTGATTGCATATATGGACTAAACCCCTTAATTTAGATATCTCTGAGGTTCTTTGTGACTTCAGCCAGAGCCTTGAATACATCCAAAAGCAAGGAGTGACTGTCATTATTTGTTGCCTATTATTTATTAATGACCAAACAACACATTCTAAAGTCAGTACAGCAGTTAGTAGCAACACTGCAAGCTGAAAGGGAACTACTTGGAGAACTGAAGAATGCAGACAGATGCCCACAATGAAAAGTGAAAATCTCAGCTTCCTTCAAGAAACTCTTGTAATACAGTGCACAGGAACACCTGCCTTTTCCATGTTGTGTATTCAGCTCGTGTGGTGTGTTGTTCCTGATGGCTCCCACCAAGCAGTTTTCAACCCTCATTGTTTCATTATTACGTTTTGCATTTACAGAGGCAATTCCTCTATAACATTTAGAATTTGGACTATATGTACAAGCTGGAAAATGTCCAGTGAAAGTTGCCTGACTACGTGTCACTGTGCTCCAGGTATATTTGCATGAGAGCACAGCATTAGGTTCTTCACTGTGTCTCGTGACTAGTTAGTTACACATGTCCAAACAGGATGATTCTGACTCACTGCTTTGTGTATTTGCTTTGAGAGCACAGTAAATGCTTGGCAGTCTGGAAGTTCTCTGTTAGGGCTGAAGAAGGAACAGACTTTAAGAAGCATGTTTATTACCCAGATAAAAACTTGTGAATGAGGTTCCTTCCCATGAGATGTGCTGCCTAGTGAACAGGCAGGCAGGAGACGAGGAAGACAAGAAGTGTCAAAGCAAAGGCATTGAGGAGGCAAACCTGCATAGCCATGCTTCTTGGAGGGTAAAAGTTATGCTCTGCATCAATCTGGTATGAAATGTAATGGTGCTTGGAGCAAAATTTTCTTAAATTAGTTTCTCACTGCTGACCAGAGGGTGGGATTGCACAGCTGTGATAAGGGATTCAGCCACAGCACAGCAAGGAGTTTGCTCTTTCACCACTGGTGTTGTTGCAGGAAACTCTGTTGAAGGTCTTTAATGGTAAAAGTCAGCACATCATGGACATGAGCTGTGCTCAGAAAAATAGTGCTCACCACCATCAGTCCTGCCTTTTCCCTAGGCTACAGAAACCCCATTTACTTTAGTGCAAGGCAGGTGGAACACAGCTCTTAAAATCTATGGAATTTAGGAGGCAAGAAAACTATTTGTGTGGAAGGAATGCAATGAAACAATAAGTTGCTAATCTCTTTCGTTAATTAGGAATCCCTGCCATAGTAGTTGCAATAGCACTCAGAGTTACTTACAGAGGAGGAAAAGCTTAAATCTACTGACAGGAAAAATTGTAAGTTTACATATTATTACAACACTTGCTATTCCACACCTTTTGGGATGGCTTATTATTAACTCTAGATTTATTGTTGGTATACTACTTTGTATATCTGAGTACCTAAAAGAAATAAAACTATTCACTTAAGCTAGACATTCACTATAAGGAAACACATTTTCTCCTTACTAAGGATTTAAGCTACTGGATCTACAACTTTCTTGAAACCTTCTGCAAGATCCCCTGTGACTTTAAATGCAAGCTGCAGACACTCTTAGCCTAACTGAAGTTCAAAACCTTCATTTAAGTGTATAACTACTTAAACTTAATCCTCACATTTATTTGAAATCTGGTCAAAATAACTATATCCCCATTTCCCCTGTGTTTTTGGCATTGGTAATTGAGTGCTGGCATGCCAAAGCAGGCTATCAGGCTTCCAGTGTACCTTGGTGACAGTGGATGACACAGAAGAAAGGTAGACTTCTTTCAAAAGTGTAAACAAAAAACCACCTTCCAGGTGGTGGTCATGTTATGCTACTCATTTAGGGAGTGTGGACTTCTAACTTGAGATTATTTGCAAATTAAAAAGTACAGAGGTAAAGATTATTACAGAATAACCCTCCCCTCCTGAAATTGTCCCTGTTTTGCTTCAACCTTTGTCCATTAGGTGACCCCTACTACTCTTTAGCTCTATTATAAAATATACCCTAAAGATAAACCTGCATATGGTGGCCAGATATCTATTTGGATAGTTATATTGAACCTTATTATATTTGTCTATGTATTTAGTTTGTTATATCATTTTGCATTCCCCAGAGAAAGAGAAGCATGATGGAAAGGCCTCATTTCTCAAGGAATGGCTGCCTTTCAGAGCTCAATTAACAAGACCTAGAAAGCACTAATAGGTCTTCCAGGATGAAAAGTGAAATATTACTTTGTTTTGTTTTGGTATCCTGAATAATGTGTCTAACATACCTTTTGAAATTACCTCTCTTTATATTAAAAGTTGCTGGCTTGCACCACTGGACCAAAATCAGAATTTTAGTGTGCAAAAGCCGATGTTGTGGTCATTCCTCTTGCCAGCGGCACTCATAGCCCTGTTTAACATCTTGATCTTCATCAAGATCAGTACCTCTGTGATATGTAAGAATGAAAATTTGACAAGGTGAGATGGCAAAGGACTCCTCATATCTTTCAGCAAATATATTTCTCAGTCTCTTATCACCAGCTCAGACTTTCTTGTCACAAATTCAGATTTTTGACAAAATCTTTTATTTTAAAGAAATGTATACTTTAAGCAGGTAGAAAATTAATTCCATTATTGCAATAGGTCAGATTTTGTTCAAGTGTGTATCAGTGAACACATTTCAGGCTTTTGCCCCCATTTTTTGATTGCAGTGTCACTTGACTCCAATGACAGTAAATCCCAATTTAAATCCACAAAAGTAAGAGCAGAGCTGGGTCCAGCCAAATGAGAATTATGACTTTCCCAGCACAGCTGAACACCAGGCCAGTTCTCTAGCACCTTGAAGAAGATTTACTTGCTCTGTTTTACATCAACACTCCATGTATTGTCACAGGCTGTATGTCACAAACTCCGCAGTGTACACTGTATTATTTAAAAGGGAACTGCTTTAATTTTTATAAGTCCCATGGAACTGATCTGTTCAACAAAACTTAGTACCATTTCTTCTTTCCTTTATGTACAATTTTTGTGATTGGAGAAAATGAAATACCTTATCTCTGAGTCTCTTCAGGCTTGAGAGAAACTGGATATTCAAATTTCACTGGTGGTTTATTCTTATATTGAAAATTATGCACATTTGGATTGAAGTTACAAACATTATAAAAAACTTATAATACCTAAAATGCTAATTTTCAATGTTTCTTGTTGCCTTTTTTTTTTGTTAAAGAAAGATACAACCAAGCTGCATACTCCAAGTACAAATTAGTCTGATAAATTTGGTTACATTTATTTTTCTGGATTTCTTCTCTGTATGATACATCAGACAAATATAGGGAAGTATATGCTCTCAACTCACCTGAATAACATATCTTTGCAATACAGTCCTGAATAAATAGAAAGTTTAAAGCTCAAAAAGATATTAAATAGTATAGAGAAAGATTTAATAACTTGTGTGTGTGTGTGTGTTTGTAGGAATAAAAAGGATTCACTAATGAAAACTATGATTAGCACTATCTCTACATTTGTAGTGCTCAGAATCACCTGGACGACAGGCTACCTTATGAGTCATGAAAGAACAAGTCTTGTTTTCAGCTGTCTGTTTTGAATTTTGAATGCTATCCAGGTAAAGTATTTAGCAATTCTGAGACTAATAATTGAGATAAAAAAACCAGATTTATTTGTTCTATAGCTTGGTATAGCAGGGGAACTTGTTGGAAAGCAGTTACAGGGATTCAGAATTTCTGTTCAGAAAGGGATGCTATCCTTCTGGTCTGTCACATATAAAACTCTTCCCACTGTACAAATCAATGTGGGATTTTATTTCAAGGTCAGCACTGAAAAGACCGTCCTGTCTGAGTGACTTTTCTTATACCAAATCATATATAAAATAATTTTCAGAAAGAATATCAGGAAAAAAACCTTCTGCATTAGTTGTTGGAAAGTAACCAACGGGGAAGTAACCAGAGCTTCATGGCTTGAGACCTTTCAGAATGATGCTGGATAAAAGCCTACAGGAAAGTGCTTGCATCTCCTTTCCCTGCACAGCCCTGATGGGTTCTTGGATTTATACTCATATAAATATGCCCCTCCATATAAGGCATATGAAGTACTCGGAGTAATGGATTCTTCATTACTACACCACTGGATATTTTCTACAAAACAGCTAATTGGAAATACGTGAAAATCTCCCCATCCCTAAACATTAATTTGTTTGTTATTGATCTCCTGAAAACCAAGTGCCTGTACACAGTGATGACCAGATCCACAAACTCTCTGTGCAAAAAGTCCTGAGGTGATTATTACTGCTGTTGCCTTAAGAGACCACAGGGAAAAAAGACTCCAGGCCAATTTAGTGTATAAGATAAAATAAAGAGAGTAGGTACTTTAATCTCAGGCCTGAGGCCCAGATAATACACATGATGTGCACCTTCAAACACTGGTTCTGTGATTTTATAATAAGGTTCATCCAACCCCAGTTCTGTCCACCCCTGGTTCTGCCCCCTGACACTCCCCTTTGGGGTTAACAGGAGAGTACCTGGATGGAAGGAAGCATACCCTGACTTGAGCATTCTTGGCATTCTCATCCCATTCTCTACTGTGTGAGAAAAAAAGCCTGGGAAATTTAGACAGGCAGTTTTTAGAAGCTGTATTTCTTTATTCTGCTCCCTGAACAAATATATTTACATGTTTTGTCATTGCTGGTTTTAATAAAACAAGAACACCATCTTGAGTTTTAAATAATCTGGTTTAAGAAGTGTGGTCAGATTTACCTCCCACTTTCATGTTTTTTGAAAATGAATGCCATGTATTTTGAAAACTTCCAATCTGCTCCAAAGAGAGTTGTGAGCATGACCAAATGTGATGTCTGAACATTCTGGGTATCATACATGAGACTTGCTAAATATCTTCATAGAAGTGTTTCATCAGTCCCGAAAAGTTCCTCATTTCTTAGAAATCTGTGCTCTCTCTCTGAGGCAGAAAATAAGTGTTCTCTGGCACTAACAAGCCTCCAGAAACAACAGTCACATCAGATACAAGGTTGAAGTTCATCACTACTGCTCCAAAAAAAAGCAGAAAAAGTTACTGAAAGTTATCTAGGAAAGGTAATTCATCCTATTTTTTTGGACAGGAAGTTCATGGTTTTTTGGGCATCCCTTTTTATTCGTAAATCAAGTGTCTAAGTGCTTGCTTTTGTCAAGTCCTTCAATTTCATCGAAGAAAGGTATTTTAGAAATTTCTGTGGTTTAGGAAAGATGGTATTTGATTGTATTGTAAAACACAGCTAGGCACTGTGAGGATGGCTCCTTCAATAAAGGATAATGTTTTCTAATAATTGATATTTTTTTCCCCCACAAACAAAAATATTCTCTAAAGCACATCCCATTAAATTTTGAACATGGCTCTTTTAAAAACCTAATAAAAATATTTTCTCCATATTATCCTGAAAAACAAGCAAAAAAACACAAGAAGAATTTGAAGTATTGAATTGGAAAAGTATTGACTTTTTTACTAATTAAATGAAATATCCCATGTGTAAGTATTTCAGATGTTAATAAAATGCTTTACAGCCTACACTGACCATGTCTTGTCTAATATAAAATGTTTTCAGCATAAAAACTCACAGGGAATTACGTGTTTTATGGCTTTTTTTTTCTCATCCAGAGAATCCTAATTTCAGAAATGGAACGAAGTAAAATAATCTTTTTCAGGTTATATGATTAATTGTTACAGGAACAATAGTTCAGCTCTTATCTACACATGGAATATATTTATCTTCATAATGTAGTGAACTTTGGTATTGTTTGTGATGTGTGAGCTTTAAGGATCATGAATTTTCTTCTTAACACTCTGGAAACACTGCTTTGATAAAGAAATGGATTGGAGGAGGACTGAATCATTAGTACAAAGGTATGAAATGTGAGCAGCAGAAAGTATAACAGATTGATAGGTCCAATTTCCCAGATCTTTCCTATATTTTTAATATATTTTTAAAATCAGAGATTTTTTTAATTGAAAATGCCAAAATTACATCTAAATATTTTCTAGTAGTTAGCAAAGACGCTTCCTGAACTGTGCCGCTCCTCCTCATTAAAAAGTTTAGAATTAAAAATGTGTATCGCATTCTTCTTTTTTCACCTCCATTTCGATGTGATTAACAACTGCTAACTGCAAGTTGGGATACTCCTCTAAGCAAATACAAAGCTCTCAGCAAGGACAAATACTTCAAAAATCAAACAACTCTTGACATTTTTCTTGTCCCAGCAGAAATCACCATTTGGAAGCCTGGCTTTTCAAGACACTGAAGGTGTCTTCTCATCTTTAACTCCAGGAAATAACTAACCACAGTCGTGCTTTAGCTAGCTCTGCATAGGCACTTCTGTCACTTGTACTAGCACAGTGCAGCTTCACTGATAAATGAAGAAAGGCAGCAGAAATCTCAGATATCCAAGAATAACATCAGGTCCAGCTCAAACAGCTCTGGGAGATGCACCTTAGGATTCCATTCCCGCACCTTTTACAGACAAAACTCAGGGCTCAGTTTCATGTTTTCCTCTCTTAGGCGGACAAGCTCCGAATGCAATGAATGTGCGTGTGTGAATAGTAGCGAACGCCTGGAAGTGACTATTCGAGAATGAACAGGCTCCCGTGCGAGGGTGGCGGCGCCAGACAATTACAGGAGAGTTTTACGGCCCATTTAGCTTTTCAGCACCGCCAGACCTATGCGGGCCTAAGGCTCGTATTTCGAAACAACCCCTCTGCTGGAGGAAACCCGTACAGGGGTGGCGCTGAGGTGGCACCGCGGGAAATGACGGCGGCGGCCATATTGGCCAGGTCCCGCCATGTTGGCCCGAGGTGGGCGGAGCCCCGCGCGGCGGAGCGCGCAGGCGCGCGGCTCGCGCAGGCCCGGCCGTGGCTCCGGCCCCTTCTCTCTGCCCTGCCACGTACGGCCGGCGGCGGCCGCGGCCGGGCCTGGGCTCGGACGGGGCTGCGCGGGGCGTTCCAGCAGCAGCACCGCGGAGAGGCCACAGTAAGAGAGTGGGGCTGCCCCTGTGTGTGGAGGCGGCGGGAGGGATGGAGGGAGGGGCGGCCGCGGGCTGGGGGTGAGCCCGCCCCCCCGCCATCGTTCCTCGGGGCCGGGGGCGACGCGGCCCCTGGCGGAGGGGCCGGGAGACCCCTCGCGCGCCCCCGGCCACGGCTGAGGGCGGCGGGAGCCGCCCCGCGGCCTCCGCGGCCCGGGGAGTCCGGGGTCCCGGGACCCCTCCGTCCCTCCCTCCGCAGGGTCTGCTCCCTGGGTCACCAAGCCGCTTCCCCTTGCGGGCCGGAGAAGTCACCGGTTCCTCGCTGCCCGGCAGGGAATGGCTGTGATTTCTGCTCCCCTTTTGGGAACTAGGGAAACCCGAAAAGAGCTCTTCTCCTTTCTGCTCCCCCGCCTCACCCCCCCCCGCGCTGCCTCGGGAAGACTCTCGTGGCCCTCTCGGTTGGGGTTTGGGAGGCAGTACTCCTTGTCCTTCCTTCTGTTCCTTGCCCCTCTTTTTTCAAGCAAAGCAGGAATGCCTGTCCTTCCCTTTCCTAGGCAAGGTTGTTTTTCTTTACTGCTGTGCTAAAAGGGTAGTGAAATACAACATGGTTGTGGCATGCTAGTTTTAGAGGGGATCCTGGAGGGGCTGGCTTAGATGGGACAGTCCTTGTCCACATGCACTGTCTGGATTCGTGCATGATGTGAATAGAAAGTGAGCCAGGAGGGGAGAAAACATCTACTCTGGTACACCAGGAAGGTTAGAAAGATGTCAGTGTGATTCTTATGGAAAGCAGTCTTGAATCTTAAACGTGAAGACAAAATGTTTTGTTAATTATTTTTTTTTTTCCCCTGAGGAAAGTAGACACTGACTGATTCTCTTAAAAAAAGCTCATCAGTGTACATTTGGGATGTCTTCACTGAAAGACTCTCTCAGTGGAGTCATCGTTCAGCTGTGTCACAGTGAGGAGAGAAAGCTTGAGTGCTGTGTAATTCAGTAATTTGAACATTTCACATAGTTTTCTGCAACAACTGCAAGCAGCTGAGGTGTTTAAAATCAGTCTCTTAAAACCTGGACACCTTCAAGCAGAATGGAGAACAGCTGGACAGAAAAAAGTGCAGTTAAATGCTTTCCTGCTACCTTTTCACAGTTGTTGATAGCAGATTTTTGTGAGTGAGGCTGGTAAATAAAGCATCTGCAGCTCATTTACCTGCACAAAGATGTGTTCAATCTGTTGAAAGGCCACAGGAGCTCAGGTGTGTCCACAAAAACGTGGATCTTCCGGAATTACAGATGAGGTTCAGTTCTTACTGTTGACAGTTTCTAAGTAGCTTAGCTATAATGCTGAAGAGGCAAAAACAGAGCCCAGCTCTGATGTTTAAACAACACGAGGTGGTAGCTAAATGAACTCTTAAGTTAAACCACTCGTATTTTTCCATTACAGTAAATTTACCTGGAGCTGTAGCAAGTCTGGGGTGAAAGGGGCACTGTCTTCATGTATTACTCATTTCATAAAACATGAGTGAGGCATCAGAGAATTAGCCTCTTCCTGTCCACCCGCTTAGCATGTCACAACAGTCTTATCCCCTCCCTGTCAGGAGCAGGTACAACCCTTTTCAAAGGTGAGCATTTCATACCCTGGGTGAGGTGAGCAGCTGCCAGCCTTTGAGAACCAGCGAGGGGCTGTGCATGTTCTCTGGGGTTTGCTTGCTCTCTGCCTCCATCCTGGATGTCTCGTGCCTCTCTGCTCCAGTTTGCTTCCAGTTGAGCTGAAAGAGGAGAGCTGGAAAGCCCAGTTTTGTGTGGATGCGGGGAACCTACTTTTTCTCTCTGGTTAGCAGTGAATCATCTAAAAATCAGATTATGGTTGCTTGAAATTGGCTGTGTGGGCAAGAGAGAAGGGTGCTGGGTAGGGTACGCCCATGGGGTGGGAGGGAGGAGCCAGTGATGTCCCCCAGGACTGGTCTGTGTATACTAAATCATTGTCTTGGAGCTCAGGGCATTAAGCACTTCTGTAATAATCAGGTGGGCTGCATAAATATGATGTAGGCTTTCTAGCACAAAAAGCACAGTCTTAAGCAGAAATGAGGGCAGATCGTATTTTTAGGTGGTTGTACATTTCTGATGCATTTCCTTTTTGCCCAGTTTGGTGGCTCTTCCTGTGGGAAAGTGGCATTACTCCTCCTTCCCTCTTGGTAGTCTATTGTAGTGCTGTCTGGTCTGTCTTTGCAGACACACTGCTTAACACCACAGAGGCCTCAGCCTTAAGCTGAAAGGTGGGCTTCTCAGTTTTTGTACTGTTTAATCAGTCAAAGTTTATTTTCTTTAGCTTAACCTGTGTCTTTAAGATGGATGCCATACACATGGAAGGAGACTGTTGGGGAAGAGGAGTGTTCTGGAAAGGAACACATTACTGTTGGGAATTTCTATGTGCAGTTAACAAAATCTAGAAAAAATTTACTTCTATTGTGAAATTGAAACTCTTGTTCAAGATTTGTTTAAGCTGAACTTCAAATTCTACAATACGCAGAAGTGCAGATCTGATTGTTGCATTATGGATAAAACAAGGATTTTTTTTTTAGTTGGTATATTTTTTAAGATGTTCTAAAGTGAAAAATTGATGTGAGTTGTATAATTCTAAGAAAGTGTGACTATAAATGTCTTTTTTTCTGCTGCAGCTTACTGTTTTCTAGCACTGGTGGTGCATGGCGGCTTATCCTAACTGTCCAATAATCCAGCATCAGTAAGACACACAAGGTAATTTCTGTTTATGGGAAGGAGGTGAAAGGAAACCTGTGGATCAATACTGTTTTATTTTTTAATACTTATATTAAATCCCAGCAACCAACCAACTTGTGCAAAACTCTGTGCTTTTAAAACTCATTTAAAGTTAATTAGACTGGGTTGATGTGCCTGCAGTCAAGACTCCCATGCTGCAAAACATGAATAATGTATTGGTGAGCATTAACAGTATTATAAACTTCACTTTTTCATCATAGTGCCTCAGCAGCAACGTGGCTGTGTTAATTGCAGGTCCCCCTTCTCTGCAGTTAGACTGTATCCACCTACCTCCTGTTAGGTGTATCTTGGGGCTAAACAAAGGGATTTGCATGAAATCATTGCTTTAAGTTAATTACCAAAACCCCCAGAAATTTAGTTGCAATCTAGAGATACCATCAAAACATTGCCACTGAAATAGTAGAGTTAAATATATATATATATATATATATATATATGTGCATCAAGGAGTTATGTATTAAAGGCTTTAGCTGAGTGTCTTGTTTCTCTGGTAGGAGAGAATTAATTTTCAGTGCAGTACTGTAAAAATAGACTGACCAAAGCAAAATGCATTTTTCTCATAAGACACTGTGTTATAACATCCTTAAAAGTAAGAGGGAAATACCTGGGTATCTCTAAGAAGAAATCTTTTTGCACAAGAGAATAAACAGTAGGCTTGCCTATATGTGGCTTTAGAAATCGTAATTTTGATGTATAGGGCTGCTTACTTTTTAACATCTTCAGTAACTGCACTTCAGATGTTAAGATAACTGCTTCTTTAATTGCTCCTCATTCCAGATCTGTTGTTTTGGTGCTGTCCAGAACAGTGAAGCAAGGAGGGCACATTTGAGTGTAAACTACCTGGATCTCTTTTTTTTTTTTTTTTTTTTCCCATTCCTCTTCTCATAACTTCACTGTAGCTCCTGGTTTTTAAATATAAGACTTTTGTGCTTTTAAATGAGAGATGCCTCATACAAAGTGACAGTTTTTAAATTGTCTCATATAAACTGCTAAGGGTGTAACTCTGAAGTATGTGCAGTGTGCTGCTGGGACACAAGATGGCTTTGTTTCACTTCCTTTAGGTTAGAGCAGTTCTCTACCTCTTAAAACACTGAGAGTAACCAAGTGTTCTGACCATGAGTCTAGCCCAATGAGTAGTTAATGTGTGGTCTGTTGAGCAGCTTTTAAGTCTAAAATCTTGGTTAAAATATCTCAGTCAAAATCTTTAAATATGAAAAATTGTGTATCTTCCTTTCTGACGAGAAACCCTCAGTGAGTTCTAATCATCCATATCATAAACCAAATGTTTAGCTCTTCATTTATTTTTTCAAGGAATAATACATGATTCAGCTTGATCCCCTTAGTAAAGCCAACTTACAACCTATAATCTTTGAAATAAGTTACTTGTTTTAGCAGTCTTTTCTTTAATGAAAAAAAACAACCCTTTGTCCATTACCATAATTACAGGGCATGTAAAAATAATCAAGTAAAGTGATAATGTAAAGCTTCAGAACTGTCATCAGATAGATCTGAATAACAGTTTAGTTTTCTGAAATGTTTTTAATGTTTTGTTGCTAACAGGTCAACAGGCAACAAAGAATCCACCATGAATGGGCAGCTGGACTTAAGCGGGAAGCTGATCATCAAAGCTCAGCTTGGGGAAGATATTAGGAGAATCCCTATTCACAATGAAGATATCACCTATGATGAATTGGTGCTAATGATGCAAAGAGTTTTTAGAGGAAAACTTCTGAGCAATGATGAAGTCACAATAAAATATAAAGATGAAGGTAAGGTTTAATTGCTGCTGTTGAGGTTTAATTACAGTTGCTCTGATATGATTTCTCTATGGACAGAAGCTTTGAAATTCACCTCTCAGAATTGTCCACTATCATGGGCAAAGGAAAGTGATTTCTTGTGAAATCTCTTTAATCAGGCAATAGAAGCTGTATCCCTTGTTATGCTGCCTTAACAGCATTCCCTCTATTTTTTTTCTGAAATATTTCCTTCATTTTTGTCTCTGAAAGTTCATCTTTTGCTGTTGCAGAGAGTTGATGCTATTGCAGGTTTTCTCTTCTGTTCACTCATTTAACCATTTTTTTTGAGTGGGTTTGAAGGTGACTGAAGAATAAACATGTATGACCTAATGCAAGCTCTTATAAGGCTTTAAAAACTCAATCTATTTGGTAATAATTCTTGATTATGTTTTTCTCCATCAGTAAAGATTAGAAAAAAGTTTTAATTTAACCTGAAACGCATATTAAAAGTAATCTTTCCTCTGACCATTTGAATCTGTTGGACATTGGTTGTTTCAAGGAAAATATTGTTCATTAGTGTTGAGCAAGCACAACCTTAAGAAAGAAGGGCTTCCACAGAACGAAAAGGGCCCTGTTTGAGGTGAATAGAGAGACAGTTGTGCTTGGAGGGTTTTTCCTCTTTGAATGTCATAGTGGGGCATGGGTAAGTTAATTAATTTGGGACAGAGGAATAGTGTTCACAAAATGAAACTCAGAATGAAGTGATAAAATCCAAAGTCTCTTAGATCAAGGCTGATGATTATGCTGTTGCATAGTCAAAGGTGCTGTGTGACTGAAGCATTCAGGTTTGTTTTTCTTGATGGCACTAGGAAACTACTTGTATGTGGTACCTAGAATGTCAACTAACTTTTGTTCATATATCTAGGCAGTAAAATTTCACTTTGAATGACCCTGAGACAGCTTTTTCAAGTTCATGAAGCTTTTGAGATGCTACTTATCAAAATTGATAAGCAGCAAAGGGCTAATATTTTGTGTCTTAATCTCTAGTGGGAGGGAGCTCAGTGGATTTGTGATGGTTTAGTTTTTCCTGTTATCATATAATTGTTTTTTTTCTTTCTGGAGTGAGAAAGGTGAAAGGAGATTGATGGATGCTTTTTCATTAAGTTAAAGCTAATAGTCCCTTTTTTTTGCATTCTTACCTGTTCCTTAAGTATAGTCCTCTGGGGTTTTTTGTGTATGCTACTATGTCTGTCTTATTTTGAGTGAGGTAATGGTGTATGATGGAGACAGTAATTATGGTTTCATTCTTTGGTTGTCTCTTACAGTCTAGAGACCTTCTGCTTTTAATTCTAGCTTTCTTTGTCTCAGTATTGTATTGGGTTTGCATGGCCAGGTTTTGGTAATGGGAGGGCTACAGAGGTGGCTTCTGTTGGAAGCTGGCTCCAGGAGGGACATGCCATTGGCCAAGGCTGAGCCGATCAGGAATGATAGTAATGCCTCTGTGATAACATTTAAGAAGGAAAAAAATGTTATTGTGCAAACGTAATTGGAGCCAGAGAAGAGTGGAATCTGTGAGAGGAACAACTCTGCAGACACCAAGATCAGTGCAGAAGAAGGAGCAGGAGGTACTCCAGGCACCAGAGCAGAGATTCCCCTGCAGCCTGTTGTGCAGACCATGACGGAGCAGCTGTGCCCCTGCAGCACATGGAAGACCACAGGAGTGCAGAGACCCACCTGCAGCCCATGGAGGAGCCCCATGCTGGAGCAGGTGGATGTGAGAAAGGAAGCTGTGAATCTGTGGGAAGTCTATGATGGAGCAGGCTCCTGGCAGGGAACTGCAGACCTGTGGAGAAAGGAGCCCGTGCTAGAGCAAGTTTTCCTGGTAGGACTTGAGACCCTGTGGGGAACCCATGTTGGAGCAGGCTGTTCTTGAAGGACTGCACCCTGTGGAAAAGCAGCTCATGCTGGAGCAGTTCTTGAAGAGCTGTTGCCCACAGGATGGACTCACTGGAGAAGTTCATGGAGAAGTTCATGGGATCCCACACTGGAGCAGGGGAAGGACTCTTCTCCCTGAGCAGAGGCAGAAACCGTAACCTTCATTCCCTGTGTCCCTGTGCTGCTGGCGGGGGAAGAGGTAGAGCCCAGGAAGGAGGGAGGGTTGGGAAAAGGGTATTTTACTTCTTACTATCCTGCTCTGATTTTGACTGGTAATAAATTAAATTTATTTCCCCAAGTTGAGTCTCTTTGACCTCTGATGGTAATCGATTTGTGATCTCTCCCTGTCTTTATTTCATATCTTGTCCTTTCGTTATATTTTCTCTCCCCTGTCCAGTTGCAGAGGGAAGTGATAGAGTGGCTTTGGTGGGTACCTGGCATCCAGCAAGGGTCAACCCACCACACAGAATGTACTACTGCTCCTCTGTGATGTGAAACTTCAGTGTGTGTTATCCTAGCTAATTATCACTACTAAAAACATGTAAATGTTGCTAATGTAAGAGGAAGTTGCAAATGATCAAGGCTTCAGTTTGCTTGTCATATAAAAATGGTGGTATTCTTGACTTCGTTTCAATGAAGCCATGATTCTTCTTTAAATCTCTTTCAGTCATTAGATGGATTGGAATATATACGTTTTAGCTATTTCTGTTTTATTGTGTATCCCTCCAGACCTGGAGAAACATTAGTTATGAGGAGATAACACTGTTATAAGGAGATACCTTCAGGATTTCCACTACTTCTACAGCCTCCATCTGCGTCTTCTCAGTGTTGATGTGCACACTCTTTGAGCTTGCAGAAGAATGCTTCATCTGTCCCTCCTGGCTTTGTTTCTTGTTGCTGTAGCACATGAAGCTAGTGATCACCAGGCCTGGATAAGGGATTTTCTGCTTAAAATTTCTATAAAATGCAATGGCTTAATATCTTCATCAAATTGTCAGGATCCTTGAATCTAATACATTTTGGTTTTTTTCCAAACCTATATATGTATGTATATATATATAAAAATAATACATATATGTACTTTTATGTAATTGAAGAAGTTAGGAATCTTTAAAGCCCAGCCCTTCCTTCTGTCTCTGGATTTGTGGACTGAGTTAGTCAGATTGCATATTCCTAAGTTATATTTAGGTTATGTGATGCTTTTATTTATTACCAGACAAAAGAAGTTTCAGTTTGAATACTGCCTTGTGAAGTCAAGTTTTATGTTCAAACTGGGTGTCCTTCAAACTCCTGAGCTAAGGAAATTGCTCTGTGAGATGTGAAACAGTTTTCATGTCCTACTTTAAGTTCTTGAACATGTAGTAAACCCCAATGTCAGCAGAAAAACCCCAACCCCAACCAAACTGATGAGGACTGCCAGCAGTGAATTTGTATGAATCAAGGAGTAAAATTACATCTTAAGCACACCATGTTATTGAGTTACATATGCTAAAAAGCCCCTGTAGAGCTGATAATAGAAACTTTACTGGGTTTTTTGAAGTTATGCTTGAATTTAAAACTGGACTGTGTAATGTGGGGTTGACCTTTTTGCTCTTGTTCTTCATTACTTTATAGTAGAAGTTGGTGTCTTTGTATCAGAGCCAATAATGGTTTATTAACTCCTACTGGATTTATTCAAGGTGGTGTGCTTAGTCAGTAATATCTGCCTTTGGTAAATTTACCAAAATGAAGGAAAAACATATTTGATACAGACTTTTTTTGGAAAATGGGATAAATAAATAAATATAGGGGTAGATAAAGCCAGTAGATGACAAAGCATAGTAGATAAGGAAGGATATCTGACAAGGGCAAGGAATGAGGCAGATTTCTAATGTCTTAAACATTTCTAATTTCTTCTAATTTCTAATGTAATAAAAATTGGAATTCATCGTGGTGATGCAGGATAATGCTAAAATACTTTGCAGTCCAATGGTTAGTTACAGGAGTCACTAGTTTATATGAAAGATTTAAAAAAATTATAGTTGGCATAACAGGGAATATTTAGCATGGATGGGAAATTGTAGAGAGGGAAAACTATGTCCCTTGTAAAAACAAGAAAGGTAAGTTCTTAAAATAACATGGCTAGAGAAAAAAGTCTATTTTACTTTCCAATAGAAAATAAACATTGTGTAATCCTATTTATGTTATGGGAACAGGAATTAAGCTTCATTGACATTCCTTAAGATGAAAAGTCTATTTGCTAAATCTAATATACTTCAATTGTCAGACTTTTCATAAGGTATATGTCAAACCATAGAATCCTAGCATGTGCTGTACTTGGATTATAACTGTCAGTGGCTGTCAGTAGGAATCACAGAACTGACTTTATGCATCTAACAAGATTCTGTACTTGTGCTTCTCAGCCTTTTTTTTCTGTTAACAATTTAAACCAGAAAATTTAATTATCATTATTAATGCCTTCAGCACAAAGGTTAAAGTAGGTGAGGGAGAATAAGATGGAATGATCCCAATTGTTTTGGGTGACATTAATCCATGTAAACCATGTTGTACATTTTCATTTCACTGTGCAGATAGACTGTTTAGAACATGCATCTTTGTTCAGGCAGTGAATCTGAGCACTGGCTGGTATGACAGACAAGCATCATAGGATGGTATGCCAATGTTATGGATTGCCAAGAGAAGTAATTATCATTTAGTGTGTTACCAGCAGAATAAGGAATAGAAGGGCTTCGTGTTAAGACACCAGTGGATTTTGGTATCACTGAAAAGCTGGAGGAAGTGTTTGAGTTGGAGGGAATGTACATCTCACCCTCCCTTAATGCCAAAGAAAAAAATCTGTTTATGAAAGTTTGGGGTCTGATTGTCTCTCTTGTTATGGATCACAGTGGCAAACGGGGACACTGTGATCCTCCCCTTCCTGGCACTGGTGAGGCTGCACCAGGAGATCTGTGCTGTCTTTTGCTGCCAGGAAAGAAAGACTTGGAAAAACTGGAGAGGGTCGGGCAGGGTGTGGTGAGGACAGTGAGGGGCTTTGTGCAGGTGGCCTTCAGGGAGCATGGGAGGGAGCTGGGCTTGTTCACTGTGCTGAAGAGGAGACTGAGGGCAGAGCTAACAGCAGCTGAGTGGGAGTTGCAAAGACCATTGGATCCGAACTATTTTCATACACCAGATGGCAGCAGCCATAAACTGCAGTTTGAGAGGTTGAGTGTGAGTTTTGGCCAGGGGGGCAGTGTGTCACTGGAGCAAGTTGCCTACTGGGGTTTTGGAGCCTTCATTTCTGGAGGCTTTCCAGTGTCTACTCAGAGAATCCATGACTGATATTGCTATCGACTGATGTCTTTTGAGATTGTAAAAGCACAAACAGGACATAGGATATAGAAAAAAACCTTTGGAGACAGCAATATTTCTTTCAGGAAAACTTGAAAATTATTTTATATGCCGTCAGTTTATTAGTATTGGTAATTTTGTTTTGTTAGAAAGCAACTTCTTTGAAGACTGACAGGCATTGTTAGGTGCTATTAATAGTACTGTACTCGAGCAAACCTTCCATTGGAGTGGTGTTACTTGTAGTCGGGTATGAAAAAATTAGAATATGTAATACTTCAAATTTTGAGATGTTTCCTACATGCTGTCATGTGTTTTATGACTATTTGTACTGAAGCATTAATTTATTTGAAAACTTCAGCCATAACTTGTGTTCAGTTTGCCCTTTGTCACCAACACGTAAGGAATTTGTGCACACTCAGGGTTTTTAGGTAGTAATCTGTGATGAAAAGTATGTTTCTGTGTCTGTCCACAGAGCCTCCTCGTAACAGTGTTTTGGAAAGGACTGCTGGTAGCCTGCATTCAGCTTTGTTCCAATCTCTGTGTTGTTTGTATAAGGCTGTTGCTTTTCAGGGTGAAACTGCACAAGATGAACTTCACTCAATTCCCGTCATCAAACCATTCTGGGCGGAAGTGATCCTGCTCTTCCTTCTGCCTGTACACATTTTCCTGATAATGCACTCCCACTCTTTCCTTTGCAGTGCTTAGTTTGGGCTCATTTAAGCTATTAATTTGTTAAATATGTTAGAACAGTAGAAAATCTGTCCTGCCAAAGAGAATAGTCTTATTTTTGATTTTGTTGAGTGAGCTAAGATGTTGTGACTCAGCTTAAAAATTGTGAGAGACCAGACTTAGTGGGAACTTGGTATCTCTTTTCTGTATTAATAGGATTAAGGGTGTTCGGTGCTTTGTGCAGAGCCCTGTGTATCTTAAGAATAAATGATGCCATGCAGTTCTGATATAGTTCCTGTGACTGATGACAATGTGCAAATTCATTAGGATGCACTGGGGTGGGAGTTCCTCTGAAATCTGACATGCAAGAAATTAATGCCTAAGAATTGTGTCAAATTCCTGTTGGAGAGAAAAGTTTTCTTCTGACTACTCTGACATCTTCATTGCTATTTGTGTGTTAAAGCTGATAGGTACATTTATTATTCACTTTGCATAGGAACTTTATTATCATTCTCTTGTTGAAAAACAATCTTGCACCTCAGTGTTCTGAATGTAACCTGAGGAAGTGTCACTTGAAATTTTCCCTTCTTTGTGTGTCTTGTTTTTTAAAAATTGAGTTGGGATCAGCTTGTGCCATCTATCTGAGTCTCCTGTCTGTTCATGAACAGCGCAGTTTTGGAGCCACTTGGAGTAGGCATATAATTTCTGACTGGCAGCATCATTCTCTCTGGACTTTGTGAACTCAACTCTGGTGTTTCATCCTGTATGTAAACATGAAAGCATGAGCTATGTAGAACTTGCAAAGGGATAATATCAGAATGCCTTTTGGAGCTGCTTCTGTGCATGCTTTCCCTGCACAATGATTCTTTTCCTAGTGACTTCACAGTCAGATAGGGAAAGTTATTTTTGAGTAATGAAGGAACACTTGTGTCCTAGTGTAAAGTTCAGTAGTCATAGGCTTTGATTTTAATTTAACTTTTTTTTATTTTGGTATAACTTTTTTTATTTTTTCTTATGTTCTTTTCAGATGGAGATCTTATAACAATTTTTGATAGCTCAGATCTTTCCTTTGCAATTCAGTGCAGTAGGATACTTAAGTTGACATTGTTTGGTAAGTACAGAAGATTGTATTTTTCTTTTTATTCTACAGTAATGTTTATTAAAATTCAAGCAGTGAGCTTCACTGGAAGGTACAAAAACCTTCCAGTTCGTCACCTCAGGAGGTGAAACAAATGCAATCAATAAGTTAAAAACACTGAATTAATACATCATATCTATTTTCTCTTGATGTTTTTCATGAGATGTCTGAATTTTTGGAAACTGAAACTATTTCTTTTTATAAGATTGCTTGAAGTATTTGGCATACATACATATACATGTGCTCAATGGTTTTTTCTTAGTGTTATTTTCCATGTTACCTTCTACTCTCAAGCATTGGTGGAGTATTTTTCACAGATGCACAAGAATTTGAAGATGGTGATTGTCTCACAGTGTTACTAGTACACTGCTAAAAACTCACATTAATTGCTTAAAGTTGAATAGATTTTAACATTTATCCTTTGGCCTTTGCATAAAATAGTTCTTTATTTTCAAGCTACTATAGGTAACTTAGCACATAGTTCCAAGGAATATCAACCACCTTTAACTTGGACACTGACCTTGTTCATGAATTGCACCAGTGTTGTGTATGCTGCAATAGTTCTAAAAGGACAGCTTCCCACAACCACTGTATTATTGAGGATATATTAATGAAAATGAGTAAACAACACAGAAACTTACTGTGGACTTTGCTCTGGTACTGTAGATTTTGCTGAACTGAGATTATATTAATGGGACATTAAGCTCTAGAATGGGTTCAGTCTGTGTTGATTAAACTTCATCACTTTAAACTCCACAAAGGATGGTGGTGCTACAAGCAAGTAGAAGTTGGAAGTTATTCCATTTTTTTTTTTTTAATTTTCAACTGAATGTCAAAATGTTACTTGCACTCTTAAATTCATCTAATTGCTGTTTTGCAGTGAATGGACAACCAAGACCTCTAGAGTCTAATCAGGTGAAATACCTGCGCCGGGAGCTGATAGAACTTCGCAATAAAGTCAATCGTTTACTGGACTGTTTAGAACCGCCAGCGGAACCAGGGCTTTCCACTAGTCTGCCTGAAAGTGGTAGGAAGCCTGGCAAAGAATTGTTTGGTTTGATTTGTGGAGTTGTGTGCTGTTTAACAGAGTGAAAAATGGAGGCTTGAATGCTGGTTGAGATCATTCTTAATTGTTGCTTCATGGCTCAGAATTTAATTTTTAATGCTTCAGTTATTTCATGGGCAGAATTTTCATTCAAGTTATCTGGACTAAAGCACTAAGCTAACTTAGGAATAAAACTTCAGGGTCCAAGGTTTTGTTACAATTTATGAAAATGCTGTTAACTAACACGTGTGAACCACAACGTCTCAAGAAGTCTTTTAGCTGAATTAATAGTTTGTTGTTGCTGAAGAGTTCTTGCTCCCAGTTGAGTAGTCCCACTGCTTACTTTGGGCTAGCTCTGGTGCTTATCTTTTGTTGCTAAGCAAGTTTGATTCGCTAAAACAGTAGAAAGTGAATTCAGCAAAAATTATATCCACTTTTTTTGCCAGGTTAGGAAATTGAATCCACACATTTTGAGCTCAGACCAGCATCAGAGCTGTCTCAGGGTAAGCAGCACGAAGGGTGCAGGTAGGAGTGGGAAAGGATTATTGGGGGAGGGCAAAATAGGAAAGAAATTCTTAACCTCAGTTTTGAGGTATTGATCTCCTAGCTTAGGGCTGTTCAGCTGTAAACACTGTGCTTCTGTGTGCTTAACTACAGGTTTTGGGTAAGTTGGACACAGAAAATAATGACACAAAGTCATGGAGTGCAGTGCTCTGAGTAAAGAAGTGAACCAAGAACATCAGCCTTCCTTCTAGTGTTTTACACTTTGAAATTTCACTGGTTTTGTTGTTTAAAAAAAGTGCAGCCCTGTTCCTTCATTATATGCAATTACTAATTTCTGTGGAATACCATGGATTCTGGTTATAAACTATTTGGAAGGAGGTTAGTGTGGTGATCTTACAGTGTAAACAAAACTAACCGGTCTGTATCCTATCTGCACTTGTTGGTTTTTAAGAGCAAATACAGCACTGTGTTGGGTATGGCGTTTTTGAGTGATTCAGATACATGTATGATATGAACTTCACCCATCAGGAAGAATTAACGGGGAAAGGTAGAGCACAAAGCAGAAACTGCAGTTGATAAAAACCACTGTAATAAACTGGAACCTATCCTGCACATTTTCTTAATTGAATTCTTTGTAGGCAAGTTGTATCAGAACAGTTTGTTCAAAGCAGGAGCCTTGTGCCTTTGAGTTTCAGACCAAGTGATATATGATACCGATACTCCACAGTATTAGTGTATCTTTAAATAACCTATGCTTTGTGATTCATCACCGATTCAGATACATCAGTGGTTCATCACTGTTACCCTAACCTGAGCATTTCAACAGTTACAACATTTAACCACCCCCCCAAACATACCATCTTAAAGTTGCTGTAGTGCAGCATATATGTGGCGTGGTGGTTCAGTTCTTTAGAGCTAATAAGTGGGCATTCTGTTTTGTAGATGCTGTAGATGGTAGGGAAGAAAAGGCTGCTGCTGCCGATGCTAATGTGAAGCCATCCACTCAAGTTATAGCAGCGAGCATGTCTGCCTTCGACCCGCTGAAGAACCAGGATGAAATCAGCAAGAACGTCATGTCAGCGTTTGGCCTGACGGACGATCAGGTGTCAGGTAAGGATACGGCTTCTGAAGAGCAAACCTCCACCTGTTCATAATCAAGGACTCAAATTTGTAACAAAGCATTTGTACTTTGGACGTATTAAGCTGTGTTCACTATTTCTTTTCAGAATTCTACAATTTCCTGTGTTAAGGTGTTGTAACTGTGTTTTCTAATTTCTGTATACAAAATGTTGAAATCCTGATGTTTTTAGCATTGTGTTTTAGCTTGGAGTAGAAAATGGCTTAAAATTTTTTTGAGTGGTCTCTTCCTCCATGGCACATTTTGAGTATTGTCACAGCATGGTTATTTCACAGACCAGATAAAAGTTTGATGGTACTTAAAAACTTTCAGTAGGCTATCTGAACAAGTAAGCCATAGAATATAAAGTACAACTAGCAGAAAATTTGATCTAATTTTTGAAGGAGTGGTTTTGTCCATGTTAGTTAGTGCTTTGATCAGTGATACTTCATTATTTGTGTCTCCATAATTCTTCTGATAGAGTGAACTGACTTGACCATGCTTTGAATGTACAAAGAATCCCACAGAGGACCATCTAAGCATGATATAAGAATCCCATTTCTAAAGCTATAATTCTACAGGCAAATCCTGAAGCAGGCAGATTTGATTAATTTCCCCGCTAATTAGGGTAACATGAGAACACAACTGAGGGCTTGTTGGATGCATATTTATATTGTGTAAATATAACATTCTTAAAATTGTGAGTGAATTGGCAGCAATTCTAATACTTGTGCTTAACTTTAAGCATTATTTGAAAGTAGTGTCTCACAGCATTCAGATAGTTAAGAGCTGGAAAGATCCAGGTTTAAGCTCCCCTGTTTCTAACGAAATATTTTGCATTTAATTGTAGTATATTATACTTGTTCACATGCACGTTTCAGAACTTCTCACATAGAGAAAATCTGAACTCCCTGTTTCCATGCTGTCTTAAATTGCATGTCATGCAATTAACAAAGCAGACAATTGCTTTTAGATTAAAGCCTGCCATATCCTGTCTGCAAGTGTGATCAGCACCTTCTTTGAAGGTTTTCTGTTCACATGGCATAGGACTGTTGGTAAAACACTTTGTTGCCCAGCCCATGTGGTTCACAGTAAAACACTAATACAATTGAACAGTTTCGTGCAGCCTTTCACCTTTGCTCCAGATGAGAAAGAATAGGTTCATAAGTGCATGTTCTGTCCAAACATAGCAAGTCTTCAGTGTACGTGTGCAAGGTTAACACTTGAAGCTGTAGAAAAAGTATGTTGTCATGAAGGGTTTTATCTCACAAATGGGTCAGTTTCCTCGGAAGGATGCAATCTGAGTGACCTACAGACGGGGGGAAATTTCTCCCGCAAATATTTTCAAAGGAAATTTTAGATGTGAAAATATGTATTTAATTTTAGCTTAGCTTGGACACAAATCTGTGGATAACTGGAAAAAATGTTGAAAACATTGCAAGTGGCCTTGTGTTAGATTTTCTTGTTCAAACTCTCTGTTAATTTCACATACTGTATCTTGTTCTTGCTCCTCTAGGACCACCCAGTGCCCCTGCAGAAGAGCGATCGGGAACGCCGGACAGCATCGCTTCCTCCTCTTCTGCAGCCCACCCCCCTGGTGTGCAGGCACAGCAGCCCCCGTACCCCGGCACGCAGCCACAGACAGGGCAGGTGGAAGGTAGGCAGCCTGGTTTCCTGCTGTTTAAGATGTGAATGATGGTGTCTGATTCTGACTTCAGTTAGTAGACCCAAAGTCGATACCAAACTACAAATCTGTGTGTGCTGGCAGGCAGAACTTCTGTTCTTACATGCTGTTCGATGAAGAAACAGCAGATGGAGCAGTGGCTCCATTTGAAAGGTTGGGTGATGTAAATGACCAGAATTTTTATGGTACTGTTCTCTACTTGAATCTGTGCTCACTTTACTGTAAGACACATTTATATACTCAGTGCTTTAAAGCTGTCTCAGGATGTTGGTTTGTATCATACACTGTGTGTTGCTGTGTCGAGCTTTCACTCAACTGTTTGTTGACTTGTCTACTATGAATTAAAAATGTTGTTTCTTCATCATTTCTATCTAACAGAATGGAGCTGTTGTTTTATTGCTTCTTTTTTATGTATTGCTTGGTGCTAGTCAGGTAAAACCTTGTAGCTATCTTTTATGCATGGTAGTTCCTGTGTAACTCTTGAGAGCTTCAGCTGGCTCTCCTTTAAGGCCCAGAGTCTTAACTCTGGTATTCAGTTTTGTTTGCACTATGCCCTTTTATGTATAATTTGACTTCTCAAAATTAACGTATTCAGAGGTTTGCTACATTTGGGCATCGTTTTTTTCATTGCTATTTTGTAAGAGCACTGAGCCTTCAGACCTACACAGTTCTGGATTTAACTGTCCATGGAATAACTTGCTTTGATATTTCTTCCCCCAAATGAAGAATAATATAAAGTTGTTTCTGTGCTGGTGTAGGCACAAGTTCCAGCCTTCTGCTGCCTTCTGTACTGACATAATGCTGAGATGTGTGAGAGGGTACTCACAGTATCCACATCACTTGGATTGTCTTGCCTGAAGGGCAAAAGTAATATTTTGATTGAGCAGAATATTTGAGCAACTGGTAGTTACATATAATATTTATGCAGGCATGAATACTGTTGGTTGCAGTGGAGCTTATTGAACACTTCTTTTGCTACCTCCAGCTTTTTATTTTTTTTATTTTTGCTTATTTCCCTAAGAATTAGTCAAGTGTTTTAACATAGTGAGAGACATCTTTGTAACTTAAGCTGTTTGGCATTTATGTGTGGAAGTTACAAAGAAGTGAAACACTTAAAAGCACTAGCAGCACTAGATTGGAATCCTGCATGGCTGCAAACACCAGGAAAGGAGAAAAAAAACTTGTTTCCATAAAACTCATCTTGGGAAAGAAATTATCTAGGCTCATGTATTAGAGTAGATGTAATGATTTTTCTAAACTTTTCAATGGGATTGGCTCACATAAATGGCACTGCTGATGCTGAGCAGGTTCTTGTTAGAAACTAGTTTTGAAACTAGTTTTAAATTATTAGTTCACTGCTTAAAAAAAACCAAACGCCCCAAGCTGTGCTTCCCCCACACACCTTCCCAGTATTTTGAAGATATAAGTAAACTGGTGATGCCAGTCATGTGTCATTCTGTCAATCATATATCAGGGATTGTTTTTAATGGCATTCTTTGCCAGTAAATGATGCTGTGATGATTATGATTTGGTTATTAGGTTGTTATTTGTGAATACCAAGTCACCTCACTTTTGTGTGCTGATACTACAGAAGGGCTTGCCTCCCTTGCTAAATTTTAAGCATTCACTAGTTTGAATTCGATCAGTGCAAAAAAAATGTTTCAGTGCAGCACTGTCTCTTGCAGCCTGCCAGTGCTTTTCTACCACTATATTCAGTCTCTGAAAACACATGAGAACCAATTATGTACAGATGTGGACACTTTTTTAGTCTTTGCTGAAAATACTTGTAAAATCTCATTCACATAAGCACTTCATGATCTTCTAGGGAAAAGACTGTTGTGTGAATATACATAAATGGTCTTTTTTCTATGTCAGGCTAAAATGTCTTTTTCAGTGCACAGGAACAATGGTAAATGCTGGCAGATCCTTGACTGCAATAGCACTGCTAAGTACAAAACCAGACACCCATGCTGTGGCTCATCTAGTTTTCAGAGTGAAAAATCCAGTGAGGGGGAAAACTGTATTTGAGGACCCATAGGATCCCTGACTGCAGTCATGGCTGTAAATTAAGAAAGTTTTCTTGAATGGCACTGGAACACCTCTCTGTTCCTCGCTAATGCTTCAATCTTGCCGAAGACAGCGAGCCTTCTCAGAAAGCTTGGTAAACCTCCATGGTGTTTCTTTCATATCCCTTTATCTGGGCTTTCCAGTAGGTGCCAGTGTGGTCTCTGTGTTAGCCTGTAGGTAATTATCCCGAGACAGGCAGCCTGCTGGTTGTTCTCCCAGAACTTGCCCATAACAACTGAGTTTGAGAAACAGATCTTTTGTTTAACACCCTCATTGTCTCACAAGATTTGCATACCAAGTAATATTTTGAGTGACTGCACCAATATAAAGTATTATGAACACCTTAGTGTGAAGGTAAAATACTGTTCCTTTCAGCTGCAAAAAATGCAGAAAAAAGAAGAAATGAGTTATTTTAAAGCAGTGTGCACAGGGGTCTCTGAGGACTTGGAGCAGACTTGCTTTTGTCTTGGTGCAGCTCAGAAGATAGAGTTTGTGGTCTGTTTATACAGTTTGTTGATCTTTGCAGAATGAATAATAGTACAGTAACACTTCATAATAGTAAAGTTTCCATGTCTGCTCCAGTTCAGCTAAGCTTTAGTTTTGGCAGTTAATTGGTTTTGTTCGTTGACTGTGCCTGTTACTAAATTGAAAAACAGCAGAAGCATAAAGCTTAAGTGGAGCCCATAGGTTGTCTAAACAAATATTCTGCCTCTTCTGGACAAGAAATTGAAAACAGTGAATTTGGGAAAAATAAGCATTGCCTTGGACTACCCAAGGTTAAGAATGTATGGTTTTATTTTTCCTTCGGGTGTATACCCCTGGGTCTCTTCAGAAAACTTGGCGATGCTGAGAGATGGCTGACTTATCTGGAAAATGTGGTCAGCATAAATAATGTACCACTCTGCTTACAGTACTTTGTTGCAGAAATGGCCTTAAAAACCTAATATAAACAGACAGTCTGAGGACATGTTTAACTTTTGAAGTACTTAAATTTACGGTGTGAGTTCTGGAGCAGTTACGAAGATGTTTAAAGATTCCTGGTCTGTTACCCACTAGAGTAGTGCTAAGGTGCACAGCTTCTGGTGTCCTCTGGAAATGTGAACTAGTAAGCCTCACCTACCAAATCTGTGGGAGATAGACAAACATCATTTAGCCTTCAGAACAGCATGGTTCAGAAACTGAAATCTGTACATTGGTTTCAGCTGGAAATCAGGTAGAACACATACTCAGACTTCACTGTGTTGAGGTTTCCTATAAAAGGTTTTTACGTGCTGTGAGAGGGTCTGTTTCTGTGAGTTTGAACTGCCAGGATATTGTTGGCTGTGTGTTTATAATACAGGTAGGGTACTGGGCTTCAATTAAATACGTTTTTAATCCATAGGTCAGATGTATCAGCAGTACCAACAGCCTGGTTACCCTGCCCAGCAGCCGCAGGCTCAGCCCCAGCAGCAGTACGGCGTGCAGTACCCAGGTAAGCTGCTCCCTCGAACAGCAGTTCGGCTGCAGAACCCCCTGAGGTCCTGAGCCTGTGAGTTTTGGTTCCTGACCCTGTGGGACAGGTCAGGGTACTGAGCTGCCCAGGTGCCTGTGTTCCTTATGGGAAGTAGCACAATTCAAAAGTGACCAGTAAGAGAACACTGTAGGTGTCTGTGTTGTTGATCCATAGTCAGAGTTCTGGTATCTCAGTCCTACTTGATTGTGGCCAAAAGCAGACTTCATTATCAATCAGCAGAATGCCTTATTAGAAGGGCAGGCAAAAGGAATCACCTGAAGTATGAGCAGCCTTCAGGATTAACTTCCACAGTCATGGGATTGTAGCAAGTGTCTATAACACCCCCGTTCAGCTTCCTTAGATTCTGGAGGTATCTAAAGATGGCCTCTCTTTCCTCATCTAGGATGATCTCAATGCACAAAATTTAGTGGTGTGAACACTGTAGTTGTCATTTAGTAAAATCTCTGGCTATTATAAATACTGTAAATTTCAGAGAAACTTTGAAGTGATAGATTTTTTTTTTTTTGGTTGTTGATTTTGCTGATACCTCAGGTGAAGATGCCAGTAGACTTTTAGTGTGGTTTTTGTGCAGTGATATTTGAACAACTGTATACCCAAAATAAACTGGACTTCAGAACTTGCTTTAGAAGCAGCTGGCATCTAATAAAACATAGTAGGAATCACAATCCAGATAAAGTACAGGGATGAACACGTAAGAGCAGGTTGCATAACAAATTGCACATTGCTTAATACTTCTAGAAAATCATACAAGGCATTTATCATTTATTGTTTTAAAAATCTTCCTTAAATTAAACAAAAGACTCCCATTAAGTGACTCAGCCAGTGTGACCTTGTCATGGTACACAAGATATACAGTGGGAGCGCATCAGTTTTTATATAGATGAGAATATTTGCAGAGTTTACAAAGATGTTTAGCTTGGATTAGAACTTCAGAACACTTGAACTAAAGGTTGTTGCCTCAGCCCTTGTTCCTGTGCACTGTGTGCTGGTTGGTTTTGGTCTCTAAATGGTATCTTGTTCTCTGCAGATTTCTCACCCACACATTTATAATTAGACAGTGACAGACTCGCTGAAGTCTAATTTCAGAAGAAGTAACAAGCCTGTTGGAAGTAGAAGAGTCTATCTGATTTTTTTAGGCTTAAAAGCTGAGTGGGAAAAAAAAAAGGAGTTCTAATCTGCTTTCTAATCATCTAATCCATTATTTTACTGGAGATGTTCCTGTGAAAGCTGTAGTGCAATGTGAGTTCTACATTCTAACCAACATCATCAAGTAAGAATGAAACTCCACCAAAAACTGATCGGGGTGCCTCTGTTTCTCATAAGTTCTTTCACAATCAACCTAATCTGTCAGAAACAGTCTTTTTTTTGAGGTGGCAGCAGCCTTTGAAGATGTTGAGTCATAGGATTTTTTTTGTTTTGCTTTTGTTCCTGTGAGTATTGTCTCTTTTTGAACTCATGTCTCCCAAGAGCAGGATCTCTTCCCACTCTTGTAGATCTACTAGGCAACAGTGTGGCTATTTATACATGGTAGTAAAAATGGACCCTTCAGAGGTTTGTCTCTCTCATGAGTAAATTTTGATCCCAGTTTCAAGGTGAGTTTACTCCAGTGCATTCTTACCCTTACTCTTTCTGTTTAGGGCTGTGCACTTTTAATAATTTGTGTGTCTGGTGTTTAATGCTGACAGGATTCCAGTCACTGGAGAGGTTTCATTGCAAGTAGCTGCAGGTGTGTTTCATGATGGTTAAAAGTAGCTATTTCTTCATAAAAGGACTTTGTGCCATTCTAAAGTTTTCAAGAAGAGAAATTCCTTTTGGAAGCTGGTTTTATACAGAAAAGTCAAGTTTGCGACATGTTTATATTGAAGTTTTGTACTAAAGTGTTCTGTTCTGCACAGTCTTTTCATATTTAATGCTAAAGAACTGAAAACACCTATAATTTAACCAGAGGTATGACTTATGTTAAGCAGCGAGAGTATTTTCATGGCAGTAATTTGGAGGTTTTGTTTGGGAAAAGGTTGTATTTTGCCTTACTTGCCAGTGATGGCTTTATTTTTCATGTGATATGAAGTGAAAGACTATGTGTCTTTTTTTTTTGTTTTGTTTTGGTTATTCTGTGTCAGTCACTATTTTATCCTAACTGTTGTCAGTGTGCTGTGCTGCCACGGTAGTGCACAAAAACCCAAGCCATGTGCTTATGTGTGAAAGGCAGGAAAACTTGTAGTTCACTCTTGGTTTGCATTTTCTCCGCTTACTGCATTGTTTTGCATTCATCACTGTAAATATTAAAAAAAAAAAAAAAAAAAAGCCTTTCTGCAGGCACCCACGGTTCTTTGCTGCCTCTCACCCCACCTTGCTCTCTGCCTTTCCAGCAGGCTACAGCCAGCAGCAGCCCCCGTCGCAGCAAGCTCAGCAGTTCCCGGCCTACAGCCAGGCGGCCCCGGCCCCGGCCGCCGCCTTCCCGGGGCAGCCGCAGCAGCTGCCGGCACAGCAGCCACCGCAGTACCCCGCGGGCAGCTACCCCGCACAGCCCTACACCACGCAGGCCTCCCAGCCCGCCGCCTACAGCGGCTCCCAGGCGGCGCCGGGCACCTTCCAGCCGCGGCCCGGCTTCACCCCCCCGCCCGGCAGCACCATGACCCCCCCGCCCAGCGGGCCCAACCCCTACGCCCGCACCCGTCCGCCCTTCGGCCCCCAGGGCTACACCCAGCCCGGACCCGGCTACCGGTAAGGAGGTGCCCCTGCAGCTACCGGTAAGGAGGTGCCCCTGCAGCGGGCAGCTGACACGAGCGATTCCATCCCAACAGACTCCAGGATTTTTAATTGAGATTCCAAAACTGTAATGAGGCGAAACTATAGCTGTTAATTAAAATCTGCTGGGGGAAGGGAAATGACCAAATCTTTCCTGCTTTAAATTGTATCCGCTTCCTAGTTTAATTTGGGGCCGGGTGGTTTTTGGGAAACACTACTTAAATGTCTATAAAGTGATTGACATTCTAGCTTGCCTTGTCTGAAGGATATGAAGATGCTAGTTGGAAGTATAGCCCACTTACTGGGCTTGTTTTTACTAATACCATGATGTACTAAATTAGATTCATTCTGGAGGTAAAACTAGATATGATGTATTATAAATTGTAATGCTCACATGGAAGAACTAATAAAAACCCTGAATCTATCAAGTGGCTGATCTTCATTCTAGAACTTAGGTAATACTGGACAAGAAACCTGTATAAGTCCATTGTGCATGCTGCGTGTACAGACTGGGCAGTAAGGATCAGCAGTGCTCGGGTGTGTAGGAGGAGGGGCAGATTTCTAGGTGTGTAAATGGAGAACTGCTGGGAGTAGAAATGGCAGTCACAGAGGTTTCACAGCGGTGGGTGGGTTTGTCCTGCCTGCTGTTGTTAATTGCCAAGTAACCCATTTACCAACTGAATAGGAACCAATCCATAAAACCTTACAGCCTCTTATCAATTTCACTTTAACAAGGGCTGGGGGAGAATTAGTTTATTATGTGAACATTCAAGCCAAATGTGTATCTTTAAAAAAGAACTCTTTAAAAGAAACTACTTTCCACAGATTCTTTGCCACCCAGAAGAATTTGGAAGTGCAATCCTAGTGACTCAATTCTGAGCCAAGAAAAAGCAGATCAAGGGCTGTAACGAATTCAATAGACCATATTACAGCAGAGGGCAAATCATTCTCCAGTTAATATTTTCCATCTTGCAGATTCTAGGAATATGTAAAACTAAGTGGGGAATAAAAAATGAGCTTGAGCAAGCTGCTTGAACTCTCCTAAAGACAAATTAGCATCCTTAAATAGTGCTGTGCCCACATCAGCCATGCTACCCAGTAAGCTGTGGCTATACCTACTTTTTCTTCTCAGGTCTAACACATATGGTGTGTTTGTCACACTGTTTAACACGGGCCTATTTCCAGGAACCAGTTTGCTCTGAATAACAGAATATATCTGTGGCATTTGCCACAGAAACTAATCCCTGTTTTCATGTAAAACACTTGAGAAAAACACTTGATTAAAAAATATTTTATTAGGAGTACAGTGTACCTGCAATGTACTTTATAAGGTATTTTCTATAAATGACTACTATATATATCTGGGTGTTCCTGTTCATATTTCTTCAATACATTAGTAAGGTAATGAATAACACCTTTAAAAAAACCTACATCTCTTTATTTAGTTCATAAATGTTCAAGCAGTACAACAAGTAGCTTTGGGAGAGGTTTTAATCAAAGTAACTGTAAAGCAGTTTTAAAGTTCAGTTATCATTATTTCCCCTTTGTCCCCAATGAAAAATGTTTTAGATCACAATTTTTCTTCTTAAATTAAATAAACCTGATCATGCTGTTATAACTAGCTTATTTTTTTTCCTCTCTCATTTGTCTTTCCAAGTTCCCCTGCATGGTACATACATTTGGCTTTTGAACCAGTAAGTCTCAGTGTCTGAAGACTACATTTTCATGCAAAGCCCCAGCCGTGGAAGCCAAGTTTCATTGTTTCATTCCATGTATGTATGTACCCGTCCACTTTAATTAGACAAAACCAAACCCACCCGCCAGCCACTGCCTCGGTCATGGGCAGCAGCTCTGACTCCATAATGACAGGCCAAACATGGCTTTTGCTGGAGTTGAAGCATTTGAAAACAAACAGATGCCCCCCCCAATGTGATAATTTAAAGCTGCACATATAGCAACCTACCTCGGCATTTTGGCAGGAGTATAAACTGTACGTGTAAGAAGAAAGTGCTTCAAGTTTACTGGCTGCAGGATATTAAAAATTGTAGGATCTTTTCTATAATTTATGACTGGGAGACATTACAGATGGATCTGGACAGGTAGCTTATGGCACTTGCATTACAAGACGACCAGGGAATATTTAAAAACTAACATACATTGCATTCCGTGACCAACTCTGCCATATCTGTGCCTTAAACATTTATTACAACATCACGATAAATAATAGACACACCGTATCTTTTAAAATACCATAGAAACCATACCTCAAGAATAGGGAGCCAGCTTCCCTATACATTATCCTACAGCATGTCCCTAGCCTGTTTGTGTTTTTAATCTAAAAACAAATTTGTAAAACTGGATAACTACAGTAAGCAGCCTACGCTATTACACAATGAATGCAGTATTGGCATTAGACTTGTATAAACCCTGGCACATGAGCAGGCACTGAAGTGCCAGGCACACCGTAAGCGTTGCCGTCCTCGAGCCTGCGCTGGGCAGTGGGGTGGAGGTGGCACATGCTGGGCCTCTTCACCAGCTTCATGTCGCATCTACCACTTCCCAGGGATTGATGTGCCACACTCGTACCAGCGGACGTAGTTAATTTGAGTCTCCCCACCTATTTTTCCAAATTTGACAGGTTCCTGACGAACTGCCCTGAAAAATCCTGCAACAGAGAATAGAGCTTAGTTTGCATGAAGCGCTCAGGACTACCATGCTTTGATCTGTCTGTGAAATCTGTGTACAGTTCAGTTAGTCTCTAAAATAGTTGCTAAGCTGTTAACATGTCTGCCACAAGCAGGGCTGTTTGCTGCCCCTACATCCATTAGGTCTCTGGAATTTGTCCACCCAACTCGAGGCAGATGTGCTTGGGATGGTGGCAGCCCTGAGTGGGAGAGGTGAAAGGCTGCCTTCCCTTGAGACGCCAGCACCCACCCGGGGATGGTGCTGGCCAGTGCCCTTCTGTCTCCCCTCTGGCTATGACAGGGTCTCTGAACATTCGTTGCAAAGTCACAATGATTAAATAGTCCCCACTGCAGTAGCCTTGAAACTTCAGTGAACTTCAGTAAAACTCAGCCACTGGGGATAGTTCACACTATCTCCACATCCCCAAGCGACAGATCGTACCTCCTGCTTTCAGTCTGTTACCTTTGACAACACACGTGCTTCCCTTTCAAACAACTTTAAATTACAAATTAAAGTGAGCAATTAGGGCCGAATCCAACACGATCATCAGAAATGTATGTGTGGGTAATGCAGGCATGTCTGCACGCAGGCATGCAGGCACACACAAAATACTGTTCTGCCAATGATACACAACATCAGCCATGATTCCCTCGCTGCACTTCAGGTCAAATATATGTAGTTAATTCAGAACTCAACTTGCTGCAACCAAGAAGAAAGCGAGCAGCAATGGACAATTGGTCTGTTCTTTCCTCTGTTCACTTCATTGACTAGAAAAATAAGCTACAGAAAAGGTGGAGTCTTCTTTTGTTTGCTTGTTTTGCTCATGAACTCAAATCCAGTTCTTGAAATCAAGTTGGTTTTAAGTCTTTTAAGCTGAGGTAGTAAGCTTATTACATAAAAGGTTTTTTAAAATATAAAATCTTTAAAAATGTAAATCTGGTATAACTGAGAGGTTTGCTGTTCTGGCAATGTCAAATTGGATTCAGACCATCTCTTGCACAAAGAAAATACCTTTACAAACGGGAAACACTGGGAAAGGAAAAGCAAGACCCTCTTTAGAAAAAACAAAACACATAAATAAACACCCTTCAGGTTGTTCGCCTACTTTGTTTTTTGGAAAAACTTGTGAAAGATTTAGGAACTTCACATTCATCTCCCACACCTACCTCAACACATTTCTGGACTTCTGTAGGGTATTTTATAACTGAGGCACAGGAGGGTTTGGTCAACACACTGATATTGGACTGAAAACCATTCTGCTGTTTTTCTCATTAAAATATTCCATGACAAGCTCAGCACGCGCGTGTACCAGCACAGCCTGTGTTCTTACCCCACAAGGGAATGGAATACCTCACACTGGCATGGCTGCCAAGCAGCAAGGCTGGAGTTCAGCTGACACAAGTACAAATTTCATATTCTCCAGCCTCAGCAATGTGTGAAAAATAGCCAGGCAGGTCACAGCTGCATTTAGGACATCTACTTCCATGTCCACTCAGACCAGACTGGAGTTTTGGGCACCCAGTTAAAACCAGTACACACAGAACTACTGCAGCGTGAATTATATTTTCCAGTAATAACTTTTCAGCTTCTTGTCAGCACCAAACAAAGCTGTTTAATGCCCAACTGATGATTTACTGCTCTTTAAATCAACCTTGCTAGTTTGAACACAACACTTTATGCCTCTCTGCAGACTCAAGTTTGTGATTGGGTTTAAGTATGTAATACCAACTGTGAGTAATCTGCTGGAATGTTTTAAACAGGAGAGAGGCTGTTTACTACTTAACAGAACTGGAGTCATAACCGTCTTAATAAATCATCATTCATCTTGAAAAATGTCTTGACCCTCTTCTGCCTGCAAAGACGGCAGTTCCTTTCCATCACCCACCCCAGCAGTGGGTATCCAATCCACTGGCAAGAAAAAGAAACAGAGGAATTGCTGAGGTTTGCTGCAGAGACAGGCATAAGAAATTACCATCTTTGACTGGTAGATCTTCTTGCTGTCCTGTCCTTCCATCTAAGAATGAGTCTACAAATTGGCAGTGATCTTCTCCATGGCCCCTCTGGTCTCCTATGTTATAAAATTTTCCTGAAAGCAAAGAAGGAGCAAAGTATAGTGAGGGCTGTTTCCAAAAACCACCAGAGGCAATGGGCTGTGCTCTTTCCTCTGTGGGGAAGCCAAGGTGAATGCTATGATTCTTTTCCTCTCAGGACCTGTAGCTGTAATTTGAAAATGATGTGCAGGTTCCAAGTACAGTGCTCATGGCTACTGACAAAAATGCCCCACTCCTGGCCAAAATTATGCCTGGATGTAATTTTCCCCCCTCCTTACATTTCATATAATAAGGGAAATTCAGTTACTACCTAGAAGCTCACCCTGATTGTATCAAAAATGAGGTAAGTTTTGCTAGTGATTTGAGTGGAAGGCAGGTCTGGTTCCCTGTCAGGAAGCCTCCAGTACCTTCAAAGATGTTTTTGTAGACCACCTCCTAACACAGCTGAGGTCTGTTTTATAAATCGTCGTATTTTTACAACATGTATGTGCAAGTGATATCCTTTAACATATGGATGACCTTGGTCAGTAACTGCTTATCCAGAGCATTAAGTGTGCCTGTGTATTTATTTGCAGGATTGTTTAACAGGACACTTGACTCAACTGAGTAGAAAACAAAGTCTCAAGTGCCCCATGCAGTGTGTGCTGATGTTATGGGCTGTGCTTATCCTGTTAACAAAGGGAGTCACAGTGAAGGTGTTTTGACAGATGTTTTTACTTACTGATTTGATTTGCAAGACAGTAAAATTCAGTTCAGAAGATGGAGGAGAGCATGCTACGTTCTCACCGTTCTTTCTAAACTCTTTTCACAGCACTTAATATGTTCAGCCTTTGGTTGTGAGGTTGAAAGGAAAGGTGAGAGCATTTAGAAACAGGCTCAGCACTCTGGTATAAGTTAGGCAGAAAATCCAGTTACTCATTAGACACTGGGTGTCCTGTAGCCTTGAATCTGTGCCAGCCTGGCAATTTCAGAGATGGTGAGGTGGCTTTTATACTGCTCCCAAAGGGCAATTAATTAAAGAGCAGCCTACCAATAAACTCTTTCTCATGTTCGTGTGATCTGAGAAACACTTTGCCAAAATTTCTCACCTTCAGTTGATGGCCTGTGTGCGTGCGGTTCTTCTCTAGCTTTACAAAATTATTTATTACTATCTAGCTTTGGCTGCAGACATGTTTTTTCCATAGGAGAACTGGTCAGAAGGAGTTCCTCTCAGCAATTTTTTGGTCTGAAATTAAGAACACTCAGGCTGCCCAAAAAGGCATTTTTTTTTTCCATGGCTGTTGAAGGTCACACATAGAATTTATTTTTTTCCTCCTCTCAATAAATACTTATTTTTAGGTGGCCTGCTTTTCTGGAATGCCTACAGTGACTGCTCTGGAGGACTGTTAAATGAGGTCAGCAGTAGATGATGGTTTATAGAACAGTACTGGCATGTGTAACAGAGATCAGTTTTTCTTCATAAGAGGCAGAATAAACCAGAAATTTTTATGGCTAACACCAGAACTTTCAGATACACACATACTCTTCTGACCCAGAGCTTAATCTATGCATAACTCAAACAATTGCTACACATAAATTAGCAGCATTCTAAGTGACTATTACATTCTTACTGCCCAATTATTTCCATAATAAAAGAACATACTTAAAAACGTTTAGCTAGGAACTGACTGTTTTTCTGTTTTGGGGATAGGAATTCTAGCATAAAGTAAATTTTTTCCCCAGTATTACTGTATGGGTGGTCTTAAAAATGTTAGGTCTTTGTTTTATACATTATGAATTCTGCAGCACTAAAAGTGTAAATTCATGCTAAAAGTCAGCATGTCTGTCGGCTGCCTCATACAACAGCATTTGTACAATGCACCCAAATTTCGGGGTAATTCCATTACTTCAACAGCAAAGCTCTGGAAGGTATTTTCAGCGTCCAGCGGACCTCAGCACAGCCTTTCACTACTGGCACACATCTCCCAGCTGGCTGGTGCTTGCAAGGACACTTCCTCTGGCCCCGGGAGCAGGATGAGGCGAGGTGTGACAGTGAAATACATCAGAACAGTTTGGCTTCAAAGGGGAAAATTTCTCACTCTCACGCAGAGGCCTCACTTAGCAAATGGGGGGAAAGCAGCTTTCCTTCTGCGCAAATATTTCACTTCTTTTAAATATTGTGACAACTGGTTAGCACTGGTTGTAACAATTCAAGTGCAAGAACCAGGCTTAGCAAGTATAATGAATACAGTGTGTCTGCCTCATCTTTCTCCAGCGAGGTTAAGCTTCCACCCTTCCAGCAAGAACAAAAACAATCTAATGAAAATAGGAAAATGGGCTCCTGATACTAAACTTTGCTTTTAAGATTGGAGTAGTTTTCACTGCAGTGTTAATTCACTTGATTTAGGGCTGAAGTCTAGTCCTGCTAGATTAGCAGGACTATTTCCTCTACTGGCTGGTTTTGGGATACCTCATTGCCAGTGCTTGTCATTTGATCACAGCTGATTAGTACAGCATCAGTTGAATGAATGATACCTCTGTTCAAAACAGTCTCTTTTATTCCTGTAATTGCTAAGGTGTTATTTACATATGAGGTATTGTTCTTCCTGTTAATGACAAGACTTCCTCGTCTGCTCATTGGAGAATAGTTCTGGTGCAAGGCAGGGAAGCTTGAAGTTATAACAACATGAGCTGCCTTACACTCCTCTCCTCTTTTATTTCCATATTCCTACACACGGAGACCAGAGCCCTGCTCCTGTGAGGTGCTGAGCTCTGAGATGGGGCAACTTTGGGTTATGAAAGTGGATTCTGTCAGCCACAGTATCTCCTAGTTTATTCGATCCAATGTGTTGAACACACTTGCCTAAATTTCACTCAAAAGGCATTTCCCATACATGGTTGTATGATACTCATTGTGCTCTGGATGCCAGGCTAATGCCATTGTCATTGAGCTGTCCATGATAAAAGACCTCGTAGAGAAGAAAGCTAGAAGCTTGGGATGGATTATAAGAAGTTAATATATTTCTAAATACAGTAAATATAGCTTGTACAATCTACATGAGTCACGAAGGTCTGCCTATCAATTGACTGAGACCCTTTTTACAGGCTGTGCCCCCCGCATACACACAGCATGTGTCACTTGATTCAGGTCTTAAATACATCACACTCTATTGGCCTAAAGACACTAAATAAAACTTGAGAAGATAAGGCCAGGAGGCTGGTCTTAGTAATAAAATGTAACATAGGGAGAAATAAAAAAAGGTGGAGGGGAAGGCAAAGTTGTGAATGTGATAACAAAATAAGTGTGAAAGCAGGTGAGTAAAACCTGTTGACTAGAGCTGAACTCATGTATTTATAAGTCTCTCAGTAATGAAGTACCCTGCCGTTTACCGAAAAGGATGGAAATAACTGAGTCTAATCCTGACCTAAAATTAAGTCCTGATCCTCTAATTAAGAATTATTCCAGGCTACCCTTTAAATACAAATTTGGCACTTTTACAACATATGCTATTCACTCTGATCTGTATCAATTTTTTGTATGATCCTCAGTATACCAACAGGTACTTAAAATCAGATGATCACCACAGAGAAGTAACTTCTGAGTCTGAAAATTCAGTATCAAACACATCAATGATTATTGAGCACAAGCAGATTACTGTTTATGATTAATCTGTCTATGCACTAAGTTAAACATATCTGATCACACTTCAGCAGAGCTCATCTTGTTAAAACTCTTAGTTCTGGAACCATGATATCGTTCAAGAGTATGTAATGTGAACAACACTGATTTGAATGTCTCTTACCTGTAAGTGAATCACTGAGGTATATTTTGTATCTCAAAGAATTGCACAGCTGCACACCTACAAACTTCTTATACCAGGTCCTCTTGACATATTGTTTGCCTTTGCATTCTGAATATGTGTCTGAATTGAATGGGATTTCAGTCCAGATAGCATCTTTTCCCACTGCAGGAGAGGAATAAAAGAGGCTGAAGTATGATGCTGCATACAAAATTATGCACAAAAAATACATTTGAATGACTAGAATTAGAAACCTTGATGAAGCAGAATGTACCATGACACCTGCATTTTGAACATGAAAAATATTTCAGGGAAGCACCAAAGAGTGCAGGTATGATTAATGCAGTGAACTCCTCCTACTCTCATGTAGTACCAGTTTGGAATAAGCTCATTCTAGTGCCTTGCTAGGGGGACAATGTCTGTGTGTTGACAAAACTCTCATTTACAGAGTGCGTGATACAGTCATCATTTTTCAGTGCATTTAAGCCAAGACAACCTGAAGCAAGTTGTACATGATTTAACAAAAATACACATAAAAATTATATATCATTAATTATGTGGAAAGAAATGGTGTCTCAGTGCTTGTCAACGTGATGTCCATTAAAAATGCAAAAAGCAGCCCAATTTGCTTGAGTGATCTCAGCTCTTCTTCAAAAACTCAGTCCACCTCCCACCAAAGACAGCAAGAGTCTTGTAAGGTCTAAGCAGAGCTAGATCAAGCCTTCTGAAGCAGGACATTTTTCTAAAACACAATGACAGATAAACAGAATCCTCTGAGTTGTGCCTGTTAACTCACTTAAAAAGCATGGAGTAACTTATTCATTTTACAGAGCTTTCTGTGCTTTAATGACAAAGCTGAGAAAATATGAGACTGTCCTTGGCTCATTTGTGTACATTGGTTTGAAGCCACCCCAGCTGCCATGGGAGCTCCACATCACGCTGATTGTGTTCCGCTCAGGTAAACAAGCAGCCTGGCATGAATTCCTTACCAGGGCTGTGCGTGGAAGGAGTGAAACCATGTGTGAATGCTGTTTGATTACAGAACTCATTTAATTGGTGCAGTACAGCCACCCCCCTCACAAAATTATGCTATCTCATTTCTGAAAAAAGTCTTGATCAGGTACATATAAAAGAGGCTTACTTGAAATTGGCTCACTCACTCTTGGGTCCGCTGGGGGAAGAAAACAAACATTCAATCAGGCACTGTAAAATGAACACTCCCAATATTTCAATGGAAAAGCATAGGTAAGTGATTTTTTACAGCTGACATAAGCTGTAATTTGTGAAACAGAAAGAGTTTTGGAAGCAAAGTAAACTTTTGCATTAAACTAAATTAAAAGAAATATATTTCTTATGTGAAACTCCAGTATCAATGAGCTTTTAAAAATTTTATTCATGGGACAACACCAGCCAAACAGAGTTCTAGTAAAAACAAAAGTTTAAACCTGTAACCAGCAAAACCCAATTGTACTGTGTCTTATTAAAATTTCAGTTTCAAAACCTAAATAATAAAAAGGACACATCTGCAATACTTGCCACAAAAATCTTGGCCCAATATGGGAGAAATGGTGTGTGCAATTAAGAAAAAATAAAACTGAATGCTTAATTTGTCCAAGCTAAATAGGAGACAGAACATAATCCTTGTCATTCATGAAAACTGCACTTGGCATAAACAGGTTTTTTTCAGTTTTAACAATCTAGGATTACAAAGAGTGTATTCAGAGTTTTTAAATATGTGTGGCATGGTCTGAACTACTCCCTGAGTAATTTCTTGCTCAGCCAGAAAACCATCAGTGACAGCACTAGATGAGGACTATTATATTATTACACCTGGCTCAAAACACGGATGGAGAAATTCCTCTTAAAAAGCCTAAATCCATTTTATGCTTTATGTGGACCTTAAATACCATCAAGAAATAAACACTTCTACACAAAAGATGGTATCTTACTTGCAAAAAGTCAACAAGTCAGCTGTAGTTAGCCTCAGGGGGAACAAAAGTAATGCTTTAATTATCATCTCTGAGTCAGATACGACTTGACTTAGGAACCAAACAATGTCCAAAACAGGCTTGTATGCACCTCTGTAACAGTTTCACAGGAGAGTAAACAGGATGGAAGGGGACTACCGGGACACTGACTTTTCCCAACTGCTCTTTCTCAATCCTTATTTCAGCCAAATGACATCACTGTTATACAGCAGCCTTATTGAACAGGTAGCAGAAGTGACTATGAACACACCGGCCCAAAGAAAATCTTATGTTCCTGTCCAGAAGCCATTAATGAGCTTGATAGGTGCAAAAAGATCAAGAATATAAATCTTAGATGACTAAGCCCTCTCTAACAATGAAGTTATTTTCTTCGTAGTGAACACCAGACAAGCAGTCCTCTTTTTTTTTCTCTTGCAGTCTGGCCATCTTACATCTTCACACAATACAGTCCTGATCCCAGGCTGACATCCCACTACTACATTGCTCAGTTGTTAAAAGCCAATTAGGAGATAGAAAGGAGCAAGACCGAATGCATAAAATGAAACGAGAGACCCTTTTCAGACATCCCATACACATGGATACTAAAGCCACTGTAAATGGTGGTCTGATCTTTGGAAGTTCTTACCTGATTCAGTACTGAATGACACAACATTGCTGCTTGGACCTTCACCAAGAGGGTTTCTAGGTTTCACATGGAATTCATAACTGGTGAATAAAATAGAAGAGATGAAAATTTTGCAAACCAATGAATACTTCCAGAATCTGGAGCAAGCAAGTATCACACACCTGGTGTTACTTGCCTTCTGGAGAAGAACAAAAAGACCTCAGTTCTTGCCCTGAAAACACTGAGATGTTTTTTGTCCTAACTGCATAAGATTTCTCTGAACACATAATTAGCCAGTCCTTTTGATAATTCTTTGCACACACACTATTAATATTTGATTTAATGCACCACTGGTTTAAGTCTGTCTCTACTCACACAGCAGTTTCAGTTCTGGCAAAGGGAGCAAGTTCAGATGAGGTCTGAAGCAACCTGATAAACAGAGACTGAGTAAAGCTCATTGCTATTTATTTTGCTTCTTAAGAACACAAACCTCCAATTCAATGCCTCTCAGGCCCACCAACAGTGACAGACAGGGCCAGTAGTGAAACACAGGGCATGTCTTCCAGGACAGGAGCTCAGCCAAGGCCAAGATCCAGTTGTTTAAATATATGTTAATAGTAAATATATGAAGCGATGTCAAGATATTGCAGAGTCCCTTCTGTATGTTTTTATAATAAAATTGCACAAGACCAGTCTGTACTGTAGTTATCTCGTGATCTCTTTTCATCACTGCTGTGTTGGGAACCAAACACAGTGCTATGAAAACAGAACAAGATGAAAGAAAAAAATCCAAGCCAGGCTCCTCTTCTTAAGCCTTTTCCACCTCTCAATGCTTGATTAACAATGATAGACAGGCAAGACAAAGTGGTTTCTAACTCTGCAGCTCAGCTGAAACATACCCTTACAGTCAGAAGCTCTAGGTAAAGAGCTATTGCATGCTGCAAACATAAACATATTACTCAGAAGACACCAGGCAGATGAGGCAGGAAAGAGGGTTACAGGAGATGGACACCAGACACAGCGAAGATCTTACATCAAGGGCAGAGCTATCCCAGCAAAGCACCTCTCAGCTCCCATGGCTCCAGGCTGGCAGCACCTGGAAATTTCTCACTGCTCTGCAACAGCTCAGTGCCTGCCCAGAGAAGCTGCGTGTCCTCCATGCCAAGGCACTCTGATGAGTGGTGTGTGCACAGCAATCAACAGCACCAGTTCCATGCCTTCCCCACCAGCTGTAAATGCCACGTACAGAGAGGCCTCTCACATGCTCTGAGTGCTTGCATGGTGAGTCTCTCCTAACAGTGTCTTCTCATCAGCCAGAGACATCCACAGGACACGAGTCAGAAGGACTGTAGGACTGGAAAATGGGCCCTAACTTAGAGACTAGACACAGAGCAAAATGAGAGTCCCAGAAGTGGGCAATTAAACATCCAGCTCTTGACTCGTCAAGGATCACTTACCCATGATAATTTTGGTAACTCGTGACTATAACATAGCATTGTAATGTATTGCTGGAATTGTTTCCAAACAGCAATTTTCTAAAGAAAAAAACAACCCCATACCACACTCTGCACAGTTGGAAATTTGTAAATTCTATTTGCAAGTCCCCATAAGAATAATTCAATCCAAACTTTGGATTACCTCTCATTGCTTCTTGGCTCCTGCAAAACCTGAGCAGTTCACTAATTAACCTCAGTGGACTATTCAGGCAGTACCAAGGAACTGTTTTCCATCCACAGTACTTCTAAGACAATATTTAACTTTAAAATTGCTTACTTAAGCAATTGCCTTTATTTCTAGAGGTTTCTTTTCTTTTTAAGGAAAATACTTACAAAGATTGGTATGCTGAACAGATGCATTATGGAAATTCATGGATATTTCTAAGAAAACCATGGTCTTGTTTTGAGCTTAAAAAAAGTCTATTTGAAGTAATCTTGACATTTATTCAAACATGCTGCAAGACCACCTTGAGCTATTCATATTACCCTACCATAGGAAGGAGACATTAAACAAGTAATCAATTTAATAACTTCATAAATCTTCTTCATTATCATTTTCAAATTGTTTAAACAAAGACATACTTTTAAAAATTGGACCCGAGCAGTTAATATTCACATTGGGCATGTGGTACAGTAACTTTTTTGGTCAAGAAGTATTCTTATACAGTAGCTAAGGCTGTAGGTAATACAGAGAACTACAGCAGAGCAGCTGAAGATTCCTTTGGAAGAATCACTGAAGCATAAACGAAGACTTGCTAATATGTTGGGTGTTTTAAAGTAATAGCTAGAAGACACATTGTGGAAAATGTATGAATTAATCCACACCTAGAGATAAAAGACCCCAAAGAAGTTTTCCTGTTTCCTTCACAGCAGGAGCACCTGATCTAGAGCTATTAATGTAAATGTGATCATCAAGATGGCATGTTCTATTGCTTTATGGTCAGTTTATGGTTTGACCTTATGAATGATAATAATCTGATTCTGTCCCTTTGTATGCATTTTGCTCAGTTTTGAGCAAATATATTGTTCTTAATATATTCAATATATTTTGGCTGCATCAGACAACATTCTTCATAGGAATCGGTCCTGTTCCCAAAAAACTTCAACTGATGAGCTTGGACCCATCAATTCTTTAACTCCAGAAAAAGACAAAAACAAGAACTGAAGATCATTTTCCAAGGAGTGTTTTTCAAATTGTGGTTTAGGGATCACTAGGTTGTCTGCAAAAGACTAAACCACAGATGGGAAAATTTTGGCAAGATTGAAATAAAGAACTAAAATCTACACATAGTGATTTCAGCTCATGTAAGCATATAAAGAAGACTGGAGAAAAGGAAAATAATAAAGAAGTGTCCAAAGTTTAGCTGAGTCAATTAAGGAAGTGTTCTATTAATAATGTTAAAGAGGAAATTTTAAAAACTAAAATATATACAATTTTATAGTTCTGTGATATGTGTTTTTACAAGCATCACAGACTCATTTCCTCTGCCAATTTCAATCCTTAAACAATAGCAGTGGCTTCAACAGTACAAGAATAACAAAGAACTGCTTTTGGAGATGAAGAGAAGTAACTAGTTGACTGAAAATTGAAAGTGAGAGAAAGGGAAAGTTAGACTGAGATAATGAAATGATGGAGAGTACATATCTAACCGTAATTTTAAAGCCGTGCTGTGGCTTTCTTAACAGAAAATTGTTTAAAGTCTCCCTTTTGTGTGTCAGGTGAAAGATCTGAAAAATAAAATGGTGAAAAAAGGGTACTGTCTGCAGTCTTATACACCCCTATACCAATCAAAAGAGAGAGGGAAAAATGCTTACAGGTTTAAGAAGTATGGCAAAATTAATAAAAGGAAATAGGAAAGCTATAGAATGATTATCCCATGTCTAGCTCTTAGCTAGACTTATCAATGAGAAACTGGAGTCTGTATTCCATCTTTATATCTGCCTGCCTATTATACCAAAAACTCTGCTACCCTATATAAGTAGCAGTCTAATGCATCACACCTCCTACAAACTTTGGACACCAGGCCTCCCAAATCCTCCCAAACTCTGTAAGACAATAAAAGTCCTCATGTAGGTCAAATGGACTTGACTTACAGTAGTTACTATGTGGAGTGTATTTTTCCACCATAGGAAATCACTATACCACATGGAACTTTGGAAAATGCATCTGCTCTGTATTTTTTCAAATCATGCAAAAGAAGAAGATTTGAGATTGCAGAACTGAAAATAGGTGAAAACAGATTTTCACCATAATAGAACTGGAGCAGTTGAGTACAGCTGTGGGACTTCAGGTGAGTTGCTGGGGAGATGCTGGTGTTAGATGACAATCATGCAGGACTACCTTTGTGTATAGAGCTTCTCCGTGTCTGCAAAGTGTGCTTGGATAACAGTATGATCCAACACAGCAAGTGAGACAGGAATGAAAAAAAAAAAAGAAAGAAAAAAGCTGTGAGCTTGTTTGAGGAGTCTTTCTCCTATTCAAGTTGGAAGAAAGGCTGAGAGAAATGGGAAATGTCCATGAACTCTGACATCAACAGCAATTTAGAACAAAAATCTGTTGTTTTTTAATAAAGAGTACAAAAACCTCCAGCATTTTCCCACCACTTTCTGCATGTTTCTGCATTGTGATTTTCACCGTAGTTCACATCTCTTGACCCTTGCTGTTAACAATAACTAAGCTCCCTGCATTGGTAGAATTTTTGTTTCTTCTTGTATGTGATTAGCACATTTTGGTTGCTAACCGCAATACAAAGCAATATTAGATAATGGTGATAACAGCATAAGCAGGCAGGTATTAATTATTCATACTTCAAGCTAATTCAGTAGAGGGTTGAAGACTTAGTTGGTATGGCCTTTGAGTAAATTACAATATCTTTCTCTTTTTTTTGTTTCATAACTTTTATAAGACATATGAAAAAAACTTTCAAAGAAAGTAATCAACAGACATTATAAAAGTTTGGTTCATGCATATAATCTGCACATTTCACATTTACTTCACAGTTTTGTTTGGTTAGTTGGTTTTTGGTTTTGTTTTTCTGGGGAACTTGGATTTACTTTATTTTTTAATATTTTTTAACATTTCCTGTTATTTATATTCTTCAAGAGATCAAGGCTGGACATATACTTTGCCTTGAAACACAATCCAACCAAAAAATCCAGAAGAGACCACTCAAAATGTTTTTAAAAGGGATGTTTGAAATCACCGAATTACTTAACGAGGCAAGGATGAGTACCTAAAGGGGAGTTCTACAAAGCTGTGGAATACAAACATCACAGGCTTTTTGTTTCTTATTAACACTCTTTTTCTATTAAAATTCTGCAACAGCAGGCTGGTGGGCACCTAATGGCTACCTGAACTTCCCTGGAGGATTTGGCACATCTCTGACTGCAGTCTTAGTATTTTTCTTTATTATCTTCCAGTTACTGCCATCACAAACATGCAAGAGAACTTTTCAACAATATTCAGACTCTTTTTTGAAGGCTTGTATAGAAATTAGTGCTGTAAAATTTCCTGGATGCTATGGTCTGTGCTATGAATTTAATTGCCCTTAAACAAATAACCAGAATGAAAGAGAAAATGCACGCTTTCTAAAAAAAATATTTCAAGTTAGGGCAGGGAAACAGAACTAAGAACTGCATATTTTGGCAGAGAAACCATCAGAAATAATAAAAAACCTCCAAATGATACTACATCAGATGACTGGAAGACTTAAAAAAATAAATAAATTTTGAAGGAATTAGAAAACTCCAAAGCTAGTAAAAAAAAAAAAAAATCACAACCCTGAAACAAAACAAAAACCAAAACCCCAAACCTTTAAATTCCTTTGGAAATGGCAAAAATGAAATTGGAAGAAAAAAAATAACAACATCTGCATTTAATATTCTAGGCTAGGAAAAGGCTATGAAACAAAAATCTGCAGGTGGGTGAAACAAATATTTACAAAGGAGAATATGCAGACGATAACCATCAATGCTACAGAGGAGATGAAGTGAAGACAGCAAAAAACACAGTAAGCCCATTTCTATCTCAGGTCTCTCAAGGTTCTTACAATAATTTATGTTGATATGAAGGTGATGTGGTCCAAGCCCTTTTCATGACAGGGCTGAATTAAAAGCTACTTTAAGCTCAGGGTGGATCAGCAAGTACAGTAGTTACAGTCTCTGCTTGATCAACAGAGTAAAAACTCAGTAGCTTAGTACTTGGTTCAAACTAACTAGGAGAAAGAAGAATAAATAGAATTTGGTTGTTTCACTCATTTCACTAATTGAAGAACAAAGATGCTAAAAACCTCAGAAAATTTGGTTTGTTTGAGTGTGATGCTGAAAAGGAGGCTGAGTGAAATGTGACCTGGATCTCAAAAAATCTTGGAAATAATGTAAAGAGTAGCAAAAGCTAATTACAGTACTAAGTCAGAATCAACAAGAGTGTATATGTGATAATTAGATCACAGAAGCAGATCTATAATACAAATGTTTAAGCAGAAGACATTTATAAAACAAGAAAGTTTTCTTCAGGCACCAGTTATATCCAATTAACTATACATATATCCTTCCTATACAGATAGTTGTCTAGCTTTTATAGCATAACCACACTATGAGAGATTTCAGGTAAAGGTTATAGTCAAAATCAAAATTATCTGATGAAGTTAAACAGAATTCTAGACTGAACCTAGACAACAGCTTAGAAAGAGTACCAGTTTCAAGAAGTCTGACAAACCAAATAGTGGATTTCAAGATCTGAATTTTCCAGGTTACTTAAACTATCATAAGTCTTCTAAGGTGTGATAGTGAAATCCTATGATCACCATATTTGGCAATTTTGTAGCTGAAAAAGAGGACAACATATTCATCCTATAAGGAAAAATCCTCTAAACTAATGTAGTGTTGTCAACTGTCAGACATGCCTTACTGTGGGAAAATGGCATGGATACGATGTGCCTTTCCTTGGGCAAAAAACATATGGATCTCAGTGCTCCAACAAAATCACATTGTACAGGAGCTTTAAAAACCTTTCTTTTAGAAGAAATCAGTCAGTTGCATTGGAAAGCAGCTGACTGTGCCCCACATTTATTTAAAGGCATATGTCCTCACAGTTAGAAAGCTTTTCAGATCACTATTTCACTTTCATTTCAGAATATCAATGTCTCGCAGTCCAGTCACTGAGAACACATAAAGCTGGCACATATAAGACAGAAAGACGACAAACTGCCATAATATATACAACTTTATTTGTTTAAAAGTAACCTTCACAAGTTGTTGTATGTCTATGAAAGTCCATTTTCATTTCTATATTACCATTGTAGGAGTCTGTAAAAACTAAATACTTGATAACAAAGTCAGAACTCCTTTTTCAGCCAGTGTATTTTTTCTAGATCTAGTCATTTTTCAGACAGCTAAATGAACACACAGAATACTACATGGTAATCCTCATCCCATTTAACTTCTATGTTTGGACTTACTGACAGCCACAGTCACACATGCAATTTTGATGAGAGACTGTAAGAGTCTCTCACTGTTGCCTCCCTAACACTGTCCAAATTCCTGAAATATTCAAAGTCTGGCCATTAGCTCCTAATCTTTAAAAGCTGCCTTGTCAAAAGGCCAGCACCAATGAAGAAGGGTGTCTGTCTTACTGCAGAGCTTCCCAGAGGTGTAGCAGAATGACTTATTTGAATGAAGAATGCAGAAGAGAAAAGCAAACAAACAGCATGACCTGGCAGGCTCAGATGCATCCATTTTTTCACTGCTGCTTGTTCTGCCTCTTTCACACTGAAAAGTTGTCTTGCTTCCCTCCTGCTGGATGTGGGCGATTAACTCTTTAGCTTCTGGTCCAGACACTAACATATCCTACGTGATTTACCTGAACAGGATGATAGACCTTGGCCACTGTGACTGCAGACTTTTGTCATGTACTGCTCTTCAAGAATGTACATCTGCAGAATGACAGGCTTGAACTGACTTGCTGCTATAGGGTCTTTCTGGTTTAGATCTACCCACAAAGACTGAGATACCACATTCAAAAACATTTTTATTCCTTTTTAGGAACTCTTCATTTAGGTCTGTCTGGTTTAGATCTGTCCTGAAATGTCTTCAGCTCTGAAAACACCGGACCTTCAGAGCAGCATAGAGGATTTACACGGCCTCACTGATGGTTTCAGAAAAGCTGGAAAAAACAGCTCTCAAATTCAACTTGTCAGTTTCTCCAAAGTGTTTTAAGGTCAAGAGGTTCTCCCCAGTTAATCCACAGTTTTCTACTGAGCATCTCTCTTTCCATATCCTTGCTGCCGGTATTATAAATTTTGATCACTTGCAAGAGGGATTTCTATTTCTCTTCCAAGTTTCTTTTCTAGCTCCACCTCTTATACAGTTCTTTCCTTTAAGGCTAGTTATGGAAAAGTCTACTTCCCAGTCTTAATGTATTACTTAATGAATTTGTAGACATTTCAAGGACTCTGATAATTAATTTATTGAGCTGTGTTTATTTGTCTTTCTTCCTTCTCTTTTCAGTTTTGCCCACAGGTCCATTTTCTTCATCTAGTGAGCAATCATATCCTGATAGACAGGAGACACATGACATTCCTTGCAGAACTGATGCTATCTATGTGATGCCAGCTGTCATAAGTACTTTCTCATTTTTCCTGAATTTAGTGGGCCAGTCAGCCTGAATTCAAATGGTAACAGTAACTCTTTGTGCTTCTGCCAAAGCTCTCAAGGTGTCCTCAGGATTAGGAAATATGCATTTTGCTTGGAATGGGAGTTTAATTGAACAGAGCCACTCTGAGGATTTTATATCCTTAAATCCAGTGAGATTTGAGGGACACACATCACTGTGATTTATATCAAAGGTTTTCAATTCTAGGCAATGGCCTCCTGAATCCAGAAAGACTTTCACTGTCTGTCCCTTTTGAGGTTGGGGAATAATAGCCACTCCCTCTTCAGGAAAAGTTATTCCTTTATATCTTAAGTCATCCTCCATCAGTCATTACTGATTTCCTATCTAGCTCCTTGTAACAAAATCCACACTTCAAAAGACAGCTGTACTCCATGGTCTTTGGTCTGCTCTTGCTTACCAAAACCTGAAAGCGTTCTCTCAGGATTGACAGAACCATAAATAATTGAAACCATGTTATCTGCCTCTCCATAGCTCCTGCCTTTCTTGTGACCTTTCCAGTGGATCTGCCTGCCTCCATCTTGCTTCCTTTCTGAACAAAGAGCAGTCTAAAAAGCTTTTCTCTTACGGTCACCTGGACATTGTTCTCAGCATCAAGGGCTTTTCTTTGCTTCCATGTCTTTTCTACACTTAACCAAATCCATCCCACCTCTGCCACCATATGTGACACAAAGAGTTTGAGTGTGTAATGAAAGAGAATCTGCTTAATAACACAGAGCTCTTTTCAAAGATGCAACTGTATTATTTCAAAGCAGAACTGAAATGAAAACACAAGCAGCACAGCCAGCACCTACTGCCTTTCTTAGTCACTACTCCAGAAACACATTGTTTTGCTCGAGAAAACCAATACTTGGTGCCCAAGCCATATATTGGTAACATATCCTAGTTGCCTCTTAACAAGACAGAACAACATCACTGCAGTTCACTCTTTCCACAAGCTACATGCCTTTAAGAAATAACAGAGACATTCCTGAAGCAAAACACAGCAATTCTAGCCCATCTTATGAGCCCATCTTTTGGACTCTGTCAAAGAAGCTCTTTCGGGGTGTCACAGTTTCCCTTAACCTTTATTTTTCCAATTCTCTTCTGTTGCCCTCTACTTTCTGAATTAGTTCCTCATTCCTTCTCCTAGGAGCTGCTGGTCACAAGTACGTGAGCTAAGAACCAACACCCCAGATTACACCACACATTGCCTAAAAATAAAGGTTCAACATGGGTTCTACGCAGAATTTTGTGCTGTGTTACCAATTTAGGGATAATAATAGAAAAAAGCAGTTTATTTGAAACAGAAACATCCAGTTACCAAAGCCAAACAAATAGTCTTACAGGAAAAACCCCAACGTGTCATTCATTAATTTTCTGACGCAATCAATAAGGAATGCAACAAAAGACAAGTGGTTTTCTTCCCCGCTTTGAATTTTACCACAAAAAGAAGATAATTTTTTAATGAGATATGGTATTTGAAGAATGATAATACTTAATTTGACTAGTGCCTTGGGAGGCACACAATCAGTTGGAATTCACTGACCCATTTTAAATTTGCCAGCTGCTTTGAAACACTATAAGAAAACAACATATACAGGACACTCCAAGGTAATTTCCTTACACTTGACTGTTAGTCTTTCTGCTACAACAGGTCACTTCAACAGTTTGTCCAGACTACAAATACTGTCAGAAATTTCCGAAAGATTCCTCTTATCTGTCTTATCTGTTAACTTAAAAGAAAGCGAAACCAAACCGTACATTTTTTTTCTATCAGAACAGCAGTAAAACCAATTGGGTCTTATATACATACATATTTTCATCTGAAGTGGCAGACAGCTGACAGTCTAAATTAGTTTCACTGACTTAGAAAATTATATTATTTAATTACCTTGTGTCAGGTTTTAGGTTTTCCACAGTAGAATGGGTTTGATTTGTAGTGATAATTGATTTCTCCTTTTCACCATCACTTCCTCCATTTTCAGTTGACACAACCTCATACTCTGGAAAATTACAGTAAAGAAAATTTTGTTTAAGTAACGTCTCTTACTTGAGCTTTTTCACTGCTCTCTCTTTTATCATCTGATTTCCACTCTTGCTGCCTAATAGGCTGAAAAGACAACTTGTGTGTACCTGTCTGGACATTAATATGCTAAAATGATTAAGATAGATCTAGTTCCAGATTGTTGTGTGCCCAGCCTCTCATCCTTTCTCATAGTTCAGTTATGGGACAGAGGATACTCATCATCTCATCTTTGCCCAATGGTACACTCATGATGAAATCTGAAACAAAAGTATAAAAATTCTGTAGTTTGAATGAAACTGTATCAAAGTTTAAAGTGCAGTTTCTAAATTCTTAAACCTTGATTAACTTAAAATAAGACCTATCTTTTTAAGATTTACAAAGGAAACTGCCCAACTAACTTGAATTTTTGCACTTAGGGAATCTGCTAGTTTAGAATGAAATAATTTTGCATAATTTTATTTCTGTATTTAGATTATTTTTAGAGTATCACTACTTTCTTTTCATCTCACTCAGATGTATCATCAAGCACAAACCATTCTCTGAGCAGGGAATTAACAATAGATGTTTGGGAAGAAGATACTTTTTCAATCCTAGCCCAGTCCAAGACATAGTTTGTCTCTAGCAGAAAACTGTCCCAACTTATAACACCGTCTTCTAAGAAAAACATTAAGTATAATGTTAATTTTCCTCTCTATGCAAAGAAATTCCCAACCTCATCAGCCCCTTCCTTTTCCCTTCCTTAAACCTCTCTGTGATATCACATGCAGCTTTGCTACTGCTAAGCTACTAAAGAAGGATGTTTTCAAAGAACATTTGCAATGAGCATTTAGATCTACAGAACAACGAATAAAGTAGGTACTATACTGTGAGAACAGAGGCCACCTATCAACAGCTACAGAACCTCTAGAAAACTACATCCTTTCCGTTTTTTTCGTAATGGTTCTATTAATTTTCTTGTTTTTAACTAAATGCTAGCAAGATGTATGGCTTTTTCTTTTTTTACTAAATCTTTTTAGTGATGCAAGGAGATGTATTTATTGTCAACACAGAAAGACAAAACACCTGCAATAGGATTCAGTTTTTAAAAGGAAAAGCTGTCCTAATTGCTGCTGGACTCTCAGATCCTCACTCCTAAATAAATGTAGAAGATGTATATATGAATGAGTGTGGTGGGTTGGCTTTTGGATTTTTTAGGCCTTCCTTAGCAACGGGGGTCAGAAATCTAAGGAAGTATTCCATATCATCCTTTAGCTTAACACAGCGTATAAATAAGGTAGAGACAAGAGAGCTCGTGCTCTTCTCTCTTCTGGTGGCTGAAGGCGCCAGGTCTCTCTGCAGATGATCTTTGCTTCTATAGGCCAAGACCTGCCTGCTCCGACCTGCCATTATCTCTGGTCCCTTTGGGAGGTGTGGGCAGTTGGCTGGTGCTTCACATGGTTCTGCTGTCTCCTTCAGGGGAGTATTTAATCCGTTTTTTTTATTTGTTTGTTCGCTAGCCCTCTACTAGTGGTGTATATTTGGAGGGTATTTGGTTTTAGGTTTTTTTATCCTTGTTTCCCCCTCCTTTTTTTCTTTTTTTCCCCTCGGGAGTTCCCTACTGTGTGTATAATATATTCAAATTATATATATAATTGTGAATATATGTAAATATATATTTTTGATATAATCCCGTTTTTGTTTGGACTTCCTTTGGTTTTTCTGTGGTTCGGTTTTTTTTCCTTGCTTGAGAGAGTGGGAGGGGGGAGGAGACAGTTTGGACTTGGCAAGAGAGCCAGGCCAGACTTACACACGCACAATTAGGGTACACAAATTGACCCAATTTTGAACTCAATTGTGCAACTATGGTTTCCTATGCATTCTTTTATGCAAAAATCAGCTGTCAAACCCACTGCAGTAAATTACAATTAAGTGGAAGCACAAAGCAGCTCTAAAAAATTATGTTCTAAAATTACAAGCTTCTAAACCCCAGCAATCCAATCTAAGCAATTATATACGTGTATGTACGTGTGAATTTTAGGTTTACTGGTATAGTTTCAAAAGGGACCTCTTACACATCTTTCTCTCTTTACCTTGCAGTAGATTCAGTTATTTAGAGCATATACAGAGCAACATGCATGTCAGAAAGTCAGCCTGAAGAAAAAAAATTAATACCAATAACGATTTAAAAATTTCCATTTTCAGAAGTCCTCTCTCTTCCACCAATCACCCATGAACAGCAACAAATCAGCCTCTACCTTTTAAAATCAAACTTATGGACCTGCAGGAATAGGTGTCTCAGAAAAGATGGGAGAGGGGAAAGTAAGTAGAGGACTTTTACTTTAGATTGTTTGTTCAAGTGTGATCCCAGTGTAATGATATTAGTATTGATGATTAGTATATATTTGTCTAAAACATAACTGTTTCCTCTCTATGTGTTTCCTCTTTGGAAACAAAGACATTTTCCTATCTAGCCATCAAGGGCTGAGTGAACCATGGAGAAAAAAAAACACATGCAAAAGCACTTATTTGTGCTGATTAAACCTCATTAGAGAAATTATATTTATTAAGAAGCATGGGAGATATGGTGGATATCCACTGCCTTAGGTGTGTCCGGATAGTGAATGAATAAGTGACTTCTGCCAACCCCACGTCAATGTGTGATTTGGACTTTTTTAACTCATTCAAGTTGGAAAACAAAATGCAGCAAAAATGTGTATGAGCTCATACGTAAAAAGAACTGCTGAGCACATCCAGTACCTGCTTGTTACTCAGTGCACAAGGCAACAAACTGCCTGCCCTACATTTCTGTGGCAACACAACAGGAGTAACAGAGAATGAGCAAAATGCTTTTGGTTCCTGACATTTGCAGCCTTTACAAAAACAAGGAGGTGAGATGGATCACTGTTTTGGTTATTATTTGTCAGACCTTTCTGTTACTGAAGCACAGTTTTGTTTTTAGGCATACCCAGTGAAACCCCTTATACACAGCTAAGGTTAAGCAAAGTAACCATTTAAAAAAAACACATGCAACAAATTATGTTTTCTGTTTTCACAGTTCTATCTGAAACAGTGTATTTCTCAAAAAAAAAAAAGATGCGATGCCTAAATTAGATGATTGGAAAAACATGTATAAAATACAAAAATAAAAAGAGATGACAGAAAAATTGATTTAAGTCTGTCTAAACAAGTAATGGCACACTGGTGCCAATATGAAGCAATCACTGTTTTCAGAAAATGGGACTCAATGCCTTCTTTTAAATTCAGAAAGTGTCCTTGGATGAGTTCATTAACTGAGTTATTAACTAACTTCAATGTTTAATTTTTGTAAGCTAGTATTGAATACAGAAGACAGCGGAAAAATTAGGAAGCCCATCTTGCATGTTTACCTGCCTATGTAGTGATTCCTGCATGACTCACATGCATTAATTCTCAATACAAAACCCTTGCCTTAGAAATGAAAAAAAAAAACAGATTCTTTCAGCATAGAGAACTTGTTGACCCTATGGTGGGTACTGCAAGTATTATGCTGACAAATTTCTGCTGACTTATTAGATGGATGTAAGGTTTTTTTGTGTCTGGCCCACTGTTAAATGACATCTGCCAGTCAAGAAAGATGTCTGCATTATGTGTGTGCATCTATATAATAGACTGCTGTTGCACTGTTGGACCTTCTTGACAAGATCTTACCAGATCCTGTACAGGGAGAAGCCAGAAATTAGAAGATATAGAGTCATACTTAAATATCTTTTTGTGTCATTGCTGACACTGACACAAATGATCTTGTTCTAATCTAGTAGCATTTTCTTATCCACACTGGAATTCACAGTAGCACAAAATAAAAGCACCGAGGTCCTTCAATCTGCTGAGATTAAAGTATTTTTTAAATGCCAAAAAAGTAAATTAAACTGGAAGTACTACACTATCATACAATGAAGGAAAGAAATCGAACCAACCTGTAACAGTGTCATTGTCTGGTTTTTCCCAGTCCAATATGACAAAGGTTGGACAGCCCTCAACTGTCACCACTGTGAGATTGGTTGGAGGATTTTGTGGAGGACGAGTGGGTTCTTCCTTGCTTCCAGCTTCTTCTTGAGGAAAATGTTCAAGAGAGCTTGTGATAGAGCAAGGCACATCATCATCTTTCTTCATGTACTTGACATGGGGAGCTAAGAGCAATAGGAAAGAGCTGTTATTCAACAGAGTGTTTTTGCAAAATGTCAATGCCATTTCACCTAGTTCACAACATCCATCTCAGGGCACCAAGTAAAAGTCTGCACAAGTCAAACACAAATGTTTCAGAATAAAACCCATATATTCAATTTTAAGCTGCTTTTAAAAAGTTTTTATTTACTGCTGTTAGACCTGCAATCACTGCCTTCAACCCCCTCTCATTGGCAACACTGAGGAAATATCACTTTGATGGTATTAGCGGGTGATAGACACTGCTTGAAAGAATTAATCACAAAATAGGACAATTAACTTTATTTCTTCTATAGTAAAATGACACTCTAATTACACCTGCAACTTTTGTGAAGCATGTTAATACAAAAATGTCCCATACACTTTGTTTCACCAGAAGGATTGACAAGTTTAGTCCAAAGTCATTAAACTCACTTAATGAAACTTGCAGTTTCTAAAGCGACTGTCAAAATCTTAACCATTTTCAGTGGCACAGCACCAAATCTTGGAACAAACTTTCTGAGGCAAATGCCTTGTACTCTGCATCAAAATTAGAAAGATTACTGAAGACAAACACTCTAGTTCTAAGACTAAAACTTTTGTTGGAGGTAAATAATAAGCTCTTTCAAGAAAGAAGGTATCTTCAGAAATGTGGTGTCTTTTACCAGAACAAGAAAAAAACCCTGAAAAATATTTTCATACAAAAGCACTTTTTCCTTTTATCTCAACTTGCTGAACTCTCTAGATTATTGCAACAGCAATAACTTGACTACAGGCTGGAAAAGAGGTGAGGGATATATGATGGGTAGATATTCTGTATGTCAAACACATGTGCAAGCCCACATGAAGAGCTACAGCATGTTTGTGAACAAAACTGTAAACTAAGAGGTGGTAGCAGGGAAGAAAATAAAAGTAAAATTTAGTCAAGAAAATGCTGATGGTTTGTGCTCTTTCATCTGTCACTGAAGTGACACAGAATCAAACAAAATTTTGGCCTTTGGATAACCAAACAAAATAATTTTAAAGGAAGATAGGTCAGTCTTCATATACTCCCCCAAATAAAAATACCATAGCTATTAATATCCTACCTTGGTACCTTGGTTTGCCTGAAGAATCTGTTTCTGATGTAGGACTTGAGCTGAAGACAGTTGCATCAACTGTGGGAAACAGTTATAATTTGCAATTAATTCGAAGCTTTGCTGTTAGAACTGCAGCATTTCACAGTTCCTTTGGCATTTTAAATCACAATAAAGGTCTTCCATGGCAGACCTTTGCTGCCAGATCTGTTGTTTCATTTTAGTGACTCCATTTTAGCTGTGGTGCTAAGTAAATCTCGTACTTACCTGCTACTGTAAACATAGCCATAATCAAAATGACAGACTTCATGACTGCTGCTGGATTCAGTTCATGTAGCATATGTAAAATGTTTTTTAGACCTTTTAAAAGTATTTTTTTGCACTGTACTTGCTGTTTAGCTTGGAGCTTGTTTCATGTTCCTAGAACATATAGCACTATTACATTGGCACATTAACTTCTCTAAAAATAATAACAAGGGAATCACAAATTCTGTCTCCAGAGTGTACAACTTCCACAAAATTTGAAGGAGATTGAAGGCAAATGCACTGAATAAAAATGTGCTAAAGCAGTCAGGATTCATGACATCAGTGTTGTATTAATTAGCCATTACAATGAACAGAATCTTCTTTTAGATGCAAATACTATAATGGACCTCAACAAACAAAGCACGATACATTCACAGTAAGCATTTATAAATAAATCAGTCTAGCATCCAACTTGCTTTACTGAGCACGAAGGGTCACAGTGAGTTCATGATCACTTTAAGGAGACAAGAATTTCAGTATTACAATACATCCAGGAAAATTAGAAACAGCATAATTTATGGCAATACACTTAGAGCTGCATATCTGGGCTCAAAAATTCTAAGCACATCCTCCTCCAAATGCATTACTGGATGCCACTTCAAAGAGACTTAGGTTTGGACTTGTAATCAACTCCCAATTTTATAAAGGGCAAATTACCAATTAACCACTATGTGTACTCTATTACCTTTTTCCCCATTTAAACGGTGGCAGCTTAATCAGATACCTAGGAGGATGTCACATCCATGATGAGTACAAATCAATCACTGTCAAATAACAGTTTGAATTTATGTCCTGTGCAAAAAGAAATTTGCAGGAAAAGAAGGTTCCTTATCTACTCCCTGCACAGACCTAAATTGCCACTGAAGAGTATTGAAAAACTTACTAAGCATGTATGGATTTATAGGAAATGGAAGGGTTGTAATGTTCTCAGTTATTAAGATGTGTATCAGAAGACAGCTAGATTAGCTCAGTCAAATTAAAAAAGTTGCTAAGTGGCATAAAAGAAATCAGAATCACCCCAAACTGAATGCTTCTTATATTAAACACCTAATGCATCAATATAATTTAGGGAAGGGAAGCAAAAGAAAATGGAAACCTTAATGTTAATTAAAAAAAAAAAAAGAAAAAAAGAAAACAGAACTGTTTGTAATATGCTTACCATAATACTCTGGAGTTGCAAAAGCTGTTGGTGTCCCATATGACATTCCTGTCCTCACAGGTAGTGTTGGTCCAGCAGGCTTAGCTATAGTGACAGATGGAGGGACTTGTTGCAACAAGGTGTTCAATATTTAAAAGAGAGAAACAGCTTTATGATTTTCTAGGGGAACTCAGATTTGTGACAAGTGCTTTGTGCAACAAGTACTTTCATTGAAACCATGATAATCCCTCAAAATTTATACAACAGCTTTCAGCTGGATTTAGGAAAGTTCTGAATTGTGCTTATTGCAGATATAACCTAATCCTGAAACCCAGTAAGAAAATTCTTCACTACTTTGAGATTGTTTTAGAGGACTTCAGTCAGCTAGAATATTACCTGGTTTAATGCACAGAACCATCCTACATGGACTGGTAAAAGGATGTAAAGTGACCACCGCTGACATTTCTCTTTATTAAATAAAAGAGCACGTTTCTTCATGACTTGTAAGACACAACAGCTGAAGTCAGCAACTGAAACTTGGATTCTTCCCTCAAATATGGGTAAGATCCTTTCATTTCTACTCTCAATACAGTACATAAATTAGCAAGGCTGGAGCTGGAACATGTATAACAATGTGTAACAATAAACACCAAGTCCTTAACTGTGGTCTGCATTAAGAGTTTAACCACCAAACAGTCCTGGAGCTTCCACTAAATGAAATTAAGATGCATTTCAAATGCATCTTAAGTCCAACATTTTCAACATTTATAACACTACATGACCCTAAGGAAAAAGTTTTCTTTCTGAACTCATTTCTGTACTAGGTGTCATAAGTTTAGGCAGAAACAAACTGATAGAAGCAATATTATCTCCCATAACTAAATAGCTCTTTTAGAAAATTTTCTGGATTATGTGACATTACTTTTACTCCTCAGCTGTTACCACCTGATAAAGAAAATAAATTTCTAAGAGGCAAACAATCCGTGGTAAAGGATCTTTCAAAATAGCTGTAAAAGATAAGAGCTAAATTCAGAAAACATGCAGATACTCCCAGATAACGGTGACATGACTGGAAAGCTCAACCTCAAAAAAGTCAGGAACTATATAATGTGCATATATGACACAGAAGACCATGGTGACTGAAGGCAGAACTCTTCTTTAAACTCTGGTGAATGAAGTTTAACAAAAATCTCTACTTTCCACTAATTTCCTTAATAAAGTTGACTTTGAAAGATTGTCACTGGAGTCCAGCTTCACAAAGGTTTTGAAACAGTCTTGTTTCCTTTTTTTTCCATTCAAGAGACTTTTAAGGTTTGCACAGAAACCTTTCCATAATATTCATCCACCAGATGAGTTAGAAAGATGCAAGTAAGGAATTAATCACAGTATTAATGAGAAAGAAGACAGAATTCTGACAGGGAAAAACATTGAGGAAGAACATTGAGGCAAATTTTTCCTGTTACTACAGTGGAACTGTCTCTCCAGGGAACCAGAAGAAACTGAATTATAATGTTTAAAACTAAGCTGGATAAAACACTAGGAAACACAGAAGAAGGAAAATCAGCTACTGGCCCCACAAGGAAGAGCCAGTTCATCGAACCAATTTATTCCATCTTGAAAGCCGAGGAAGGTATGGTGACTGCTGACTACCACATAGCCTGGCCTCAGTGTACGGAAAAAGGGTGAAATTTTATATCACTGGTAAATTAATTAGACACTTAGTGGAGAAAATTAGTATAGACCCCTCTTACAAGCAAAAGAAAATGTATCAAGTAAACATATTTTATGCTGCAGCTCAAGACTGACAATGTCTTATGTTTTGTTGTAGCTATTACTAAGGAAACACCACAGCATCAACAGCAAGTATAGACACAACCTTTCAATCCTAGCTCTGCTGTTAGCTTGGAGGTTCTTGTCACTCATCTGCTGCACAAAATACTAAAGAATTATTTAGGTCTTTAGTGCCTTAACAGCACACAAAGTTCCAAATGAAACAAACTAAAGACAACAGTAAATACAGTACAGTCAAGACCTTTATATTTCCAGGGAATGACAGAGACCAATATGAAAACACTTGTCATGAGGCTAAGCATAAGGAGATGACAGTTTCTGACTACCTGGAAAAAAGTTAGCCTAAGGATTCTTATATACAACCCACAGAAAAACATATATGAGGATATTGAATATCAGTTTCAGGATAAAATTAAATAGGAAACATGAAAGTTTCTGTGTGCTCTTGAAACTGAGAAGGTGGAATACTTTAGCACAGTAATCAAGCTAAACTCTGCACATGAAATAGCTCAGCTCATTCTACCTCCCAGTACAGTTAGTTCCCTGGGTGACTATTAGCTCATTATTTGCAGTGATTAATGGATACGTAATATATATGTGACAGAATTTCTTAATAAATAACCAGTTGGGTGTATACATTGAAGTATAATATTCAATATCTCCCATCCAACATGCACATTAAGTAGCTACAAATGCTATTAGTAGACATGAAATACTCATAAGGTTGATCTTCTTAAAGGATAACTTGGAGTGTGATCTTTGGCTTTCAGCTCCCTTATTAGGGATGATTTTGACATAAGTAGGTTAGGAAAAAAAACCCCAAAACAGAGTTCATGTCAGAAGACAAAAGGCCTATGTGTTCCAAAATACTAATTTCTATAGATCTCACAGATTAAAGAAATCTGTACTAAAAAAGTCTCCTGTACCTTAATAGTCAGTATGATCTCACACGCAATAAAATATTTATGTTGAAAAGACTGAGATACCTGGAATCCCGGGTTTACCAGTCACGGTGTTTGGAGGCAGAGGTTTTCTTCTCATTTGTGTAGGCTTGGCAGGAGGTATAGGAGGGCGCTGAGGTCCAGGTGATGTAGTTACTGAATGACATTACAAGACAGTGTTATTAATTATTCAACCTCAAATTCCGTAAAATCAGAAACCCACAAGTTATATTCTGACTTCTCAAACAATGTTTCATTTCTTATTTAGTATCAAAAGTGGAGAGGTGAGGTTAGGAGCTGAAGTGAATTCTATTTTCAGTCTTAAATTCTTTGAGAAGTGTGTGCCATGAAGTTTTAAACCAAGCTTACTCTGAAAATATGTAGTTCCTCTGGGATTTTTTACAAGTGTTTCAGTGATTCACTTTCTGTGTAGTTACTCATTTCTGTCAACAGTAATTTTTTGGCATCCAAAAGGATATGTCTTCACACAGTAAACACCACCTCAGCGTACTAGGAAACATCTTCACAAAATTTGTGATCTCTTGTACTTTCTAATTGATAGAACTAGTCACCCTCAGCTTGAAGCAATGAATATAATGTAATATAGATGTAATGAAAGGGATATTATCATTAGGAAAACTTTATCCTATGTTATTCAAGTGAAAAATGGAAAAAATCACTGTCACTTCATGCATAGACATGTCTAAAGACAGTTATGTGGTAGAAATTTCTGAAGCACCCAACTTGGTCATTTCAATTTCTAGCAAGTATCTATTAATTTTATCCGGTAAGGTCCTTTGACAGTTAAGTCTAAAAAGAGAGCCTTTAGTTCATAATTACAAATCATTTTACTGTTTTTTCCAGCCAATTATGAGGGGTTTTATTATGCAAAGGAAAGGCAAAGATTTTTCTTCCACTCTTCACCTTTGCCCTTCTTTCCTTAAGAAAAAACAGGAGATATGTGCAGCACATTTATGTAACAAAAGACTTGTTGTACCTAAGAGAGGAAAACCCTCAAGAGTAATAAAATTCTTATAATGCTGCCAATGTCAACAAATACACAAGTTGCCTGATACTGAATTACTGGCTACACAGAGTGCCTCAGGCACTATGTATCAGACCTTAGTTTACCCTATAAATATAGTGACTGCGGGTGAGAAGGGAGCAGATCCAAAGACTCATTTGGGAGGGCATTTTCAGAAATATTACAATATGCAAACAGGAATATCTCTATCTTTCTCTGTCCCCTTTTCCTTTTGGACTGTTGCAGCCACTTATAGAACACTTTTTTTTTTTGTAATCCCTCAGATCAAGACAGGAAATAGTGCTTTGTCTAATTTAGGAAGATGTAATGGTTTTGAAAATAGCATTTATAGGTTTCACATTCACTCTAAATCCCCAAATGGATATGAAAAAGTTATGCCTAAAGAACTGAAAAGAAATAAATTTTTACATATATAAGTCATCATGCCCTAGATACTACTACATGATAGTATTCATCATTACTTTTTTCCCAGCCCGTATTTAGGGAGTAGGATTGTCTGTGATATTTATGGGGTAAGAATGTGCAAGTATTGACTTGCCAAGTGGTTTCTATCATATTTTCTGAGCAATACAACCACAACAGTCACATGCAAGCCAAAACAACACATTTGGTGTATGTGTCACAGTTGAATCTATTATATTGCACTCTGGAAAAACAATAATCCCTACTACTACTTCCCACAATGACTTGGGTGACGGTCTATGATGCTACCAAATCTAATCACCAATATATGGAGACTGAGCTTGTAAACTAGGGTGCATAATAGAATTTAGGGATTTTCTGATAGTGTAGATTCTTGCAAGGACAAAAGCATGGTGAACTGTTAGGATTTAATTAATCTCGGGGCTTCTTTAGGGACCGGGAATCTATTTCCTTGACTCAGTCACTCTTGATGAAAGAGGAGGGTGTGCAGCCTCTTGGGAGAGACTTTGTCTTTACTGTTGACATAGACAATGGGATTGAGTGAACCCTCAGCCATTCTGTGGCTGACACAAAGCTGGTGGTGCAGTTTACATACCGGAGGGAAGGGTTGCCATCCAGAGGGACCCTGACAGGCTGGAGTAGTGGGCCAATGCAAACCTCATGAAGTTCTAATTTTCCTCACAATACTAATAGTCAACAAAACTTTCTCATAAATAGCAGTACAATTTGGTTATGCATTTACTTTATTCTCCTTTGCTATGTGGAAACTATGAGTATGAAAAAAATCAGTATTTACAGTCAGGCTGTTTGATCATAACGATATGATCATGATGATAATTTTTTAGCATATAGCATATGTTAGAGAATAAATAGTGACCACAAAATATTCTTATTTTTATCACTTCTAGTAACATCCTGAAGCCATGAGAAGGTGTATTGATAAGGGTGGTTAAGAATTATTTCTCTTCTTAGTGGAGGTGCTTTTTGTGTAGAAGAGGCAGTGTTTTTATTTTTCATAACACTTACAGTTTCCTATATTTTCTACTTTTATTAACTTTACCAGAAATAGGCTTTTCCCAGGTATCAATATATTCCCAAGGTTTTTTTACATCCACAGCAACTTGCCCGGTAACATCCTCAGGTATATACATATCACCTGTGAAACAAAGGAAATGGAATAAGTCTCTACAGTGCAGCATCAAGTCATGGAATACTTGTATATTGTATATATTCAAACTCTAGTTAACATTAAGTGCATAACCAGCATGTATGGCCCATCTATATTTTTAGTGATAACTGAGTGAGATCCATTATTTTCTTATTCAAGTAAGTAGGAAGTGATCTGTTTCTAGAAAGTCTGCAATTTAAAAAAGTATATTTTGAAAGAGAGAATTAATAAGATGGAGAGGTAACAGATCAGTTAAACAAAGATGATATGTGGAAAGATGTGTACAGAGAACATTCTAGTTTTTCAGCATATGGAATAAAAAGTCCATTGATTCTTGCAAACGGCAAAGTTCTTCTTCTCCCCATAATAAGATCTTTAGTCATCCTCCATATTAAATAGTTAGAGCAATTCTGAACAAAACATATACCATATTTGGAGTACAGAAGGCAAAGTATACATAAAACTCAGTTTGTATATAAGAGAAAGTCCTACTTAAAAGTTATACAAACACATTTGAAAAAACTAAAGTGGCATTAAAAAGATCAACATAACTCCTGGTACAGAACAACTGTTTCACATACTGGTATTTATAGTACAGCCAGATTGTTAAATTAATACACTTTCTCTATACAAAATAAGTATATTTGTTTTATAAAAACTGTATATATAGTATAGTGAGAAGATGCATTGCAACTTCATCATGTTTGTGGTGACCACCCCCCACACTCTTACTCATGATGTAACGAAGAACCCGTGAAATTTAATATATTAAAAATAACCCCTCAATATTACATTAATTATCAAATTTCAACCCTATTCCAACAAAATTTAATCACTTCAACCAAAGGTTTCATAGGTTTATAATATGGTTCTCAATTGGTTTTGACATTACACTAGTATTTTATGAAACAGATAATTTCTCAATTACTGGAAATATTCATGGAGTCTGGAACACCTTTAAACTAACCACTGTGTCTTTAATAGCAGGAATACCATCAGAGGAGTGGATCATTTTAAGGGAAGTAAAGGAAAAAGTGCTCTTGATAAAACAAAACTCAAAATACCTTTATACTTAAATTCCTTTAGAACTTGGGGATACACCCAAAGTTTAAAAAATAAAAAGAAAATAGAACACAATGATAATGGTATTATAAACAAAACCAAGTATCTCTCTGTTTCACAAGGAAAATGGAAATGTTTAAAATTTGTTTACTGGCATTTGTCAGGAAGTTCAATAGATCAGGAGCAGTTTTTAAAAGATTAAGTATACAATAAAAAATTACTCAGTATACTAAGTTACGTACACAAAGATAAATATGAAAAGCCATCTCAATAAAATTATATTCTAGAGAAAAAGGCTAAAACTTGGCAAAAAACCTAAAAGGAATGCTAGTCATGAAGAGGTAATCTCTGCCTCTTTTCCACAGTCAAGTTTACCACCTGGCACTACAGCTAGCCAGGAGACTGAAAAGCCTGCCAGGAAACCAGCCATAATCCCATGTGCTGATGCTGGAAAAAACAAATTCTGCTTATCATCTGGGCCCTGCAGCTTCCAAGTAGACTCTCCATGGGGTGAAACATCTTTGCACTGAGGCTAATGAGCCCAGTCAGGAAGAAGGAATGGAGCACATTCAATAACAGTGCCAGTCCAGCAAGGAATTAGAAGTTAAAATTGATGTTTAAACAACATAGTAACTAACCATGGCTCTTCAGTAAATGTGCTCTTCTTCAGAGAAAGAATAAACGATAAAACATCTAAAGGTAAACCTGAAAACATATTTTTCCTTACAGGCCAATTACAGAGTCTAATCAGGTTAGATCAAAACTTAACCATTTTGATAAACTAACCACAGAAAATAACATTTTCATCATGAAGAAATTAACTTCTTCAGATCCAAAAATCCTCAGGATATCTCAAAATATTTTAACAGCTTCAGGATGTTTCTTTAACTTAGAGAAAAAAGACTGATGTAGCTTGATAATGGAAAATATTACTGGAAGTATCATTTTACAGAAGAATTCTAAAAAAAGGATTTTCCAATGAGTACATATAGCATGCACAGTAAGAGGCACTCTTGTGATGACTTTTGACATCATCTATCACAATGAAGCTACAGGTGTTCTATAATAGTGCAATGGGCACTACCATAAAGAGATGGAAATGATGACAGCTGGTGGGCACACCAAGAAAAGCATTTAGAATAGGATTGCTTAAAACAATGCTTTATCACCTAAACCAGCATTAAGCACAATAAACTACATGTAACAATTTACATGCTCACTATTATGTTTAGACTACTGATTTACTCAGCATGCATTCATTTTTGTTGTTTTTTTTTTTATAACCTACAAATACCCCTGCCAAGTTTACTACTATGTGGGAGAAGAGAAAAGCTTAATATACTGTCTAACATAATTGTATATTTGTGCATAATTTCATAATGTGATCACCTCAGGAGACCTGTGTGCATTCTGCCTGTTTCAGGAATCAGCCATCAGAAGGCTCATTTATAAGAAGATTTCCAACACAAGGAAGGAACAGGGCTTTCTGACCCACAACTACTGACATTGGTCATTTAATACTGTAACTGGCTCTGATGTCCAGGAATGTGATGGGCTCATTCATTGACCAGGACTGTGAAAGGTCAAAGAGCACATAAGGCATTCACTCAGTGTGTAATACAGAAGAGTAGGTCTTGTTCTAAACAGGTTAAGTTTAATTCAATTTAAATATACAACCATCTCTTCTGAGCTTGTACCATTTCTAAAAACATGGTGGGCTTTTCAAAATTATGTATGGGAAAGAGTAGTTCAAGTCATTCTGTGATCAGCAATAGGTATTAAATTGCCAAAAATACTAGAGGGAAACATTAGACAGACAAAAATGTTTAGAATAGATGGTTTATCCTTCAGGTTATCCTAATCTACCTATCACAAAGCAATGGTATGGGACAGTAGCACTATCAGTAGTGGGCGAACAGCCAAAAGGTTGCTCTAAATATGTGTATTATATATATATATATATATATATTTATTAATTCATAATATGTATTATTTTAAACTTGCTTTGTTGATGAAGAATCTCAAAATTATATATTTAATTAACCAATGGTTGTATTAAAAAACCAACAGTGTTTATATTCATGTAATAAATTAATGCTTTATTAAATAAAAAATTACAGATTCTTTATGAGTTAACACTGACAACATTGTTTTGATTGGATTGAAAAATCAAGTACAATTGAAAAAGGACAAATGATTTTTCCCCCAACCAAACCCATATTTTTAATAAATCTTTCTCGTTAGGGATGTTTGTTATCTCTGTGTGTAAGGATATGTAAATTGAAGTTCTCACCCTCCTCTATCATCCATCAATTTGGAATTCTTTGATGCTGAAGTATTGAAGCCTGAATACCCCACAGTCCAAATACTGCACGGTCTGAGTAAAAACTAGTCTGGTGTGAACACATCACGTGCATAGATAGTAGCTAGCAAGATATCTGGTTTAAGACTTTCCTACCAAGCCTCCTGATTTAGACTCAAACAACTGGATGACCCTTTTCAACAGTGTTTTCCAGTAATTATCTTGGGCCTAACGTCTAGAAAACATTAGTAAACAGTAGCCACATAATAATCTATCTGTAAGTTTACATAGACTGTCAATATAATTTCACAATGACTCTCAGAAACTCCATAACATGATCAGTAGCAGCAATTACACATGGTAGTCTGAGGAATTAAATTCTGTAACAAAACACAATGAAATATTTTGCAGGGCTCAAGATGATTTGAGGAAGTCACATTCATGTCTTTTCCAGATAAGCTAAAAAAAACCCCAAAAAATGCAGCTCTACCTGTTGTTGGCACAATCCACTGTGGCAGTCCAGGTGCTTTTGTTCTGGTTGGTGCTAGTGTGGTTTTACTAAAAACTGTGAGAGAGTTAAAAAAGAAAAAAGAGAAAGATGAAAAAAAAGTTCCACGAGAACAACACCCAAGAGGTTTCTATATGATGCCAACAATTCCACACTAGAGAAGAAAAAGTAACACCTTAGTGTGATGACACACACAGTTCTGGTTTCTGATTTGAAGAGGCTTTAGCTGTAGACTTATTAATTGATTAAAAAATACCCTTCTCCCAACAACACTTAAAATTCCACTGAGAATAGGGGAAATTAATTAATTAATTAATCTCCTCCCCATCCCAGATTGAATAAACAATTATTACCAGGTCTAGTCTGTGATTTATCTGACGGCTTTGGTCTTGCGGAAGTGAGACGTGTTTTATGAGGTGCTAAAAGAAATAAGGTTCTGCTTAAATGCTGTGTAAAAGAACGCCAATAGTGCAGTGCAATTTGCCAGAAAAAAAGGTCCATGCACCAATGTGATACAGCAAAATGGACACATGAGAGTTCTATGAGTTCCAATCCAAAATGCATGTTGAAAATGCTAGTTTCTTTAGTGGTCAGATGACTCTATCATGCAGTCTGACCAGTTACATTCATGTTTAGGTTTAGGAAAAGATATAAAATATTTACAGCCAGTTACCCAACTGTATATGGATACAGAGTTAGCTCTGCAAGGTATCCATGGCCTTAAGACATTTAATTAGGTTCTGTAAAAACAAACAAACAAACAAAAATCCTCAAAATAAAACACCACACTGGAACCCCCCAAACAAAATACTTAGATAAAACCATGAAACAGTGAATTATTGCTGAGAAAACAACCAGAAGCATTCAATGCAGACACTGTGTAAGACAGCCGAAGCGCAGTGTCATCATCAAGGTTGAAATTGGAAGCCTTCAACCTTTTCTTATTGTTGCCTTTCACTTGCAAAATAATTTTGATAAGGTAGTTGTTACAGTATCTTTGTGAATCACATCAAAAGCTGAAAGCATAAGACACTGTTGTCTTTTGCACAGTTATCAACCACTGTAAGTCAGCTTTTTGAATAAATAGAGCTGGCTATTTGATATTCAAATCTAATAACCATTCTATCCATAACACTTATTCCAACCTCTCTGAAGCATCAGAGAAAATACTTATGCAGTACAGAACATATTACTCAGTTTTGACATTTAGATTTGGGAAAAGTTTTACAGATTTAGATTTTGTAAGGTAAACAGTGGAAGTTAGCTACATTTATATTTGCAGCACTATACATCTGTCTCATAATGTTTAAAATCTTCATATCATTTTTGATACCATACTGATTAAACCCCAGTTTCAAAGCACCAAAAATGTTTGATAAGGGGGAAAATAAATTTTCATGTTATGTTTTTGAAATGGTTTTAAAGGTAATAATGAACTTATAATTAAATATTAAACAGTACTGATTTTGCTTCAGATTTACAGACTCTCAATACAACAACTTAAGAGAATCTTAAAAATTACCTGTATTGAACCATGGAATTTCAGTTGCTTGAGCAATTTTTGGCTTGGGTGAAATGTGGTATGTTTCATTGGGAACTGAAAATGGAGATATTACTGCTTATCAAGTGTAAATTATTTCCTTTTAAACATAAGACACCACAGGTGGAAAGGAAATTCAAGTTGTCTTTGTGCAGATCGTAAACAAGAAGAGTCAGTACTAGAAACCTGTCTGAAAATCATGCTTTTATACAGGAAAAAGACTTTTCAAGACTGGAAGATATATTTCATTAGTAAGTCAGACAAAATCAGAAAAGATGATCAGGCAATGCCTTTTTACATGACTCCTCAGCCTTGTACATGAGGTACTTATTTCTAGAAAAGATTTCATGAAGAAGAAAAGTGCCTGGAAAATTAAAACCAGCAATACTTTGTACATGCACTGGAATGTAACTAACAAATGAACATGACATAAAGACATATTGAGGTATTTCTGTTGATTAAAGTGTAAGTTTAGCTATATAGCAAAAGCAGAGAAAGTAAAGTTTTAAGAAAAATAAACTGACATAATATTCTCATTACCCAAAGGTATTTTGGACCCATCAACAACATGAACTGTAACAAGGTTAATTGATCCCAGGTGTGTTGCCCTTGGAGCTATAAAAAATAAACCATTGTTCTGTGAGAAGGGAAATTAAAGAAGTTGGATTTCACAAAGGATCTGTCTCCATTATTTCCTAAAAACCTATCTACACATCTGCTAAGACAATTTTAACAGATATGAGACAGAAACATGTTCTGATTAGTCTGGATGTATTTTCATGCTGACAGCCAGACAGTGCAATGATTGTTCTGGGCCCCCACTAACTTCAGAACAAATGCCCTAAAGGTGGAGTTCTGACAGTCTTTGGTCTTTTTTGTACTTAGTATATTAACTTACTCTTCCATAAAACATTTCTAAAAGCTCATAGTGACATATTTATCTTTCAGACCTCATTCAAACTTGATTGAATTTATTGAAAGATATCTAAATTACTGAATGAAGAAGACAGACTGGCAGGTAGAGACACACACTCCATGCCTCTTTGTCTTTCAGAAATAAGGTTAAAATATGGAAGCTGGAAAATAACCTACTTACTAGCAAAAAGAGCAGTGGCTAAATAGTGACATTTGTATTTAACAATAAAAATTTTTTACTGTTTTTCCTAACACTAGTTTGCTTTGCACATACGCAATTATAATGATCTAAATCTTAAAAGAATAAACCTCTAACTTCTGTTTTCTAAAATTCTTTCCCTAAAAGTAACTTTGTAGTGGTACCAAAAGATGGCACTTGTTAACTATGACATGATTGTAAATAGCACGTATTCAACCAAGACTTGGAATCTGACTTGGTTACTTAACAGCCTTTCAAAATAAGGCATTTAGAACAGAAATCTTATTCATGAACTGTTCAGTTTGATGTTCATAGTAATATATATGTACGTATAGTATATATGCATATATATAGATCTTGAATGAATAGGGTGTCTGCTTAAATTCTTTTTTGGCTATGAAAAAAAGTACCAGTCTAAGGGGAAAAAGTGTGCATGAAATTATAAAACTATTCATTGAGTGATTTGTCTTAAACTAAAATATTATCAATTCGGTTGTTAGACCAGAGAGGAAGAAAGATTAGGAGCTGCTCTTTCTTATAACCATGTTGATACTCCTCCTCTAACTATATTTTTCTCCTGTAATCTTCCTACTTGGCAATTTTTATTGAAATAGTTCACACCTAGGTAAAGGTGAGGTATCACCGTCCTTTGTTGTAACTGTGCATCCCTGAATGTACTGAAGTTACTGCAAGAAGTCACTGTGCTGAAGACACTTATACTCTCAGCATCTACTATCTTAGACTGAGATTCTGTAACCAGAGTTTCAAAAGTAACTGAGAAATTGAATCAAATGTATTTAGGCTAATAAAATCACCCAAAAGAAAAGAACTTTGTGAGTGTGACCACAGAAATATATTTTTATTAAAATTAATTGAATTCCTCACATTTTTAATGGCTACTAAACCCGTCCAGCTGCTCTCCATGGAAATGGATGCAATTCTTGGGCACTCAGTTTCATACAATTTATTAACATACTCTCAGCTGAACTATGGTACCAATTTCTGTCTACTTATTATGCATGTCCCATGACTGCAGTACTCAGTGACAGCCGAAAATGTAACTAAGGCAGTGCCACAATAACACTTCTAAAGTTACAAACTGTAAATTACCAGGTTTAGTTTGTGGTACTTCTGGCCAGACAGATGTTTTGGGTTTGGAAGGAATGAGCAGTGTTTCTTTTGGAGCTGAAAGAAAAGGAAAAAGACTATTATTGTGTTCTTCAGGAGTCATGATCCAATGCCATATTTAGCCCACAGAAAATGCATGCCTCAAATGCCTGAAAAAAAGACAATAACAATTCCACGGCTTTCTGGAACCTGAAACAAAATGACTATCCAAAATACAGAAAAGTCTCAGCAGTGTGCTGTAGGATAAGTTGAGTTAGTGGCTAAAATTCTTGATCTAAAAGAAAAAACTGACATTAAATTTGGTTGGAGATCTGACAAATACAGATTTCTGACCAGACATAAGCTGTAGGCTATTTTTGCTTTACGTCTAAAATAGAAATGAGAATCCTCTATACTAAGGTACATGCATGTGGTAGTAGAATGAAGGATAGTGAAATAGTGTTATATAAATACCCATCTGTGTTCTCTAGAAATTTCTCTATTGAAAAAACTGGAAATACCTGCATCTTAACTTTAAGAAAACTTATTTACCCATTGTTGCCCTTGAATGCCCAGTGGTAGTTGAAGATTTTGTAATAATTGGTTGTGGAGTTGTCTGATGTATTGCTGTTAAAGAGAGAATGTGAAGAATCTTAGAATATTTATCTGTAATAGAAACAAATAGCATTCACACTATTTCTAAAACTTTCAAAATGCCCCAACCTAAGGAGTAACAGAATATCTTGAAAATCAACTGCTGACAGATATAGTTATCTTTCTATTAACTTCTGCTATACATTCCCTTAATAACAAAAATGGGAAGCCACACAGCCCCTTGTAACTATTTTTAAAGCTAATTTTTTTCCAGTACAGAGCACAATGTAAGTTGCTAACTTTACAAGCGCATTACAAAGGAATTCTGTTGCATTTCATGAAAAGAAAAAAAAGAATGCTCACAGAGAAGCATCCCTGATTACCAGGAAGTAATCAGAGAGAACTCAATCTATCTAGCCACTGAAATTTGTCAATACCCACATTACTACATTTTAGTCATCATTTGCTATGTGTAATAGAAAGGAGGGAAAACATTTTTTATTTTATATTACATATCTTACTATTATTTTCAGTGTAGTTTTGACATATTTTGGTTTGATTGTCTTAAGTGTAATGCATCTGCTTCAGCAAAAAACTGGCTATGAATAATTCTATTAAGAAGCACAAAACCTGAGGCTAAGGGAAAGAATGATTAAACACAAGCAGATAAAATTAAAAGAATGACTCCATTACCAGGTTTGGTGTGTGGCACTCTTGGTTTTTCAGTTGTTTTTGGTTTGGTATGAATAAACTGTTTTTCAGTTGGAGCTGGAATAAAAACAAACAGCACCCAGAACAATAATTGAAAAAACACACTGCTTTCATAGCACACAAGGATCATAAGTACAATCTGATCTGCAAGAAGGCAAATTATGCAAGGGTAAAGCTGAAAATCAATCAGTTGGAATTCCTGCAAAGAAAGGAAAACTAGTTAAATGGCCACTTACACAAACACATTTCTAAAAAAATATATATACAAATTTCTAGCTTTGCATCAAGCAGTGAAGAATACAGTCATGAACATCACACTGTAAAGTAATGGGGCAAAACCAGACAGTAGTAGTCACCATCTTCCTCATCTGCCATACATGGGTATCTAAGGACAGGTTCTATTTTTCAGTGGGGACTTTGTATCAAACTTGATTTATAAATTAACTTTTTTGCTCTTATATGGGAATGCTTTAATGTTGTTATCTTCACACTCTTCAGTTTAAAATCCTTGTTAAAAAAAAAGGTAGGAATCATTTACTGAAAGAGGTTATTTTAGCTCTTGTTAGATTGTGGTCTACACCGACATCAGAGGTCCCAAATGCCTTAGCCTGTGCATTCTTCATCTCCCTTGTTCTGAAGAATCTCTTTTTTGCAAACAAATATTGCGTTAGGTAGCCCCAGATGTGTTCAACAGGACACCTACTTCATAAAGCTCTATAAGAGATATTGGTTGAATACTAACTTAAGTGTCAATGCACACAGGGAATGCATATTAAACTAGAGACATGGTGAAAAGCATTTCTAATTTCCCCCTCCACAAAAAAGAAAAAACCCCATAGTTTTAAGCCAATAAATAGCTATTGCTATTTCATTAATGGTACCATTTCATTTTCAGAAAAGCACGGTCAATATCTGCCTGAAAATGGGGAATGAGAACTGACTGTGAGGAAAGATTGCTCAAGCAATACTTCCACTGCCCAATACTGCTTGGATTCAGTGACTCTTAATTGGTCCACATCTGAAATTCAGTTAAGAAGAAAGAATAGGCAGCCAGTGTTTCATATATTTAAGCAATTTTTCCCAACATGGGTGACTAGAAGTTAGTAGAGTGGATGGTTTTAAGAATTAGATTAATATTAGATTTAGAGGGTCACCTAGTTGGTCAGTATACTTTATGCTATACTTGATATCTTATAATTTTCTTCTGTAAAATTATACCATGAGGAGTCGTGCTGCTTTCAGCTGGGGAAGAGTTAACTTTCTTCACAGTGGCTGGTATGGGGTGGTGTTTAGGATTTGTGCTGAACATAGGGTTGATAATATAGAGATGTTTTTCTTGCTGTTGAGCAGTGCTTGCACAGAGCCAAGGCCTTTTCTGCTCTCTGTACTGCCACGGTGGCGAGGAGACTGGGGGTGCATGGGAGGTTGGGAGGAGACACAGAAGGGACAGGTGACCCAAACTGACCAAGGGGATCACAGAATCACAGAATAAGGGGAGTTGGAAGGGACCCACAAGGATCATCGAGTCCGACCCTTAGCCCTGCACAGGACCATCCCTGAGAGTCACACCATGTGCCTGAGAGTATCACCCAAACAGTTCTTGATATTCCAGGCCATATGACATCATGTTTATTATATAAAGCTAGGGGGATAAAGGAGTAAGGGGAAGTTTGGAATGATGGTGTTTGTCTCCCCAAGTAGCTCTTACGTATGATGGGGCCCTGCTCTCCTGGAGATGGCTGAAGCAGGTAAGAATGGTAAGTAGGGAATTAATTCTTTGGTTTTTGCTTGTGTGTGTGGCTTTTGCTTCACCTATTAAACTGTTTTTATCTCAATCCATGAGTTTTCTAGCTTTTATTCTTCCAACTCTCTCCCTGATCCTGCTGATGGGGGAGTGAGCAGGTGGCTGGTGGGGGCTTAGTTGCTGGCTGCTGTTAAACAACAACGGGAGTGAAGAAGTAGAGTATTTTAGAATGACATTATCCATACTTCACAAGAAGAAGTTACAAGAATTGCTACGTCTCTTTAAATAAAGTCCCCTTCTACTGGAAAATAGATAACGTGGAGGAATTGCATCATCCTGAGTAGAAGGGCTAGAAGATGAGGAAAAAAACCTTTGAAAGTGAATGGGCTCATGCACTATTACCCTTATCAAGACCAAAGAGTAAGTAAATATCTAGAAGCAGATCAAAATTTCATTATTAGTTTTTAATAAAATGTAATGAGTTCTCTCTAAGATGATCTGCTCTAAAAAGAATGAAAAATAGAATAATTATTTATGAAATACACGATTACCCAATGTTGCCTTTGTTCTTTCAGGAATACGAGGAATCATAGTAGTGTCTGGTTCACCAAAAGTTGGAAAGATCTCTGTTGGAAAAAATGTCAATAAATTATCTGAATAATGAAGAGAATCTCCCTTTCCATCCCACCTCCCTAAAAAATCTTTCAGCACTATACTGTATACACCAGGAAAGGGAACAGCAATGGGCATTTACCCTTAGAAATTTATGGTTACAAAACAGTAACAACCCTTCAGTGAAATCACTGGTTATCACAAATCAGTCAGATGTATTGATGGGGAGTCACGTAATCAAAATATAACTGAAGGGTATCCTCAGTCTAACCTGGACAGAAACGTGTATATAAAGAAAAAGTAATGCAACAACTTTAAGAGGTTTCTCTCATAAGAGCTTCAAAAACATGTTGCAAACTACTGAAGTGTATTGCTCAGATGCAACTGTGGATAACTTGTAATCCTTGATTAAGGCATATATGTGACTACTATTTCTTCTGGTAATATCTGCATAAGATGAAAAAAAACCTTGAACTGCTGAAGTTACCATCAGTGGTAGGAGTTAATTGCAGCACTGCAGAGGTTTCTTAATCTAGAATGATACCTAGATAACAACAAATGCACTGATGACAACTCACCCACCACCCACCCTCAAAGCAGTTGCTCAGTTATCAACCTTGGCAAAAGACCAGATAGTTTACCAGGCTTCCTGTGTGGAGCATCTGGGATGGGAGTTGCTTTAGGTTTAAAGGGAATGTATTGTGGTTCTTTAGAAGCTGGAAAGAAAGATCTGTTTTAGGGATTTATACTTTTCAGAAGTTAGACAGGTTTTGTTTCACAGGCACTGCATGTGTCATGCTTGCTAACAAAAACAATCCCTGCATAAGAGACTAAAAAATCAAGTGTCAGATGCATACAGGAATTCAAAGAGAGAAGAAAATCATGAATGAAAACACTGGGGCAAAATTGATCAAGTAAGCAAAATCTGAACAAAAACTGAAAGAACACAGACAAATAGAGTGGACATGTTTCCACCTGTATTTCAAAGCTCATAACTGCAATACCCATGGCATGCTTGTCTCCTACAAGCGTCAAAGTGTCACACAATATGTGTGACAGGGAAAGCAATTTTCTGTGAAGACAACAAAACAGCTAGAAATCTTTCAATACCTGGAACAGAGTAGAGTTAAGTTCAATAAGTACAAAAGAAAACAAATCAAAACCACAAACAGATAATGTGAAAACCAGACTAATGATATGTAAGCATTGGTCCAAGGAGCAGGGAAGAAATAACCATGACCAGCTCAAGCTAACAAATTTACCTGTTGTTGTCTTTTGTTGTTCAACTGTAAATGTACTAGGTGCCAAAACTTCATAAAAAACATGATACACAGCATTAAGAGTACATATAAGCAAAAGGGTAAAAATACTGCCTTTTACATGACTGATTTATTTTCAATTTAGAACACATTTTTTCCCAATAAATTATTTATTTATGAAATTAGTGAATGTACATTCACTCAAAATAATGTTCAACTGATACTTTCAGAATCGTTATGTGTTACAGAGGTTTGGCAGTTCATGGGTATGTAAATCCCTATTAAGTATATTTTAAGGGTCAAATTCTATTACCAGGTCACATGATCATATGAGTGGTTTGAGTTACAGCTATTTTTAGAATCATACATGAACCATACATGGTTTTCTCTAAGCACCTTTTGATAGGCACAAAAGAGATGCAACTTCTTCCAACTTCTTCTTATAATATTTGTATATTGTCTACCCTGCTATACAGATTATTCATCAGTGATAGCTGTCATGTGGCTGAAAAGCATAGATAATTCATCAAAAATCAGACTTTAAAAAGAGAAATCAGCTCTATCTTCCTTTAAACACCTATATAATAATCATTAGAAAATGTATTTGTAATATGAAGGGATGTTAATCAACATTTGATTCACTGAGGAAGGACAACTTAAAAGAAACACTGAATATTCAAGTACAACAAAACAACAATGTATTTACCAGGTTTTGTGTGTGGTACATCTGGACTTGGTGATGCCCTGGGCTTGGAAGGGACTCGTCGACTTTCCTTTGGACCTGTGAAGGAGAGAAAAGTTTTGAATATGTTATTGAGGATGATAATTCTTGGCCTTGTGAAGATGTGCAAAGTTTTGAACATGTTCTTGAGGTTGATAATTCAGCATATGTCTTTAGATTATTCCTGACAGGAGATTAATTTTCTGCTAAGAAATTTTCTAGAAATTACTTCTATCATTTGCAAATAATCACAAGCAGATCTCCTGTCAATGCAATGAATATTATGTCTGTGCAAAGACTAAAGTGACTTCAATAGTGCAGTGTCAGATTCACTCTTCACTCAGCAGTTTTGAACAGAACTTTCTGCAGAGTAAACTGCTGTAGTTCTAACACTTCCTCTAATTGTGCTTCTCAAGTGTTTCATATTCCAAAAATCTACTGCTCATTTAAATCAACTTTGCATTAAAAAAATTCTACAGCAAAGCAGTCAAAGCAGAAGAAACGTGGAAACTTACCATTAATTTTCAAACAGACAGAACTATTTCCAAAGTTTTGGGAGCAGGAAAGTACAGTAATTTTACACTTGTAATCGAGTAACTAAAAAATACTTCTCTCACACTCTATGAAAATTAAGATGCAAATTTTTCTGTGTACAGGGGTTCAAGGTGAGGGTTAACCCACACATCTCTATCATTTTATGTTATTGACATGTATAAATATATAGCTGATTATCTTGTTCCATGACAGCTATATAGCAGAATTTGATTATGACAGTGGAACTCCTCAATTTTGAAAATTCTCGAACTGATGAAACTTTCATGAACTAAAGGACAAAATATTGATAAGCTTACTTGCTCTAGTTGGAGGAACACGTGGACTGGGTGAAGTTTTAGGTTTGGAAGGCCCTGGACGTGTATCTTTAGGAGCTGAAAGAACGAAACTGGGTTAAACATTACTAAAGTTTTCCAAGGTATCAGTGTCAACTACCACCCACAAAAGTCAATAAAAACAAAGTAAAGATTTGAACCAACGGTATTCTTATGGAAGTGATCCAAAAGAGAGGGTTTTTTAACAAAATCAGACTATAGAGAAAAGAAATAATCTTCTGTGACAAAACATCAACTAAGCATGTGATAGAATTACTGGTTCCACTTAAGAAGAGGATTTAAAAAATAAAAGAAGAAGAAAACAGAATAAGTAGCTTCAAATACAAAAGACACCACTGCTCTGTAATGGAGGCTGTCCTGGAAGGATGCACAGTACCAGATTCAAGTGACAAAAAATCCTTAGTCAAATGGATCTGCCTCAAGAAATCATGTGACCCAAGATCACTGAAGTAATTGTTTTCTGACAGTGAAATCGAGGTTTGAGTGAAACGGAATAATTTTTTAGTCCTCTGTGACAGACTGAATTTCATTTCATAAACTAGAGGGGAAGGGAAGCAGAGAAAGCAAGCTTGCAGCAAATCTGCTCTAAACCAATAATATGAGCAACAGAAACCATGCCTCCTCTACAGTATGACCGAGGACATATAAGTTAGGGTCCTTTTCTGATCTACCTTCTACCTCTTATCATTAAATATTGAAGAAAATTGCCCTATGTTCTGTGTATAACAACTTGAAAGGAACAAGGTTTTTCCTCAATTGTTGTGCAGAAAATAAAAAAAGTGACAGAGAACCTTGACTATTAAATTATTAAGGAACATGAAAAGAAAGGTGAAAAATTTTTGTAGGTCTACTCTTAATGATTTGTGCTGAAGAAGAAAGAAAATCTGACCACTCAAACAAGAAAGCATCATTACCTATTGTTGACTTTGGTTTCTCAGTTCTAAACTTAATTGGTTCCAGAACTGTATTAGCAAAATAAAACAATAAAAACAAGTATTACCAGGAACAATCAAAATATTACTATCACTGTCTCCACAATAATCATACCATCCCTGCTACAGCTGATGACAGATGGTCACTTCTCCCTGAAATTCAACACTTCAGAGTATTGTGTTGCTCAGAATTGCCTCCAGTTCAAGGTAATAGCTCTAATACAGAACAGATCCCAAATATAAATCTAAAGCTTTTGTAAAAACCACAAAGAGACTGTGAGTGGTTTTTCACCTTCATCTTTGTACACTTTCCTGACTTATTTCAAGAGGGTTTTGTTTCAAATAATAGCTGCAGACTTACTGGGGGAAAAAGGAACCCAAGTTATCATCTCTCTGCCCATTTTTTTCAGCAATACCACCTAATACTGCATTTACTTTGGGTACCCATACTGGGTCTGGGTGGGACAGAGTCTGTTTTCTTCATAGTAGCCCCTGTGGTACTACGTTTCAAGTTCATGACTAAGAAAGTGTTGCTAACAACACACAGTGTTTTAGCTATTGCTGATTATGGCTTGTTCCAGCATCAAGGAGTTCTCTGTTTTTAACTCTGCCCCCAACTAAATAGACTGGGGGTGGGCAAGATGCCAGGAGGGAGCACATCCAGGACTGCTGAACCAAATTGACCAATGGGATATTCCCACTCCTATAATGTTATGCTTAGCAACGAAACTTTCCTAAAGGACCCATTGCTCCTAGATTGGCACCGGTCTCCTAGTGGGATGTGGTCGGTGGTATCACTTGGTTCCCCCCCTCCTTTATTTATCCTTCACTCGTTAAACTGTCTTTATCTTGAGCTACAATTTTTTTTCTCCCTTCTGCTCCTCTGATTCTCTCCCCCAAACCACTGTGGGGTGGAATGAGAAAGTGGTTGGTGCGTGCTTAGTTGCTGGCTAGGGTCAACCCTCTACAATACCTCATGCAACAGCTAGTGTGAGTTGCATAACTTACTTTCTCCATCCTTAACTAAATAAAATGATACCCCTCCTTTTCACCTTCGCTTCACCAAAACAAGCAAATTCACACAGAAAAGACCTCTTTTCACTGAGACTTGTACAGAAAATGCTCGCTGTTGCAGTGATTTAAAATATAACAACTGTAGACAGAGATTTTAAACTTACCAGGTTGATTATAAATTCCACAATTTTATCACACAAGGAATATATGTGCAAGGGATACATATAAATCTGAAGCTCCACTGATCACCGTAGATTTCATAAGACACACATATCAGTATGAAAATATAAAGAAACAATGTACTTGCCAGGTTTTGTTTGTGACATCTCTGAGCTTGGTGGTGTTCGGGGTTTGGAAGGAACATGGTGTGGTTCCTTAGGGACTGAAAAAAGAAATAATTTCAAGAACTCATCCTGACAGAAGACATAATGTTAAAAAAGAATACATGCCTTTGGGACCCTCTGGAAACATCAAAAAATTGAGTAATGGAGGTATACGAAAGCTTGGTATATGAAAAAACAGTGCTGATGGAGAACCTCTGTAACAGGATAGCATAAAGCAAGGCCAGTATGGATGGACCAATATAAAAGGTGAAGCAGCACATGACAGAAACTGAGCATAGAGACAAGTAGTCAAAGGTAGATTGTGGTGCTTCTGTCCACTTTACAGAATGCATTTGTGTGAAAAAAAAAAACAAACAGAAAAGATGATTATTAATTGTTAGTATAAAATCATCAAAAAATCCCTTACAGGATGAAATTTAATAACAAAAAATTATGATGGTGGAGTACAATGAATACTTGTGATGCTCAGTATACACTGAGAGAAAAGCTGAATGTGATGGTCCCAAAGTGATATACCCTCTAGGTAAAACTGTTACCTATTGTTGGTTTTAGTTGATCAGTTCTAAATGTTATGGATTCCAGGACTGTATTGGAAACAAACCATAGAAGACATTTTGAAAATTGAAGAGAATAACTCCACTTATAATTAGTATTACTTGACTAGTAACTGCTTTCTGAATAATGTAATATGTATACTGTCTCATAAAGAAACAGTTACCTTTAAAGAAGTCTCTGAGAAAGCAGTGTAACCTGCAAGATAATGTGAGCTTTGTTCTCCCATGGGCTTCAATGAGATAATCAAATATAGAGCATTATGTTATTCAAAAATGGCTTTCTAGAGACACAAATATCTTCCTTTTGTGGTGTATTTCAGATGTAGTTTACAGTTGGAATCGGAGACTATTTGCTTGTCTACTGTATGCTGTGTTATTAAAGAGCACTATGGTGTATTGTGTTGCACAGTCATATTATTTAGCTCTAAACCGGCATGGATCTAAAATAAAACTGTATGTTTAGGAACCATAAGGGTGTGAAATTGATGGTATACCTCTCTGTGTCAATTTTTCTTTATGGATTACAATAAAAAAGAAAAAAATTCTTTTGATCTTTTAAGACTATCACAAGGTAAGTGGATGATGCTATAGAAAAAGTTCTGTATATTATAGATTCTTGAAGAAACAGTAAGTTGCTGTGTTGGTTTTTTGTTTTGTTTTGTTTTTTTAAACACAGAACAGTACAAGCTTGTAACATTTGTGTGACAAAACCATTAATCATTTTTGAGAAGGCCAGACTACCATAATAATGAAAAATGGCCACAGAGGTAAAAGCTGAGTTAATGAGAAGCTGCATTTTAAGGTGCAATTTGGAAACAATGTTTTATAATCAGCTGTCACGGTTAAAAAATTATGAGAGGACAAGGTTTTTTCTTTTCTTTTCTACAAGAGACAATCACATCTAAGAGATAACATCAGATTTAAAAAAAATATTGCTTCAAGTCTACAGTTTAAAGGTCTTCATTAAATTCGTTATCATTAAATTTTTCACATTTACCAAAAGATAACATATGTTAATATTTGATACCCTTGCAATTTCCTGTTGATATTACAAACTGGATAGCAGGGCCAGAAAGTAATTTTTCCTACCTACTACTGAATTCAACTGTACTCATATTTAATGACATAAAAATCCAGTATTTTGAAATAGTAATTAAATGATCGTTAATGCCAATAAATATAAACAAATACCAACTATGTACTGGGCAATTTCTCATGTAGAAAGTAATAATGTCATGAAATTAAGGTTTTGTTACTTAAAAAGGAAACATAACATATTTATTCTAACAATGCAAAGCAGTGTGCGAAATAATTGTACCACCCAAGTAGCTGCAGTGCACACATTAATTGCTTGGTATTTGCTTTAGTTAGCACAGTTAATCTGAGCGTAACAAAATTATTCTCATCCTGTTGCCCTGAAGTAAGAGAGATTTATTCTTTTGCATGATGAAAAATACCTAGCAAATAAACTGCAAATAAATTGCTGAGCACAGCAGAACAGAACCCCATTATGTTTTAATTGGCTCAGGTAACTAAACAGCTGCTCAGAAATACATTTCAATCCAATATAAACTGAATCAGAAATAATCACAAAGCAGTTTACCATCTTTGGCTTGTGGGATATGAGGTTTGGGTGAAGTTTTAGGTCTAGAAGGAACACGTTGAGTCTCCCTTGGAGCTGGAAGAGAAAACATGGGTAATAAGCACAGCAATTTAACAAATCTGATACCAGATGAACACACAAGCACAGAAACCTCACACCTGCAACCAAGAAGTCTCCTTGTAGGAAGTAGGAAAGTCAGGTAATATTCTCCATGTGTTTACAACAATCTAAACAGGAAAGTGGAATTTTAGTAATTTTTGAAGCTTAGTTGTTTGTTGGGTTTTTGTTTTGTTTTCATAAAAACTGAAACAAACACAAACAAGCATAATTATGAGAAAGGTGATTGAGAGCTGCCAGAATAATTTTCTTAAAAACCAGGTAATATTCCAGTTGTGAAGAGAGCAATAAGCCCAATGGTCATGAATGCCAAGCAAAAGAATTACCTAGAAGGAAAATGAAGTTAAATGAAACAATCCTAAGGCATAAGGTGATTAACTTCAGTGATGCTTTCTGTGATGGAAAAAAGCAGACATGACAGCTGGCCAAGGAAATATCATTACCTATCGTTGGCCTTGGTGGTTCAGTTCTAAGTGTAATAGGATCCAAGACTGCAACAGAAACAGTGTGACAAAGTAAGTGTGGAATATACTCCAAAAACCTAAAATTACTACACGGATATGTATAAAAGCAGATGCTAATACAACACCACGGTAATGTGGATCTTCAAACTAACTTTTACTTTTTAAAACCATGGGCAATTAAAGTTCCTAATAATACAGGTTAAATAAGAAATATATAATTGGGCAAACTTGATGGCAACAGAAGCAAAAATATGAGCATAGAAATCAGTAAATCTTAGAACAAGCAAGAGAAGTGATCACGGAGCTTAACCCAGAGAGGAACTCTTGATACACAAAAATGTCAGGAATCTCCAAATTGAAGTCTGTTACTACTTGAAAGTAGCATACTGATCATGACAAGGCAATTGAATTTTTCCTCTAAGGTAAGCAATTAAGCAGAGGACTAAAAGGCTGCTATTGGTACAGCTTACTTACTAATTATTGGTACAACTTACTTAAGTAAGTACAGCATACTTACTAATTATCTGAAAAAACTTATTTTGGTAAAACCTCTTAGGTTTTTTTCATTAGATCCGTTTACAATTTGGATAACAAAACCAATATATCATGTCCTTTTCCTCCTCACAAACTATGCCAAATGGGAAAAAAAATTGTGAAATGGTGGAATCTATAAAAATTTCCTGGCAGTAAAGAAAATACATTAAAATAATACTAATGCATAAACTCTCTCCTCTAAAGGCATTAACAAAGTAGCATTAAACATACAGACATACACACCTAAAGACAGAACCTTTTCTATAGCCCATACTCACTTATCTCCCAAAATCTGCTATACATCCACTGATTTTAAAAATGGGCTTCACAACAAATAAAACTATAAAACTTTGATTGCAATTGATGCTTTTGATACTACCTCTTAGAAGACATCTACATGCCAGAAACATTGAGAAGTAATAAAGCATCAAGATTATACTTCCATTTGTTTGGGTTTGGGCCACATATGAATAAGCAAGAAGCCTACAGGAAATGGTGCTTTCAACTGCACATATTATTAGACCAGTGAAAAGAAGAATCACTAAAGATGACTCATAATCATTACCCTCTGCAGTCTTTGGACGTTCATATGTGTAGGGACTCCTAGTAGTGACTGACACTGGAATGGTTGCTGCTGGAATAAAGAGAATTTTCTTGAGAGAAATACAGAGAAATACTATTTTTCAGCTGCTGGTATGGTTCAGCTGCTCTTGCTTCCCAGTCAAAATCCACCTCCTCCCAGCTATTCAGAAACACTGAGTAAATGATAAATTTACTGAATGTTCATAACTACCCTGTGTGACTTTTGTGGCTCTTAAAAATTAAAAAGTGTATTTATGCTACAGGAACACAACAGCAGAGGACCCCTCTAAATCTTTATCTTCCTGTTCTACTTAAGTTTTTTTCTCCTTCTTTTTATGGCTAAAAAGAAACAGTGGCAGAGAAATCCTTTTTCTTTGATAAATCTTTCTATTTATTTTCCTGAGTTTCTTCCATAGTGATGCAAAGGTTAGATGTGAAAGACTTCAGGTGTAAATAACTGTAAAGTCACAGAAGGCAAGGCTGAAGATCCCAGTAGATTAACTAGTGCCACAGTACGTTAGATAATCAAGTTAACAAGCTTCCTGACTCTATCTACAGTACTTAATTAGGTTTGAAAGGGATGAACTCCAAAGACTCTGAAAAATATAAGGATCTTTGAAGACAAAGTTTGTAGAATTATTTAGTATTAGCATGGTTTTACAACTGGAGTCCATTTTCATTCCTAAATACATCTATGGTCATTAAGTAACCTCTGTTCTTATCCAAACCTACAAACTTTACTTCATTTTTTTACTCTGCTTTGACTCTTCTCAGTCTATCTTCTTTTACCTATACTTGCACAACACATACTTTAATTAGGAAAGAAAAAGTGATTGGTGAATGTTGTACAATGTGCCTAAAATTATATTTTTGGACATACTGGTGACTTGTCATGATGAAATTCACAAGCATTTCAAGACTCACAAGTACACTTATTTCAAGGAAATTACCTTAAAATACAATAAAACCTGAGACCTTCTAAAACTCTGTCAGTTTAGATACAAAATGACTTTATTAATTTAAAAGTCTCTATTTCCCTGCATGAAGGTTTCTGGTGAGGGGATTATATCTGGGAGGATTGTGTTTAAGTTAAAAAGACTGAATTATTTCAGAATTTTAATTTTCCCCTAATTTATTTTCTGACATTTTTAAACAGTTACTGGTTGATGTATTTGATACTATTGCCACTACTCGAAGAAAGCAAAATATTCCAAAATTTCTTCAAGACAAATAATTTAAGTAAAGTAGTTACCCAGAGAGGTTATGGAATCTCAGTCCCTGGAGAGACTGAAAAGCTTTTCCAGAAAGAAAATGTTGCAGTGCAGTTGGGTGCATGATAGAAAATTCATTATCATTTCCTGTTCTGAAAAATTGAGAACTTAGTATGTTTAGATAGAGTTGTTCATTCTAACAATAGTATAGGTGAGGACAATGGCTGGGTGTGATCACGTTGGCAACAAAAACTCTTTTTCATCCAGGTAATAGATTCAATTATCCAAATATCAAGAAACAGAATGGAGCTGTGAACTTCCACTAGAATGTATAATTTGTTGTTTGGAAGGATTGAACATTGTTTCTATGTTTGGGGTTTTTTAAATGAAGGTTTTTTCTCCACTGAAAATCAGAAACTGCACAAAAGACGTATTAACAATGAGAGTCAAAATTAACTTTCAGGATCTCTGTTTGACTCAAAGTGGGTCATTAGTAAGTCCCTGATCACGTATGAATTTGTCACATATTCTTCATTACTTTGATTCAATGTTAAGGAAAGTTGACAACGACTGTCGTGACACGAGTTTCTAATTTAGTCTGAACTCCGAAGTGAGCGGGAACATCCTGCTCTTTGACCATTTTGCCACCCACCCAAAAGCCAGGTTCTCCCCATGCATATTTTATGCCTCAAATAATATCTTCTGAACAAAAATATCATCATTCGTTACATCAGAATAATGCCAATTTCACAATTACCTACCTACAGGAAAAACCTTACAAGCTTTATTGTGATTAAAAAGTGTGTATTAGGATTCCACCTGATTGATGAGAGAAACCACCAACAAGGAAAGGACAAGGAAGAGGCATGAGTACACAGAATCATGATACTTTTTTTGTAGTCATATAGAAACTTGTTATATAGCTATTCAGTGTGGAAACATCAGTATAAAATCTTGATCTTGTCAGTCCAAGGGCGTAAAATAATTTCATGCAATAGTTTTCAAATGAGTTGGTTTTTTTCTCTGCTGTTTCAAAAAACAGCATGCTGGATTCAGATCTATATACAGACATAGGCATCTACAGCAGAGACAAGAGTAATTATTCTTGTAATACAACACTGGACTTCCTACACTAAAAATTATGTAGCAGCTGTAATCAGCACGAAAAACTAATTATACACACCACTTTGAGACAGTTCCAAGTCATAAGTACCATTCAGTTAAACAAGCTTCCCAGGGAATAATTTGGTCTGAAGAGAGTAATTTCTTTTTACGAGCAAAAAATAATTTGCAGGGAATCTGGAAAGAATTTAATAAAATTGTCTGATCTCTTCCAGCATTAAGTGAGACATTCTTACAATAAACAATTGTGCAATTTTAAGCTTTTTAACTTCATTATAAACCATGTAACACTATAAATATTTGTGTAACTGTATTTACTTATTCTCCAGGTCCAGAAAATACCAGGTGTATTTTATTCTCTGCCATACATCATAGACCAAATTCAACTCCAGTGTGAAGGTGCTATTTGAGATCACAGAATATGCCTTTAGGAAATTCCAGAACAGAATTCCACTCTTATTTCCACAGTTTCAATTAAGTCTACATATGCATTAATGATCACTGAATCAATAAAAATCCTACTGTTCTATGTAAGATGCTAGAACCATCAGCAAAGCAGGAGAATTTACATGTTCCAGGCTCTATGCTGAACTAAGTTGGAAAATTTGAAATGATTTTGAAATGAAAAGCAGGAAAACAACTTGTATCAATGCCTGTGTGTGAGTTGGTGATTTAGGATACAAAAGTTAAAAGTTTTCTTGGTTTGCTTCTTTTTTTTTTTTTTTCTTTTTTGGATTCAATACAAAAATATTATTCCTCAAAGAGGAATTCCTCATCTTTCTGATGGTTAAGTGCCAAACTTCACACAGAATAAATTTAAGCTAAAATACACTACTTAAGTGATAAACTATAACAAATGATGGCTATGGAAGTGAGTTACCAGGTTTAGTTCGTGGCTTTTTGGGTCTGGCAGATGGTCTAGGTTTAGATGCAGAAGGTGTGAGTTTTGCTTCTTTAGGAGCTGAAAGAAATATACTGGATTATAAGTTTATCCTTTCCACTTTATCACATAAAAATGAGAAGGGCAACAAATGGCTACTGGGAACAAGAGCAAATGGTAAAATCAGATATGCCAAGAGGGTTTCTCAAAAACCTTCCTAAGCCTTCACTACCCCAGCAAAATCCCTGCTTGTTCTTCACTGCAAAATAAAGTAGATTTAAAATATGTAATTGTAACTTGCAATCAGATTCTAATGTTCCTCTAATTAAGTTAGCAAATTCATTTTTGCAAGATACTTAAGAAGTAAAACAATAGTCCTTTTTATCCTTCTGAATTCCAGGTCAATTTAAAGCCATCAGAAGACATAAATAGACAAAATATGCAAAAATGTCCTCAATTTTCAGCACTATAAAGAAATTACTGGCAGGCACCTGGAAGAACATGGAATCAATAATAAAAAACAGAATTGCTTCATAACTGTAGTCGTTGAATTCTGCTAATAAAATAGAAGTAGCATCATGTAAATAGTAAAAATTAAGAACGACCAGTCCTAGAAATCTTTTTCCCCCTAAACATGCATGGGCTGGAACTATAATTCACTAATCTGACTGTTTGTCTGACCTCGGATGAACTTTAAGGTCAGTTTTGGGCAGTATAGGCAGCAATTTTGTTCATCTTTAAAAAAGCAGGACTCTTGAGACTGCTTCATTGCAGTAGGCACAGTGGAAAAGTGTTTGACATTTACGGTGAGACATGAAGTGACTGAGAGGTGTTTTTCAAACCAAAATGACATTCAGAAGGATTTATAAAACAGTAGAATTACCACATTCACCTAGTGCCACAGGAATCCTTCATTGAGTGTTCTAGGATTAGCACCCACAATATTACCTTTGCACTTGGCTTTTCAATTGCGTTTCCAAGGGGTTTGTGGTTATTTCTGAGGGTAAAGGGTGTTGGTGTAGAAAAACTCCCAATAAAATGGAACACAATTCTCATTCCCAAAATTTTACTGTACCATAGGACTAGAGGAAATGTATGGGAAAAAAAATTGCTTTCTTCTTCTCCTGAGCTTAGAAGAACAATTCTGAATGCTTATCTCCTAACTTTTTCCCTCTTTCAGAAAAATGGATTAAACACAGTACAAGCTATGAGATGAAGTAGCAGAGTCCAGATAGTGGCTTGGACTGCAAAGAAGAGTGACCAACAGCTACAAAACCATGTGTTACCTAGTGTTGCTCTTGGTTGCTCAACAGTCTGAGAAGTTTTAGGCTCCAAAAGTGGTGGTTTAGGAGCTAGAAAAGAAAAATTCAAGTGTAATCAAACCAATCAGTAGATGTATTAGCAGCAAGCCAAGAGGGTTATAATTCCAAAAGTTCAGGGGAGTTGTTTTTTAAACAGTCTAGAGAAACCTTACTCTTATGCGTAGGACTCTACACTCCTTTTAGTTTTGTTTCCTACGAAATTGCACACTGTATGCTTTGTATGAGTCTGTTTCTAAGGCTCCTTCCCCATTTTTACGTTCTCAGGACATTTTCATCTGTTATTTGATTCAACTAGCAAATAGATTTACGTTTCGGAAGAACAGTGAGAAAGGATGGATGAGGTTTTTGACTGAAGAAAAGAATGTGGTCTATAACAAATACCAGAGAATCTATGTGAAAGAGGAAACTTCTAAATACCAAATTCTTTCTGAAGTGTTAAATGAGTACCTACAGTACATTGTAAGAGAGGTATAAGACGACAAAGACAGCTCCTACTTTTTACTGACCTGTCTGTTTATAAGACATGAGAACAGAAACATTTTAGGGCTCTAGTAATCCACACTGTAATACTTATTGGTCCAGCACCTGAATCACTAAAGGAGGCAAATTAATTTCTCTTAGTGCCAAATAAGAAGAAAATTAGTAGATATCTGGTTTTTTGAACAAAAAGTAGAAAAGGAAAAAAACGTGACACCATGACAATGTTCCTATAGTCAAAGAATAAATTTCATGTGTATAGGAAAGTTTTTCTTCTACTTTGAGAAAGATCTCCTGTTTCCACTAAAATGGCAATGCTTTTCATTGGGTTCTCTACAGAAGGATTGCTGATCACATGAGCAGTACTTTACTTTCAATCAACAAACTCTTTGGACTAGCAAAGATGTCATCTTTGCCATAGTATGTCTGTGGGAGATGGGGATTGGCAAGGGAGATTATAGAAATAAGAATAACACATATTGCTCATACAAGGGATATTAATACACCCTTGTGCCACCCAGAAGAATTTTCTCATTCCAGTCCTTTAGAAAGGTTACAGGACTAGAGAACTTGTTTATGTTTTTATCACTGGACCCAAATGCATAAAACTGATGAGTTTAACTCTCATTCCTTATGTTAGGCAACATCAAATGATCAATTTAAGAATGATGAGCTAATCAGGATGCTTATGTATTGCATCCTATCCCTTTTAGGAAGTTTCACTTAGATATTTTTAGTGAACACATCTCTCTGCATACCAACTTATAAAAATGGTGCGCGCAATTACCAGGTTTCACATCCTGTACTTCTGGGGTAGCAGATGGTTTCAGTTTAGAAGGAATAAGTGGTATTTCTTTTGGAGCTGAAAGAAAGAGCTCAGTTTGCAATCAAAAATTGTTTAACAAGCATTTCCCATAACAAACAGCACATGTCACAAGTTTATATTGAAGAAGAGACAACTTAGTATGGAATGTCAAAGATAGCTGATGAAACAGGATTTTAAAATGTGGAATGGAGATGATACTGAAATGCTGTGCATTGATCAGAAATAAGATTGTGTGACTCTAAAACAATAAAAATTTCCATTTTGAAAGCTTTACAGACACAATCAGCACATGCGTGTGCATTGGGAGTAAAACAGATAGACAGAACACTCATAAGAGAATGATGATGTTTTGTCATGCAAGAGGTAAGTTTTACTTCTCTGAGACAGTAAAACCATCCAGAACTATGTTCTCATACACAAATATGTCAAGAACAATCAGTCTAATGAAAATGGAAGGACAAGACTCTCTAACCAGGAAAAAGAATGTTTATGCATGTGAGACAATATGCTGAAAGAAATGCATTCAAATGGGATGAAGTGCTCAAAACAAACACAGAGTTTTTCACTGGGTGAAAACAACATTACCTAATGTTACCCTTGGCCATTGAAAAGGACGAGAAGTTTTAGGTGTGAAAGATTCCAGAATGGATTCACTTGTTGCTGCTGGAAGAAATTATGACAGTCATAAGAGAGCAAAGAGCTAATGGAAGAAACTCTTCTTTCTTAAGCAAAAACAAATTTGTTTTTACAAGAACAACAAATATTTAACTAATGCTTGGACAGTTAAGTATCTATTAGGGAGAAACTCAGAGCTGCACAGAGCTTCAGTCACTATAAATTGGCACATTTTTGATGGATGTTTATTTCCTCCTGCCTTCATTGCAACTGCTCTGGATCTCAATCACTGCTGAGTAAGATTTTAAGCAGAGCTCTTGAACATTTTGGGTTTTGGTGCAATACTCAAGGGAGGTGATATTGTGTAAAATGCAGGAATTTATTGAAGAGGACATGTTAAACAATTTGTCAGGCATTAAAACATACAACATTTGGAGAAGAAAGCTGACAGCTGATCCAACCATGGCTTCAGTCCAAAAGCATTGTGTCTATGACTGTTAACCAATTTCATGCTGTTAAGGATACACTATCCTTAATCTTTTTAACAAGGCTGCAACAATAAAATGCAGCCTACAGCTCACATCACAGTGTTTTCATCATAACTACATACAAATACTGTTTCTCAATTATCTATGTGGGATATTTTTCAAAATACTGAAAGAGACTCATG